TAAAAATTTTGAGGAAATTACCCATGCCAATTAGTCCAAAATTTTGATTTTGTGAAATTTTTGCCTTGCGAATTGATCGTATTTTACTGCAGTTTTAAAACGTAAATACATACCTTTGGACTATCTGAGTCAGTTATGGCCTGTAACAATCTTGTTTTAAGGTCCTCCATGGTGTGAATACCTAGTCGTGGTATAATATCTTTACCTAGAACTACTGAACACACAAACTCCTGGCAGTATTGACTAGCACTTAAACTGTAATACAAGTTTTAACTCTACATAGTTGCAAGGAAAACGAGACACAAGAAAATTTTTATATAAAATTTATATGAACCTCTTTTAAAGGGACTCCACTGAGGTTTTTTTTACATGACGGGGCTGGAAATAATTGTTTGATATGATAGTCCATTTGATGAAGATTAGGACTAATAACTTGTGTGCAAAATTTCAGATCATTCACTCACTCTGTTTTTTCCAGAATGATTAATGCAATGCTTTTCACTCAAATTGGGCTAAAATAGCTCAAATATATGATTTTCAATTTATTCTGAGTATATTTCTTAAATATCTGTCGCATATCTTTCTGTTTTAAGTGCCACAGTTGATCTTTGTAAGAAATTCAAATTTTATGTTTTCTTGCTTTTGGACCTCAGTGGAGTTCCTTTAATAAATGTAAATCATTGCATGGGCATGTCATTGGTCTTAACTGTTTGTTTAAACAAAATCATGTCATACTTTTGAACAAATGATTTTACAAATATACCGTACTCCTGATGAAGAACATTGCTATGATCAAAACTAGTAGACATTATTGAATTGTTTTACTACAAACAAGCTCTAAGCAATATAGCTTCAAGGTCCACTACTGTTAACAATAGATAAGTCAACTGGTCACACTTATTTTCAAAGTTGCAACTATAAAAGGTTGCTTGTACCAACAAATTACCTGGGGAAGTCCAAATAATTGTTAATTCCTGACAAAGTCTTTTCCAAACTAGAGCTTTGTCCAAAGGACACGGATGCCCCCACTGACAACATATATAATGGTATATAGTGAAAAAATCAACAAAGGGCCATAATTCTGTTAAATTTGGTCGCAGCAAAAATTCCTTCCTTCACTTCCATCTACACATTAAGGTTGTTCATCCCTGGAAGTTTAAGCAAAACCTGCCATATGGTTTAAAAGGAGTTGTGTTCACAAAATTTCTATATGGTATATAGTGAAAAAATCAACAAAGGGCCATAATTCTGTTAAATTTGGTCGCAGCAAAAATTCCTTCCTTTACTACCATCTACACATTAAGGTTGTTCATCCCTGGAAGTTTAAGCAAAATCTGCCATCCGGTTTAAGAGGAGTTGCGTTCACAAAATTTCGGGATGGACGTACGTACGGACGGACAGACAAGTACAACACTATATGCTCCCACTTTGTGGGGGCATAAAAAGAGGTGTAAAACAAGTGAACAGAATAAACATTTATAAAATTAAGAATTAAGAATATCTCAAATAACCGGAAAATATAACAAATCATTGTTCTAGCTACCATCAGAGAATATTGTCGCACTAACAGAAGAATGCATAATTGTAACTTACTAAAGAAGAAAATCCTCTTGTCACACAGTCCGTCACAGACACATTGTGATTTAATGTATATTAAAGTATTTTCCACAAAAAAGTGCCCCACATTAAATGATTATTAACATGACTTAAAAAAAAAATTCTGATAATAAGACGATTATTCACATGTATATTACCTCATCAGGCCACCAGGTGGCGAGAACGTAAAACAGATAAGGTCCGGATATTTCGGTTTGAGCAGAATGGCTAAAAGAGCAGCAGTACCGGCACCCAAACTATGACCTGTAATAACTAGTCTAGCTCCCTGTAATATAAACAACAACAACAACTTTCAAACTGCAATCTTCCTTTGAGCCGTGTCATGACAATACCAACCAGCAGTTGCGCAGGCTGGTCTGGATCCATGCTGGGCGCAAACATACTATGTTGGCTTTGTTTGACGCGTCTCATTTGTGTCATAGTGAAGAAGACCTGTGTTACTCAAATTATGATAAAACAGTGTGTCTATAGTGCCACTTCAACTGGATGTTCACCTGACAAGAAAGAAATTGTCTATTTTTTTGGTAATAAAAACCCAAAGTCAAAGAAGCAAGGGCTTTTGCAATTTTTATATGAAGCCGATTGTGACACTTTCATCATTTGTTAAGTAAGACGTCTTAAAATAATCATTACACTTAATTGTCCTTTAAATTACTGAATGACTCATCAAAATGACATTTCTACGTTAATCTCCATAAGTAAGAATTTGCAACAAAGACATCATATAAGATTATTTACCTCTGCATTTTGGAATGCTTGGTCTAGAATACAGAGTCTTTCTAATGTTGATTGCACATATTTGGCCGCTAGAAGCATGCCTCTGTGAGCCATACAGTTGTCTAGGCCATCTATACCAAGGGAGTCACACTCAGCCGTTAGGTCTGTTATAACATCCTGAAACCATAATACAAATTTAGTGAATGTGCGTTGATCATGAACAGATTTTAAAAGGATTCAAACAACATTGATCTCTCTTAATGTTAAAAATATTTATTTTTTTATTTTGAATTTTATAATCTTAATATATAACATGGCATTAAGTTTCTTGTAATACAAATAAAACAAAGTTTGTTTTTTCTTTTTTTTCTTTTTTTTTATCCTTTTATGTCATTAATCATATGGCCACTTTCCAACTGTACTTGTGGAGGAAGACCTCAGGTTCTCCTCTGTGCATTAGCTCAGGCACAAAAGGGCACCTGAGTAGAACCACCGATGTTCTGTAAGCTAACTGGATAGCTTCCTGACATGAAAGAACCTAAAGTCCCTTGTGGGATTCAAACAAAAAGCAGTGAGGGCAAAATAGTGCAAAGTCAATGACTAAAGCACTCAGGAACGGGTGCCCCCGTAAAATTTTTTTTATTGTACAGTGGCATATACAATGTTTATGCTATTTTAGTGAATTTTTCAAATCATTTAATATTGTGCTATATAAATATACTATAAAAGTACTTATTTCTGCAGACTAAATATTCTGCCATTTTTGTTAACACGAAGGAAGATTTAAAATTTATGCTAATTTCATTTCTGCTGCAACATCAGCCTTGCAAAGTAAGTGTTTTATCTTAGACTTTCCTTTTTTAAGGAAATGATATATAATAAGTACTGTATGATATATAACAAGTTATGAAGATTTTTTTACAGGTTATATGGCTGTATGCCATATAAAAACAGTTGTTTGTCTTATATAACCTAAGCAGTTATAATACTGCAAACATCCAATTTTAGAGAGAAAAAAACACTAAAACATCAAAAATCGGTAGCAGCCATGTATATACAAATGTAGATTATATAAATGTCATGAAAAGCAGCGTTACAAATGTCATGATTGATACATATATAAAACTGGACACTCACCTTCAATGACAGAGTGCCTCTCACTGAAACCACTACACTTTGTTTCTTTCTATCTATGCTAACAAAAAATGGTACCTCATAAATCTGAAAATGAATAAGTCGTAATAAGCAGTCGGTCCAATACCTCATTTATTTGCATCAACTTTTATCAACTTATCTAAGAAAAATTGGACATCTGGAATAAGCTGACAACTTTAATTACCAGCAAATATAGTGATACTAATATAGAGTTGTGTTACTGAAAATAGTTTAGTTTAGTCAAGTGTAGTTTTATATACAACAAGAGCTGAATGTAAGACATCGTGCTTGACTATTCTCAGTGCTTGACATTGAGAAAAGGGGTATAATTCTGTAAAAAGGTAACTCAGAGTAATGGGACCTGTGTCCATCATGTGAGATAATCACAGAGAATAAGTGTGTAAAGTTTAAACCCATTCCTTTCAGTAGTTTTGGCGATATGCCAGTGTGAGTACAATGACTCTCCTTATTCTTAGAATAGTCAAGCTAACAACAGATTTCTCACTTACTTTATTATGGAAGCTTGCATATATAATATCATCTGGATGAATGCCTGTAGTTTTCCTGATGGAAGCTGTGTTACATCTACAACAGTTATCATCTTGGATATAACTGCCTTGCATACAACATGCACAACATCTGAAATATAATTTGATATCATGAATTAATGCCAGGTACAGTATAATTCAGTCAACCCTCTGTCTGCTTGTGCCTAGTGGTAATAACAAGGCAATACTACCAGAACAGAATCAGGCTAGCCTGATCTTTATTATAGTCTGCTAAATTTTGATATTTTAATATTGAAATCCCTAAAATTACATATAGGCAGTTCCTATTCAAAGAAGGGCATGTCTATTCCAAATATTTCAGCTGTTTAAGAGTTTATCCTTTTCACAATGGCATAAGACTCACTTATACAAGAAGCTTTTCAATCTCCCTTTTCTTTAAACTTTTTTTTACAACAAAATTTAGAGAAATACATTATTAAAATTTGGAAATTTGTTCAGTATTGTAGCTTAATGCTTCATTTATTTGTATTTTTAATGTAAATTTTTCTTTTTGAAAGTTATATTTTGGGAAATTCAATTGATTACCACAACCATTTTTTTCAGTGTAAAATTTTAAGTATGTAATAGCAATTACAAGAACTTTTTAAAAATCTTTAATAAACAAACAAAAAGTTAGATAACACAAAAAAAGAGCAAAAATTGTCTTGTTAAGGTATGTTTAGTTTCTTAGTAACTAACAAAGTTATTCATATTACAGCACAATGTCTTAATTTCAAAACAAGCTAAAACTTAAATTACTTTGCCATTACTTTATTATAGCAATGTCATTTCAGTGTTATCATAAACATATACAAATATTACAATTTGCAGTACAAATTAACAACAACAGGACTGAGAAGGAAGACTATGCCTTTTTCTATTTCATTCTCTTGCAAAGAGATCATCCATTCCTACATTATAAATGTGTGAAGAGTGAAATTTTTCAAAAAACCATAGTTTCTTAAAAGCAATTTTTTTGTTCTATATGAAGAAAAGAAGAACATACATTTTCTTCATACAAAGGGTAATAATTCCTGTACTCCACAACAATTCTTATAAAATTTGCTGTAAAAAGTTTTATCAATGTCAAAACAATATAACTCAATAATAGGGGATGATAATAAGTGATTATAAAACATAAGATTTATCTAATTAGATAAATCAATTTCTCTACATTTATGCTAAATACAGATAAGAAATAAAACAAGCTTTGCTAGTAAGTACATGTACGTGAAAAGTTAGATATTTTCAGGGATAAATAGGAAGTTTAGCTGACCTTGAACCTGCTGGAATCCAAAAATGATAAACCTTTGCCACCTGTATCAAACCAGGCCCCTGATTTAAGGTCAGGATCAAATTTAAAAACTCTAATAATCTTCATTGTTTGTCCTCATAGATTTAATATCTAATATTAATTTGTTAAAACTGGACTTGCAATAGCAAGTTTATGAAATTTTAAAATAAATTAATTGTTATTTTTGCAAGATACTGACATTGAACAGTTGATCCAAATATTGATCCTGATCCTAAAATTGATCCTTATTTTGATCCGAATATTTTTGTATTTGTTTTGTTATTTGTTGATTTTATCCCAAACTAGTTTGGTTTCTTTGAAAATCAGCAATTTTTTACATATTGAATATTTACCATTTAATTCTTGCAAAACATGATTAATTTAAGTAACATAAAACAATGAAAATAAAATTAGGATCACTTGATCCTGATCCTGATCTTTTCTTAGTGTACATGGGGCCATGGGCCAGGTGCCTGCACATCCATCCAGTCTGACCAGGCTCAATACGGTTTACTGACAAATTTTAAATTTTCATCTTGATCTCCCCAAATTTACTAATGGAGTATTCCAACTGTGGATATTGGACAAGTCCATTTAAGGAATTCAGCAGGTTAAGGGTTAAAAAAGGAGTTACACTAAACTCTTAGAGCAAACTAACAGACAGTATAGATATAGTCAAACCAGTGTATACTAAAAATAAAAGTGAAAACCACAAAAAAACTAAGTACAAGTGATTTAGTATAGAGTTAGAAAAAAAAAACATCAAAATAAAACACTAAAGATTACTGTTTCTACATTCAAATACAACACTAGTGCAACTGAAGAAAACACTTTTGAGCTATAAGCCTTTGTATAAATTTCCAGTCTATTTAAATTTTCCTGATAAATTACAGGCAGAATAATCTTTAATAGCAATGTTATTTGTGAATATAATCACATTGGCAGAAATACTGGCTACACTGGAATACTGACAATACTGGTAAAACTGACAATACTTTCAACATTACAAATATTGGCAACATTGAAAATAAAAGCAATACTGTAAAATCATTTTTGTTCACATAGGATAGATTTTGGTGTATGAAAAGTTTAAATAGAAAGTATTGTCCAGTGTATAAAGTATACATAAAGAAATCTTCAGCAAGTAAAAGGCTGCTCTTACAATCAACATTATAGTAATTTACTTAAAATCAACCAAAATATTAGTTATTGGGTAGAAATATTCAAAGAAACATTAAATATGTAATATTAAATCTGCAAACATTTTCAAATATTGAGAATATTTTTATATTCTTACTTTTATTAAGTTTTCCCTTAACTTTCAAATTTCTTTCATCTAGAGAAAAGAAGCTTTAAACTTGTCCTTATATATTTATTAATATATTCAGAGACATTACAGCTCAGAAAGTGTTCCTTAGTTGTTTGGGGTTTGTTTTGTTTTGTTTTGGTTAAACAACTCACTGTAGGGACAAGCAAAGCTCATTCAATTCCTTTTCTGTTTCAATTACGGTCATACTTTGTGTTTTAAAAACATGGAAGCAATTGAAACATGCATCCCAACATGATTGATCCTCATGTTTCTCGTTATATCTCAAACTTCTCGGTAAACATGCATAGCTGAAAGATAATACATCCATGCCATACTGTCATTATATAAAAATATTACAAACACATAACGTGATTCACCATGCCATTCTGCCATTATATCAGAAATTACGAATATATTACCTAATACACCATGCCATACTGTCATTATATTAAAATAATTTATGAACTAATAACATAGTACGCCATGCCATAACGAAATACATGATGCTATACTGTCATTATATTGGAAATTATGAACACATAATGTTACACATCATGCCTAAAGTCATTATAGCGGAAATTACCAACACATATAGTGGAATAACGAACACATAACATGAACACGAAGTACAATCAGAACGAGGGCATGCTACATTTATAAATATAGATGCATGTACATACGAGTAGAAAGATAACATTTAAAAACGTTAATAAATTTCAACAAATAAAACTAATCAGAAATACTATTGTATGACAGTATAATTACGAATTTCTCTTGAATATTATACAAATAATCATTAATGATCATTATGATAATAATGATAACAATAAATTTGTTTTTTTTAGTTGACTTTCCTGGTGACGTTACTTGCTATATGTGCATACGATGACTATTACATGGCCATGGGATAGATATTGCATGTATGTATGCCAGATAGCTTACAAATACAAGTGCATGTGGTGGCTGTAATGTGGGCAAACAAAAACCAACAGCTATTGCATGCGGCACATGTAGTAAATAAAAGATTTCCTATGTCCCTTTTGTGTCATTTATCATTTTTTTCCATTGATGCCTTATAATGTTGCAGTAACAATTGGCATGACCTTACTTTATGTTTGTATTACACAAAAGATGTTGTGTCAAAATATATGTACGGCCTTGCAATATCATTTTAACAGTCACAAAAGTGGCACAAGAATATGACAAAACAAGAGCTGTCGGTAGGACAGCACGCTCGACTATTCTAAGTGCTTGATAGTAAAAGAGCCTTGAAAATGTTAAATTTTTTAAGTTCACAAAAGGGCAATTTTTTTTTTTATAAATTCATGTTATAGGCCTTAGAGAGAGTCTAATTATACAGTATTGGCTTGACTTTTCAAAAGGTAATGTCACAAGGGTGTTTTATTGAGTATAATAATACTAATTACCTATGAATACATAAATTTGACAGAAAAGGTACAAAGGCTTGTTATTAAGATGTTTTATCAAGTAAATCACTGCTTTATTATTATGAATGCATAAAGTTGTCCCAAAAATGGCACAAACCCTTCAGTAGGTATTAAGATAACAGCTTACAAGCAAAACTTTACCATGAATTTCTAAGTTTAAAAAGGGGAGAAAATCAGCCTAAATGCAAGATAGAATAATGGATCTTTGTCAGTGACCTACAATTATGACCCTAAATGCATATGTGAAGTTTTAAATAAATATTTTTAATAGTTATTGAGATATGTAAAACTTGCATGTAAACATTAACCAAGAGACTAAGTAGAAAAGGGGATATGAATCAGCCTTAATGCAAGATAGAGTTATGGAACTTGGTCAGTGACAAACAATTATGACCCTCCAATTATGACCCTAAATGCTTGAGTAAAGTTTCAAGTAAATATCTTTGAAGACCTTTAACCTTTAACCAAAATTTCTAAGTTTCAAAGGGGCAAATAATTCTGCAAATATTGCAGGCAGAGTTATGCAATTTTGCAAACTGATGTACATTGTTACAATAAAAAAGTATTTTAAATTTCAATTGAATATCTCAAGCAATAATTGAGATATTTGACTTTACAAAAAAACTTTAACCAAAATTTCTAAGTTCCAAAGGGGCATAATTCTGTCAATATTGTAGACAGAGTTATCCAACTTGTCAATCTGATGTACCTTGTTACTATAAATAAGAATTTTAAATTTCAATTGAATATCTCAAGCAATAATTGAGATATTTGACTTTACAACAAACTTTAACCAAAATTTCTAAGTTAAAAAGGGGCATAATTCTGTCAATATTGTAGGCAGAGTTATCCAACTTGTCAATCTGATGTACCTTGTTACTATAAATAAGTATTGTAAGTTTCAATTGAATATCTCAAGCAATAATTGAGATATTTGACTTTACAAAAAACTTTAACCAAAATTTCTAAGTTTAAAAGGGGCATAATTCTGTCAATATTGTAGACAGAGTTATCCAACTTGTCAATCTGATGTACCTTGTTACTATAAATAAGTATTTTAAATTTCAATTGAATATCTCAAGCAATAATTGAAATATTTGACTTTACAAAAAAACTTTAACCAAAATTTCTAAGTTAAAAAGGGGCATAATTCTGTCAATATTGTAGGCAGAGTTATCCAACTTGTCAATCTGATGTACCTTGTTACTATAAATAAGTATTGTAAGTTTCAATTGAATATCTCAAGCAATAATTGAGATATTTGACTTTACAAAAAACTTTAACCAAAATTTCTAAGTTAAAAAGGGGCATAATTCTGTCAATATTGTAGGCAGAGTTATCCAACTTGTCAATCTGATGTACCTTGTTACTATAAATAAATATTGTAAGTTTCAATTGAATATCTCAAGTAATAATTGAAATATTTGACTTTACAAAAAACTTTAACCAACGCAGACGCCGACGCGGACGCCGACGCCGGGGCGACTACAATAGCTCTCATATTCTTCGAATAGTCGAGCTAAAAACGAATTATTAATCTTTGAATACCATCTGCAATAATCATATGCCTTTGTCATGTGTATATAGAACAAGGACAAAGCAACAACTTAAAATAATAAATCAAATCTATTGAAAATACATGTATTTTCAAACCAGACTATCCGTTCTATCTTCGTTTGTAAAAAAAAACACAAAAAAAAACACAAAAAAAAACACAAAATAACAGCAATAACATATTATTCCTAATAATTTCAAAAATCAATGAACCCTTCAAAGTATACCCATTACGGAATATAATCACTATATACCTTTTGATCAATACTTGATTCATATGGGAAAGAAACTAGAACTGTAATCTTCTTTAACTTACTTGCACTGAGAGGTTAGCTGGCAAGCTCCGGTCATAAGATGGGTGAAGATGTACAATGGCCACCCATAACTAGCCATGGCAAACTTCATATAATGTGCTAACATTTCTACAGTCATCCATGGTTTAGGTGTAGGAATCCCAGGATCTCCAGTGCTTAAAAGTGCTGAGGTTGAACTACTGGCAGATAAAGGCCTGTATATAAAAATAAATATCAATTAATTTGACTCTGCTCAAATAGAAAATGATTAGTCTTTGTCACTTGTCATTAAAAAGCCAGTCCAGCCTGCACAATTGTTCAGTCTGACCAGGCTCTATACCATTCAAACTTCAACTTCAGATATTTTCGTGATTTCCCTAAACTTGACAAAACAGATAGTTCCAAAATAGAAAGCATAGCAAATTCATATAAGAAATTCAGCAGGTTAAGTGTTAACTATCCAAATAATTAAATAAAAGACAACTGAAGAAATCTGTGTGTGACATTATGCACATTTTTTCATTGTCAAGTTGAACAGAATTGACTATATATTTCAAAAGATTGACTTTAATAATAATGATTGACCAACAGTTGATGTTGAAAAATGTTTAGGATAAAAAATTAATCTGCCTAAAATATAAAAAGACTGCCCCACTCTTTTAATAAAATGAATGTTGCATGTAAATTCTTTAAATATTAACAGAATTTTTATTGGGCCACGTGTGTTTTTATCGTTTATGCGAATTAAAGTATAGAATTGCAAGTAATTATGGCAAAATGTAAACTTATTTTGACTTTCACCTGTACACTAACCCTAGGATGGGCATATTGTCACTTTTATTATTAAACAAGAAGATTATCATTACCTATTCATCCAGTGCAGATTATCATGTTGTGGCTTTGCCATTTTATATATTCATATATTACAATTATCTTAGCCATTAAATATAGCATGTGAATACACACATTCAGCAAGCTTATCATGATAATAAAATTTCTAGCAAGCCCACTGATTCGTGATTTCTGTCTCTTTAATGATCAGATGGAATGCTGAATTTGAAAGGGGACTGGTGGCCTAGTGGTTTAGGTGTCTGCCTCTCAACACATGAATCATGGGTTCAAGCCCTAATTTGGTTGCAACCATGTTTCTTGAATGACACCAGTACTGGTAAGTTCCAGGAAGCGGATTCAAAACTGATTAATATAAGTTGCAAGAACTTGTTTTGCAATTAAGCTTAAATATATATGTTTAAACCAAATTTCAAAAATTTGACTTAAAAGAAAACGGAAAACACTGATTTGAATGTTGAAAACCTGCCTTGGTAAAGAAAATTTTTAAAATAAACAAACAACAATTTGTTATCTTCTATATCAGAAAAACTTTTCTATATCACTTTTTTCTAGTATTACCTTTGCATATATTGCTGCTCATTGTGTGACACACCACTTTGACTTATAGACCTCTGTGGAGCTTCTATTCTTATAGACATTAGTGTGTTAGCCTCTCTCTCCTGTTCTCTATGTACCAGAATGAGACCACACGCAACATCTGTAGGTACCAAATCTACACCCTGAAGAAAAATTGCTTTTATATCTATACAGAATGAAAAATTCCTTTTTTCATCTATACAGAATTCATTTTAAGTTTGTACAGAAAGCTACAGGCTTATTACTACACTCTTAGATCCATTCCTGGAACCAACAAGGGCTTAGCAATTAGTGTAAAGTTTTTTTTGCACAAGGAATTACTAAATAATGCTTGCCCTCAATGGGGTTTGATCCTAAATAGTTAGAGATTCTTAGATTTCTAATCTACATGTTAACCACTTAGACATGACACCAGTTCTTCATCTTTCATCTTTGGGTAAATTTTTCATTGCAAAAGTTCACTACAATTCAATTAATTTACATAATTATATCACAATGACTTACATAGAAAGTTTTTTTGGGTTATTTTATATCCATTTAATTACGAGTGTAATATTACCAAACAATAAGTGTCTTATAAGATCACACAGAAAAATGAGATTAAAAGCAAAATACTGTTGATTTTTAGTTTTATTTAGACATCTTTATTACCATTATCACTTCACTTGAACTGCAGTTCAAATAATAAAGTTATTTGTAACATGAAAGGTGCATTTACCTGGAAAAAATTCGAGAAGATCTCTGCTATACCACTGAAAGCATTTGTACTTTGTTCATCACATCCAATACAGCAGCATAATATACGGCATCTGAAATTAGTTCAAATAATAACTGTACATTATACTTATTTTCATTGATAATTTCCAACAACATTAAATATCAACAGCTGAAAAGTTATTACATGTACAATGGGTCATGTGACCTGTCCTGTAAGTCAGGTATGTGTAATATACATGTAACTTAATTTCTTTACTTTTCATCCAAAACGAATAACATTCATCAAACTACCATTGTGATAACTTAACAAACAGTATGTCTATAAAGGACAATAGACAATTACCATTAGCAGTTGACTTATACAAAATAGATGCAACAGCTCCGCTGTAACAACTAAAGTAAAGAAATAGAATTCAATTCACATAATTTAGCATTGTTGAAGTAGACAATATTATACAGCTTTGAAATGACCCCACAAAAAGGAGCCAAAGTCTAAATTTATCTGATAAAATGAATAATACTTCTTTGTAATTTTTAAAACCAGTTTAAAATTCCTACCTAGTCTCCCATACCCTTTTAGCCGAGTTGGAGATTTCCTTATCAGCACTGTCTCTCTGTTGCTGCCCACCATCTGACTTTTGATGTAATGCTCCCAAAGGATCGAACACAACACCTATGCCAATCAGAACCACTATACCCATAACCCAGCCAAAGATAACTACCCCCTTGACAGTGAGCACTATATGCTTTTCACATCCACTTGATACTCCGAACGCCCAGTATGTTCCCATGATATTCCAAGCTAGCTCGGGTAACGTGATGGCAAATTTTGTATAAATCAGTTTAGATATTTTCCTCCTTGGTGAACAGTTTGTGATTGTACCTTGCATACTTACGTACACAACTGCAATTGTCATTAAAATACTAATGGCAAGAAGGGACAGAAGACCAATGTAATATGTATGCAGTAAATTACCATCATGGCAGTCTAACGTATCCTTATGCATGTGAAATATTGCTGAAACAACTGCAATCCTAGAAAAAAGGTATAAAATTTGAGTAATACTTCTACAATACAAAGTCTATAAAATGCATATATAACAATATCTCAAGAATAATCAATACAGGTACATGTGTTATGTATAGAATATATAATAAAAAAGATGAAAAAGCATCTTATATCAGGTTCTTTACCCTTCTACAAAAAGCAATATTAACTAATTTTTGAGGCTTTATGGTCCAGGATAAGGCGGACCGTGGGACAGGGCGGACCATACCAGGTGGGATCGTATGTTTGGACGGGGTGGACCATATTTTGGGACAGGGCAGACCGTGACTCAAGACGAGGCAGACCATGCATATTTTTAAATTAAATATTGCTATTTAATTTTTTTATATATGTTTTGGTATCATTATCATCCTAAACATGTCGTATATATCAGCATTTTCATATTGAACAGATTTGTATTTAAAATTTAAACATTGATCTAATACTAGTTAAATATGTATGAATTAATCAACATAAGGTGGACTGTGGATTAATCTAACATTATATGTATTATTATAAATATTGACCCATACAATTATAAGTATAAAATAAGTAGCATTAGCTAATGGGAATGGTTTGAGAAAATCTCATATATAAAACATATTTTCCTTTTGCGCTAATGATAATATAAACTCGAAACAATTACCTTAATTGTAATATTTTTATATACACCATTCATAATATTCTAGCTGTATAGAAGAATATAGATTATTTATATTACTTAATTACAATATGAAAACAAAGAAATAATTGTTATACACTGTATACATGTATATTAATTCACTAAACAGACATAATCTTAATTAAAACAGAGTACAAAAATCATTTCTAATAAAAAGTAATATAAACTAACTTGTCAAAGAATCAAAAATTAAGCAGAATTCAACACAAGTCAACCAGGAGCATGCAGCTAAATTTCATGAAATTGTGGCTATAATATTCCAACAAGACATAAAATTTGATAGCTGTGCAAGTTTTTTATGGCCCTGTTATTATTTTGTATTTAAGAATTATTACGTGAAATATAAATATACAGCCGTTGCTTTGTTTTAATGTTCGTCTTCTTTTTCGTAATTTTAAAATAAAAAATAGCCCTTTCTTGGCTTAAAATTTAAAATTTTTTTTCCTTTGGGTTTTATTATGGTTTTTAACAGCACCAACTTTTCTACTCTTTGGTTTCACTATAGATGTGAAAAACAATATTTCTGTACAAGTAAGGGATGTGAATTTTACTCAAAACCCTTGAATAATAACATTTTAAAAAAACTATTTTTTTTAAAATTTTGAACAAAAAAACACCCATATTTTTTTGAAAATAAGGTAATACTTCAGTCACGCTTAAAAATTCCCCCAGGATTCCTAACTTTCCCTTGGGGTTTCCAAAACTTGTGCCTCGCCATTCAATTTGTGATTTTAGTTTAAAAATTTCTGGAAAAGGAAGAATTAAGACCTGATAAAGGACATTCTGGGGCCGGGATATATAAGACACTTTAAGGGGTTTTACTCGGAAATGATTTCATTTACTTACTTTTTTATCCGGCATAAAAAGGCCGACAAATTTGCTCCTTTTTTAAAAACTTAAACTTAATTTTTCATAAAATATACAAATTTTCCTTTAAAAACAAAAATAAGAATTTTTATTACCTAAGTTTTAATCTTCCAAAAGTTAGCTGAATTTTGTATTTCAAATAACGGCCCATAGACCAAATTTTGTCAGGGGGGAAAATTTTCAAATTTTCCTGACATTTGGTTTTTTGATAATGTTCTTTTTTCTAAGCTATCCATGAGGTTTTTTGGGTCAAATTTTAAGGGCTCAATTAAGCAGTAATTCAATGTAATTCATATTTTTTTTTAGTTAATTTTTGTTAATTTCTTTTAAATTTTTCTGTAAATATGGCGCTTTTTAAAAACCTTTTTCCTGCAGCGCCAGGGAAAATGGAATTTTATGTTTGGCAATTTTAATTGGGCCTTTTGGGTCTAATAAGTAGGAACGGCTTTTCATTTGCTTTGCAAATCACATCGGAAACTAGGAAGAGCTTTTTGTAAATTTAGGAAATTTTTATTTTTTAAATTTTTAAAATTAGTAGCTCTTCAGAGTTGAATTAAAGGAAATTGTACAGAATAAACCTTTTATCAATAAAAGTTGTTATAATTGAACAGTTTTTGACTTAGCTCACATTGACTGTGTCAGAATTAGAGGATTAAAAGAACTGTTTACATTTTTTTCTGGAAGTGACCTTGAAACTTAATGATATCATTATACCAGAAAGGCAATAAAACTACGCAAAAGCTAAATTAACAATAAGGAACAAAAAAAAATGTCAGACTCTGAAATTCAAATATGTTTGCATGTACAGAAGAAGAGAACAAATTAACTCCCTGCTGCATATAGACATATAGAATAATTAAACAAAATTGCAGATACTGATTAGATACGAGAGCGTTGACAGAAAATGATAATAAAAACACCAAAATTCAGCCCAAAGGCCTGAGATTATTTTGGAGAATACCTGTTTACATTAACAACAGCTCGTTGAAGCGCAAATCACCTAGGGATTGTATCAAAAATGTTACACAAGCTCCCAACTTGGATAAGAAAGCTTAAAAACAAAGGGGGAAGTGAAAAACATAATTTTTTGATCTAAATTTTTAAACTTATTATGGTTAAATTAAGTAACTGTTGATTTGTTTTAATTTATGACTGTTAATAAAAGCACCAAAGCCCCCAAAAAGACTTTAAAAAATAAAGTGTTTAATATTTTTTCGACAATATTCAATAGGAAATAAAAGAGAGAATCAGAAAACAAAATTATTCACCCTAAATACAAAAAAAGGTAATTACAAAACAATGGTTCTAAATTTAAAAAAAGTAAGTAAGAAAAAGAGGATAAGCGCGAAACATTTTTAAAAATGTACAAGGGTTTAAAATGGGATTGGATATGAAATGACAAATTAAAATTGAAATTTTTTGAAGGAACACAGAGCTCTGTTGGGGTTTTTTGAAACTTTTTTTGGAAAGGGCCGAAAACCCTTTTTACTAGGGTTTAGTTATTTGCAAACCTTTTTCAATAACTTGCATGTTTTTAACCTTTGGGGAATTCAAACCTTGACAGGCTTGGTTTGGGGATAAATTTCCTGGTTAAGGTTTTTCAGTATCTATTCTTGGGTTTTTTGGGAACTGTCCCGGGAAATATTTTTTAAATATAAAGGGGAAAGGGTTACTAAAGGAAATTTGTAAACAATACATTTTACAAAAAAAAAAGGAACCTTTGGAATCAAAAAAAATTAAAAAAAAAAAAAGAGTGAATTTTATATAATTACTAGAAAATTTTGTGACGACTTTGGAGAAAAAATCAGAAAAATTTTTTAAGGAATTTCAGGTACCTACATCTGCAACTACTATTTTTTTAATTAACACCAAAAAAACCGTAAAAAAAAATATTTTCTAATTTTAAAGCTGCGGGATTTTCATTAAAAGGAAATATCGACATAGCCATGCATGAAACAAAGAGTTTCCTTAGTGGGTGTAAGTAAAAAATTTGGACGGGAAGAATCAACCGTACGAAAAGAAATAAAAAAACAAAGAAACTTTTAAAAAGTTTTTTAATTTTTTTCAAGGGGGAGATGTAAGGGACTTAATTTTTATCTCGGGCCTTTTAAAGAATAAATTTTAAAACAAACTATGTTATGAAAATTTGAACATCAAACAGCAAATTTTATTGACAAATAGGAAATACTTTCGTCCTGCTAAAACTTCCCCGACCCTGAATTTTACCTGTAAAACAAAACGGGCCCCAGCCTTAAATTTTTGCTGTTTTTATTTTTTTTAGAAAATTTTTCTGAAAAGGAAAGGGAATAAGCCAAAAAGCTTCTAGCTCTGGACAAAAAAACACTTGGGGGTTTTAATCTTGGGAAATGATTCATTCTTACTTTTTTTCTGGCATCAAAGGGCCGAAAAGATTTGTTCCCTTTTTTCAAAACTTTAAAGCTTATATTTATAAATATAAAAACTTACCTTTACATCAAAAAAAGAAGTAATTTTTATTTCCTAAGATTTAATTACCCAAATATAGTTTTAATTGTGTTTTCTTAACTTGAACCAGTAGACTCTAATTGTCAGGGGGGAAAATTAAAATTCCTGAACGGGAATTTTTTGTATAAATGTTCGTTTTCAAGCTAAACATGATTTTTTGGCCCATTTTCCCATAATTTAACATGTAATTCATGTTTTGCATATTTTTTTTTAGTTAACTTTTTTTAATTTCATTTTTAAATTTTCCTGCAAAGGGCTCCTTTTTAAGAAATTCCTTTTTCCCCCCTGCCAGACCCGGGGTAAAGGGTTTTAGATGGCAATGTGACGTCCTGCCACAAGCTATAAAGTAGCCATACAGGGCTGTTCTTTGCTTTTGGTTTAACCCGACATCGCAAAAACTTGACAAAGCTTTTTGTAATATTTTCATGGAAATTTTTATTTTTGAATCTATCAAATTTCTTTTCAAGTTAAATAAAAAATTGTAAAAAAAAACCCTTTTATAATAAAATTTTATTTAACTTTTTGCTTAGCTAAATTTTTTTTAATAAAGTTTGTATTTTAGCGGTAACCTCTTATTTCCCAAAAAAGCAGTAAATTCCAAAAATTGCCCATTTCACCTCATAACCCAACCGACGGGGTTATTAATAATTATAAAAAAATTTTAAAAATTTAATAAATACACTGAGTATGGGTGAATTTTTTATATTTTTTTACAAAAAAAATGGTTATCGTCAGCCGATGAAAATTTTTAATTTTTAAATACTACCAATAAATTTTAACCAAGTAAATGTTTTAAATTATTTTTTTATAAAAAAAACTCGATTTGCTAGACTCAGTAGTTACTAGTTTGCCGATTTTTCAAAGTAAATGTGTTACGATTCATTTGAAACACTGCAATCCTATTGGACAAAAAATAATTTCAAACACTAATTATATGTTTATGTTTATAATGATATTAAAACAGTGTTCGCGTTTACTGAGTAAACATATCAATTTACTCGCTAAAATTGCCAGGGAGGAAAGAAAAAAAGGGCTGTTGAGTCCCTGGGACGAAACACTTTTTCCCCGATAATTGGTCAATTCTCTCTTAAGTTTTTTTGCTCTGCTTGAAAATGATTTTCTATTCACTTTAAATAAATTGTATTATAAGAACTTGACTTTCACCTCATTTTCATTTGTTCCTTTCTCATTAGCAATGCAGATTTATATCCCAAACGTAGACTAGGAGCAAGTGCTCGGCCTCGTTTTGGGCCAACCTATCAATGGTATCCGCGAACATCAACAGTCTCAAATTTGATTGTATTATGAAGTTATGCAAACATTGACATTTTTGTAATTGAGGACTCGTTCCATTTGAATTGGGACGTAACAGATCTATTAGCACTGAGTCCCAGGTACTCAGTAAAGTTAGGGAAAATCGCTAACACTGTTAAAAGAAAAACAAAGAAACATCAATATTTAAATATTTAATTACAATAAATCACATTAAATAAATAAACCGCCTTGTCAGGTTGTCTCGAGTCACGGTCCGCCCTGTCCCAAAATATGGTCAGCCCCGTCCAGACATACAGTCTGCCCTGGTACAGTTCGCCCTGTCTGTAATTAGGCTTTTTGTGCCTTTAAATTAAATGTAAAACAAATCTCACCATATTGCTCTAAGGATTATTTCTCCAACTCCTGGATAGACAAAGTCATCGCTACCAATTGACCACTTTCTATTGAAAGCTACAAGCTGTGGCATCTTAAAATTAATTGCTCAACTGTAAAATAAAGAACCAATATATTATAACACACTCGCTTGAAAAAGTTCATCTTTAAAAAAATGTAGTTTAGGATACAAAATCATACTATCAATATTCCTATGCCAGTATGATTCCTTAGTTTGGTGATGTCAATATAAAATTATACGCATGTATATTTGGTAAGCTGAAGCGAACAGTCAACTTTTACTTTCCATTACAAGCTCAAGTCACACACTTTATAATTTTGAAAGAGAACCATCAAATGATGCTACAATTTAAATGATACAATTTGCAATGTTTTTTTGTTTGTATTTTTGCCTTAGATTTCAGGTTGGTAACCGACTTTTGACCAAGACATTTAAAGAAAATGTTATTATTTTTATTCAAGCCGAAGTATAGGAAGTAAACAGGTAAACCTTGAAATAGCTAAACAGCTAAATTATTTATCGATAAATCAATTTGTACGTGGTGTCTAGTAAAACGTCAGCATATTACATGTTTTGAAAAGTGGAAACGATTTATTAATTAATTGAAAATTAACCTTCTTTAAATCTTTTAAGTATAAATTTAACAAAACGTGTATTTCGTTTCCTGTTTTCCTTGTTTTGACATGTTGATAGTGGCCATGTTGGCAACACGATCTAACCACATTTGATAAAAGCGCTCCGATTGGGTCATTGAAATCTAGACTGTCCAATCAATGAAAACCGTACATTTCATTTTTATTTACCGATATAAGCCATACTAATTTGCCGTATCTGATACCGGGCGACAATTATTTTCAAAGTTTGTTTCCAACTGCTCCCAAAAATCTCCTTTTCTGCAATACATTGTATATACATATATTTAATAAAGATATGGCAAGTGTAGATTTCAAATAGGCAGTATAAGATGCTGCAGTATAGCTTTCAATAAGCTTGAAATAAATGATTTTAAAATACTTTGTAATTTAAGTTACCATTTCCTAGTTGTGTTGTATTGGTGTATGCTGCACACAAAATATATTTTTAAGTCAAATACTGTTGTATGTTAATATTTGGTGCTTATAATTCATAATAAAATCAACTAAATAAGTACAACAATGAGTTTGTTTATGTAGCTATTATTACTGATGATCATATTTTCCAGTAATATTCAACCCAACATAAATGAAAAAGTTAAAGCTTGGTGTACGGTTTTATTAAAACCTGTGCATAAAATATGTAATGTTATTTTGGCAAATTATTCATCGAAGTGACTATCTGTATCAAGTGCATTTATAGAATATATCAAAATATCTTTAATATGACCATTGGTTTATTTTTAGTTAAGGTAACGTAAATTACATTTTGCAAAAGTACTCAATTTGTTTCAGTGGTCGTTCTACAGATAATAATCGAGTTTGAATGCTGTAACTTTCCCAATTTGTCAGACACATATCTCTTTAACCATCTATGTAATAAAATTTTGATAAAAAACAAGTTCATTTTTTAACATTTTGTCAATTTAAGTTGGGCCTATCTTGTGAGAATGTACAGAGGAATTTTCCAAACTATTTTTAAAATCGTTTTTCATAGAAATGGTTTCAGTCGTCATTCTCAAATTTTATCACAGCTAGATTTTTGGCTACTTTCTGAAATTATTCGTCCGTTACAGATGACCAGTTCCTCAAGTATCAAATTTACTATTTATATCAGAAAATACGTGGTGTCAATTTACAAGTTATCGCAGAAATTAAGGTCTAGCAATATAATTGGCCATTAAAAAAACTGCAAAAAATGCATGGTACCCACAATGAAGTTTCATGATGATAATGTGATGATGTAGTGGCGTATGAACTATACATGGTGAAGACTGTGTGCCATGGGTTTCTTTAAAAACTTTGCATTTGCTATTTCTTAAGCACATTTTCTTTTACTACAGCAAAAATACTGGTACAAGAATAATAGTGTACTACATGTATGTCACAGTATCAATAAAGTCACCGAGATCCGGGGCCATGGTGTGTCTAAACAGACGATCTCAGTCATTAGATCTTAACTTCTTCAAGAAAGTTACCACCTAACATTAAGAGCGCGCTGACACAATGTACTGTAACCCTGTCAACATAAGAATATCTTTCAAAGAAACAATGATATTTGGACAAACACAAGTGTGAAAAGATTTATCAGATCCAAAACAAAGAGATAACTATATCAGGTATCAATACGAAAATAAGACGATGATGACAGCTATATATGTAAGTTGTGTATGCATCAACTATTTTTGATTTCCTTGGTAATTTGTTATCATGAATTCAAATGAATTGTTGCTTATCGTTTTATTTTCTTAAAATGACTTTTTCAACCTGTAAGGTCTAGGTCTCTAGCATCCAGAGTTGGACTAAATTTAAGATAGATAAGCTTAATTGGTTACAGTCAGTTATATCAAAGTGATAAGAAATGTATAAAACCATTGTATAGGAACCGCAAAACAATTTAAGGAGATATAATAATGGTAATGTTTTTTTTATGAGTTGCACTGTATATTACTATAATTGCTTGGTAATGGCAATATTAAATGTGAAGTATATCACGGCTGTAAAGATCCATGCCTCTAGATAAGCCAAATATTAAAAGAAAATAAAACTTGAGAAAATGTACAAAGTTTTGAAGAAAAGTAAAAAAGATTTGACTTGTAATTTGCAATTAAAAGGACTGTTTTTGCAGTAATTATCACCATATTTTTTCTGCGTGACTAACACAGTAAGGGCTACTTTTGCATAATTATCTTGACCTCTTTTTGGTATTGTTCCATGGATTGTATTGTCATTGAAATGTATAAATTTTTTCCTTTTTTAATTCGCAATATTTTTTTTTTACTTTTAAATACATTTTCAAAATTTTCATGAAAATTAGCAGGGATCTGGAGGCATGCTGTTATTTAAGCTATCAGTTGAAATCCGGAGACCGGAGACCGTCGATTAAATGGTTCCCTGAAAAGTGTCAACATCCGGTTCAAATTCCTCACAGTGATTACCTCCCTTGGCAGTACTGATAAGGGGAGATCACTGCGTAGGAGATTGCATCCGGTTGTCTGCTTAGCGCTAAATTTGGAACGAAAATGTACGATAAGTATCAGTCTGACATTCATTGAAACTAAATAGATGATGAGGAAAAATATTTTAACCAGATAATTTGATACAATGCCGTTCTGCCACGTTGTGTCGAAACTTTAAGTTTTTTCTTTGGTATTGGTGCGACTTCAGCTGGAGATCATTGAGTTTCGTCCCAAAACAAAACGTCCCATGTGTGTTAGCACACAGACAGTCACACTGTGTGTGTCAGAATGAAATTCTTCTTCTGTCTTCAGCAAGGGTTTGACTCAATGGAAGACAGATAAGTAGCCCTTTCCCAAAACTTTTTTTTTTTTTTTTGGAAATACATAAATATTTTTGTTTTGATTCTGTCTGTTGGAAAAAACGATTTAATAAAATGCGAATAAACATTTTAAAATTGATATATCTTCCAATTATACTCGGTTCCTATGATATCAAGGGTTCTATGATATCAAGGTATTTAAATTTTCTGTGACTGCTAGTAAAAGCAACACATGATGATGCTAATATTTGTAAAACTTGCACACTAGATTCATTTTCATCTGCCAATAAATTTAATTTGGTGAATAATGAATGTATTTGTGACAAGAAAACTATTTTATAAAACCTTCATATTTGACTACCATTTTCCTTAGTGGTTTTTACACAGTCAGTTAAAATATGTTATTAACACATATACTGACATATAGTCTGTTCATATAGTTTTAATTTTATAGAAAGTTAACTGATGGAAGTTTTCCACAACTTAACTTGAAAGTTTTGACCCATCAATCCTTCCATATCTGCTTTTTTGGGGATTACCTTGATACCGTAGTAACCTCCTCTGAAATGACCCAAAATGGCAGGCATTGAAAATATTCTAAAAAATGTCATTTTTATTGGTTCTTTTGAAATAATTTTATGACAAACAGTTCTGGAAAAGGTTCAATTTTAAGATGGAAGAAAAATCTCATTCATTTATGATATTTATATTTAAATATTTTCCGATAAACGTTAAGTACCTTGATATCATAGAACCCCGGGCTAGTCAATGAAAGAACTAAAGAAGTATTGTTCTTTCTAATTAAAATACATGTAACAAAAACCAATTTTGAACATTTACCCAACATGTGAGAGGCTGACTAAAACACTCAAATATACATGAATGACAAGAACACTGACTCAAATATACTCAAGTATATTATGCAAAATAACTACTGAACAACAAAAAGCATCATTATACATCAACAGTTTCAAGTCTGCTTACATTTTATCTTCACTTAATGAATAGTTAGTAACACAATAAGAAAAAAAAACTTCAAACACTATGCAACTTAAGACAAGTAAACAGTTAAGCCACAGTCCTAATTGTGCAAATACCAACATAATTTAGGTTCACATTATTCATTTTTTTATATGACACCTACTGGGAATGTCTTTCTTGTGGACAGTGATGCATTTCTCACAAACTGGAAGTACAATCCTATACTTTGTTAACAGTTCAGGAATGCACTGTGCTTCTAGCTCAGCACAATGGGCACAAATATCTGGTCATCCAATGTTGGAGGCATAGTAAGGGAACTCCATGTGAGATTGGCATGACATCTGCAGTCGTACATTTTACAAACACTCTCCCTTAATGCAGCGCATCTCCTATGAAAACAGACAGAAGGCTAATTAAGCTTTATGCAATACAGATTTTGCCAAAAATGCAAATATTTTAACATTTTTAATTATACAAACACCATGGGAAATATATAAGAAAGAACAAAGTTAGGTTTCTACTTTCAGTTGATTATTTAAAAACACTTTGACATTACTGTTTCAAGAAAATAAGCTCAGAAATGTGCAATATCAATACTAACCATCAACAGTACTGACTGAAACACAGCTGTAATCAAATTCTCAAGGTTGTGTTCAAGAGATCATGTTTCCCTGACTGTCAATTTATTCTTGGAGTAAATACACCTTTGTGTATCACATTCAGTGCATGGAACAAATAGCCTTGCATTTTGGGCCACTAGAAGACTATTCTTAAAGCCCTGCAATAATGAGAAAATGTGATACCTTTAACATTGAAATGAGTGCTGAAATGGTACCAGTACTAAGGCGGGTGGTACTAAAAACAATAAGATAAGTGCATTTGTTGGTTGAAGAAAATGATTATTAAATAAATACTGGTATTTATAAATGAATGAGTACATACAAGAAACTTAATTGATTTACAAAAACTTTATTTGAAGTCGTTTACATGAGCATTCAATACTAAATTAAGTTTTTAACCATTTTTTTCAATGTCAAAGCATACCGTAGGAACATCTGATTTTTTCGGGTAAAAATCCTTGGCGTCATTCAACAGATCGGCCCTTGTCCAGACCAATCCATACTCGTGGAGGTTATTTTTCAACAATGTAAACCGCAGCCAATATTATTTGTAATAATAACTGTTGACGAGATGATAAAATACTTGTCTTCTTCTAACTTTCGTTTTGCTATCGCAAAATTGTAACGGAAGTGTAAACAATCGACATTTTACCCGGCGGTACTTGATTGGCGATTCACGTGACGCATTATATGCGGGAACCAGAATACTATAGGCGGTTATTTAACGGATATTGGTAAAAATATGCGGCACCAAAAAAAAAAAAAAAAAATGGTCGGCGAGAGCAAATAAAATTTTTTGGAGCGCAGCGATTTTTTAGGGTCGGTCGGGAGACAGCAAACAAAGCTTTTTTTAATTTTGGCCTAAAATGTTATTTTTTTTTTGAAATAATATCCTTAAGGTACTTTATACCGGGAGGTACTTTGTACCAGGAATGTCCAGATATTACAAACAATATCTACATGAACAATTTCATTTGTATGCAAGTGTTTCTTACATTAATTTCATACAAAATATAGCATTTTTTGAAGAAAATTCAAAGTTTTAATAACCCTATTCACATAAATGTGTTTTAAGTATAAAAACCAGTAATATTGCTAATGATTTGGACCCAACAAGATATTTTGAATGTGTGTGCAATGCTTATCAAATTGTTACCCTTTTACTGTGTGATAAATGATAAATATTGAATAGAACTTTAGTATCATTAACAGTAATGGACCATTTACATATGTTTTTAACTTTTTATTGATTGCTTAAAAGTCATTCCTGGTATTAAGTACTTAAAAACAAAGATGGCTGCCACTCATATGAGGTTATTAACAGAACTATCTTTTTGATATATAGATATAATTTCTTTTGGATGATTGTTATTTTCATCAAAAAATGGTACCTTCTACAGAAAATAACTTTTTTATCCTAGATTTTTTCTGTATTAGATGATGGTTTGCCTAATAAGGCTTACACTCCCGGTAGATAGTACAACCAGGATACATTGTCATGAATTTGAACAGAATTTAACACGCCAAAATTGATAAAAAATAATTTACATAATTAAAAAAAGAAAGAAAAAATGACTGGCATCCTCTGTTAAGACTGCATTCCTTTTATCTATCTTCCTTTTCTTACCATTGTTTGTTTGTTTGGATTTTTACGGTACATCAACACATATCGTGCCAAATGCTATAATACTATAAATAGGCTTAAAATGTTATGTAAAACTTTGTAAATGACAATGAAAATGAGCCAATGAGATCCTAGAATACAAGTTTATCTCTTTCAAATAATGATGTTTTTTGATGGAATTGTATTAAAGAGTTCTTTGAGTGAATTTACACAATAAAATCTATTACGGGCCTGTAAAAAATCATGACATTCAAGAAGAAAATGCTTGACAGTAAAATTTTCATTACAAGCTACACAGAAAGGGGCATTGTCATTCGTGTGGAGATAAGAGTGGGTAATTTTAGTGTGTCCAATTCGGCATTGAAGAATAACTGTTTGATCATGGCGGTTTGACATCAAGAGATGGGTTTATATTGCAAAGTTTATTAAAAACGGCATTGTCCCAATTTGCTTTCCATTCAGATGATACGAGTTTATTTATAGCCGGTCTAAAATCACAAACAGGTAACTGTTGATCAATAAGTCAGTTTTTTGAAAATTTAATGATTGTTTAGCTAAAGCATCTACTTTTTCATTTCCTCGTATACCTACATGACTTGGAATCCAATATAATTTAACAGATTTTGTTTAAAGTATATCATGAAATCGTAAAAGAATCTTCCTTATCATGATATTGTCAGATTTTTAATGGATATTAAAACAGAAAGCAAGTCAGAAAATATCACAAATTTATCATGGGTATGCTGTACTATGTATGACAATGCTAAATCTATAGCTTTTGCTTCAGCAGTAAAAATTGATGCATTATCTGGTATAAATGCCATAGAGAAAATCCCCACTTTCAATCAAGGCTAGGTATAGATGTACTAAAAAATAAAGATTACTATTGGTTTTGCTTTTGAAACTGTTAAAATGTAATTGCCTTGGAAATATGAGAACACAACTTTACTCACTAGGCAGCAAATGGGTTTTTATTGCCATGTTGTGTAAATAATTGCTTACATGCAAACATTAAAAGGAATAAACTATGATGTAACTGAGATGTCTTTCCTACATTATTCAACATATTTTCCAGAATTTTATTCTTCTAACGGTAACTTTTGTTGTCTATGTTAATGTGTTAAGTAACACGGAAATATGAGGCACCAGTATAGTCCCTAGGCTATGCAAATAAGAAAACAAATCAGTCTATTTGACTTAAGACATAGTTGTGTTATTATTGTCCCAATTCAGCCCCTGGTTTTTCTTCTTTCAGTTTTACAACATCACAAAAATATAGCCACAATGAGCATACAAGTTATACAGTTTTTGAAGGAATCGTAAATTTTGTTGAAAAATATACTACTATGCATATTTACATGAAAGTAAAGAAAGTGGGGGATATCTGGGGGTGTTTCAGGGCTCTGCTTAGACCAAACTTTTGGGAGAAGTGACTTCTCCCTCAGCTCCCATCAAAGATATAGGGAGAAGTGAAAAGGTGCTTGTTCTGAAAAAATGATGTTTTATCTGTTTACTCAGTAATATTCATTTTAAAATATGTACAGTAATTCAAATGTAGATTTTTTTTTATTTAGTAATATTATTATACGATCTCGGATCATTTTCTGTAAAGAAGAACTCTCAATGTTGCCCCAGACCATGATATTTCTACACAACCGTCGAGTTCGATATATTTTATAATAATGCATGTTTGTAACATTGCTTTTCATTGGACAATCTTGAAGTTTATATAGTCAGCGCCCCCTTAGTCTTTTAGACTTTATGGAGGTCAGCATAACACAGTCACAATAGGTCGGATTGACTCCAAACTTGGTATGCATGCTTTTTTTCAATAACCCAAAGTGCAGTGCACAAGAATCATTACTCTGCACTTCTTATTTTTTGAGTTATTGCCCTTAGTTAATTTTAATTCATACTTTATTTTTGTCCGGCCGTTTCTCCTAAACTATAAAAGCAATGGACTTGAAACATCATAGGATAATAGATCTCATTGAAAAGAAAAGCAGGTCACATAAACCGGTACTCTATACTTCATGATTTTTGAGTTATTGCCCTTTGTTAATTTTCATACTTATTTTTTGTCAATTCTCCTACACTTAAAAAGCTATGGACTTGAAACTTCATATGATGATGGATCTCATTGAAAAGAAGTGCAGTGCACAAGAACTTGTACTCTGCACTTCATGATTTTTAAGTTATTGCCCTTTGTTAATTTTCATACTTAATAGGCTTGTCTAGAGCATAACTCGGTCACTAGAAGTCTGATTGAATCCAAATGTAGTATGCAAGCTTTTTTCATTGACCTGAAGTGCAGAGCGATCCATTTGATCTGTCGGTGTAAAACTTTTCCATGGTATTTTTATTTTTGATAATATAACAGTTTTATTAATTTTGAAGTAACTTTGTTACAATCAGTTCAAATGCCAGTAAAGTAAAGGTTAGTGTATTGCAAGAGCAGTGCTTTTAAATAACCCATATTTAAGAAGAGAATGCCTAACTGACAGCTATACTGTTGACAAGGCGACACATCCGACTCGCAGAGTTCTAGTTTCTTATTGTAAACTCCATTACATTAGAGCCAATCATAAGTATGGCGGGTGTTCCTGATTGGTTGCATGACCACAGACACATCAAATCATTGCTGTAAATAATTGTGATGTGCTAGTATTTTGCTAATCACCGTTTGATCAGCATTTTTAAATGACTTATATAAGCAGGAAAATCACTGCACTGTTATACATGAACCAGATGTACTCCCATAACTGTGCTTTATTTAAAATAAAGCACACTTTTTCTAAAGAAGTGTGCATTATCTTAGATATCTCGCTTTGCGTTATTGTCAATAAAGCATGTTACTGGTGTATAACAGTCGAGGAACATCAAAGAAAAATCACCGCACCATTCGATAAGTTCAAGTTACACCATAAGACGAAAATTTGATTTATTGACAAACACTGTTTGATATGTAAAGATCTGTACGTGCAGTAAGTAAACAGGCATGGTGAAGTTGATTTCATTTTGATGTTCGAACTAGGCGAAGTTCAGAAACTTTAGGTGACTTAGTCATTCAAATTGCATTGTTCTAACATACATGTACAAAGATTTATGTTTCAAGAAAGAGTTCAATTGTAACAAAGTACTAAAATAATAATGTAAACTGACATGTAGTTTGTCATATTTATTTAATGAAACAATATAATTTATATAACACAAACAAATTATAACACAAATTTCTATTGGAAAAATTGTATAAGAATGGTTTTATTCAATTTATTCCTTTTGTACATTTCATTTATGAGTAAAACATGATTAGCAATTCTGGAAATGGTTTGTGCTGTTTGATTTTGATAGAATTATCAATTTTCATTTTTCATATTATTATTACCCAATGTGTTTATGCACTAGTTTTTTGTACAAATGAATTTTGCTTTGACATTTTTCCAAAGAATTTTCAAAGCAGCCTTATATTTTCTATCAGTTGCCATGTAAATGTATGGATTAACTAGAGAATGCATGTAATATAAAACGGCAAGGATGTCCTCGTATACCCAAGGTTCGATACAATGACACGGCACATCAATAACTATTGCAATATTATATGGGGCAAACATCAAAATAAAACAAGCTATGACAATAGTCACTGTTCCGAACAGTTTGCAGTATGGCGATGTCTTCTTGAGTACACTTTTAATACTATCACATTGTCTCAGTTTAGATGAACGTGTGGATTCGCTCCTGTCTCTGGTTTGTGGAATCTCCAAACTTTGCTCTTTACCCTCAGCATTTATTTCATTGTCTTTGTTGAATGCACTTTCAATAGGTTCATTATTGTTATCAGCATTGTCTTGAAACTGGTCAGAAATGATTCCTGTGTCTTTTGAATTTTCTAATTGATCAAATGTATTATTAAGGCCCTTATTTTTAAACTTAACTGAGTTAGATTTTTCAGTAAATTGCACACTGGCTTCAAGGGTTTGTTTATCATGATCAGATGTTGAGCTTTTATTTGGTTGTGAAATGTTGCCATTATTTAATTGCTTTGCATCACATGCTATGGTTTCATTACTCTCTTGCTTTGATTCCAGTTTGGAGTTTTCAGATTCTTTAGAAGTTTTTCTTTCATTGATTTCTGAGGTTTCATTTATACTATAACCTAAGTTTGTCTCTCCATTAAGTTTCAAAGAATTCTTGTGTCTTGTTCGCAGCACATTTTTTTCTGAACTTATTTTACGAAATCCAATAGTTTTAACTTTGGTTTTTGTCTCAGGAGTGCCTATGACAGTGTGTCTACGTGGTCTGGCCCTCTCAGTAGTATGTGTGGATTCTGAATCAGTCTCTGATGTGTTGGATATTGTAATGGTGTGGATCTTTTTTATATGTTTACTAGCTATACATGTTATTCTGGAACTGGTGAAACATAGGATTAGAAATGGTACGAAAAAACTGAATATGACCGACGGAAGAACATAAGCATCTGTCATAACAAATACACAAATATTTGTATTGTTTGGAAGCACTAAAAAGTGATCTTCAAAGTACATGTCTGTTCCAACTTTTGTTAAGATGGAAACCATTGCGAATATAAACACCATTGTCCAAACACCACCTATCATGAGTAAAGCAATTTTTCGTGTCATTTTATCGTAATAATGGATGGAATAAGTTATGTAAATGTATTTGTCTATGGAAACTAGGACTATGGAGTATGCGGATATTGTGCTGAAGGAAATGTCGGCAAACGTGAAAAATTCACATGTAGTTTTACTAAATGGCCACGTCCCATAATACTCCCAGATGGTATTAATTGGTACGACTGTCACCGATATAATCAGGTCAATCACCGCTAAATTCAAAACGAACCAATAGGAAACTTGTTGTCGTAATTTTTTAGTGTAACATATTGCCACTATAGATAATGTGTTTCCAAAGAACATGAAGACGTTTATTATACTCATGAATGTCACAAGAACTGCCTTTATGTCCGTCCACTCTGCATCGTTAATGTCCTTGCGTAAAATGGCAGGATGGTCCTCGAAGACCATTATTTTGCCGTTGTCACTGGTTATAAATCCACTTCCTGATTTAGCCATTTATTCAATTTTTACCATATTGTTCACTGAAAACAATAATATGAAAAATTGTATTGTTTATAGAAAAGGTCCTTTGTAGAAAGCTTTTGTGATCAGTTTAAATGCTTGTATAGTTTGCTGACTGTGACAGTTGTTTCTCAAGCCAGTGAGCATACTATTCCTCATAAATACAAATCTGAAATGTTAAAGAAAACAAATCTGTTGATATTGTGTATTATAAAAGCTTCCAGTAGTTTATTGAGATTTTTTATTTTGTCAATTTAGATTTTTTTTTTTATTATTTAAGGGGATTGTATTTAGTTTTTGTTTATGGAGATCTTTTATGTTCTGACTTTATTTAGAACTCTTTTTTTTATGATTTTATTCACCAACAATTTTTTTTATATTAAAATGATGATTTTCTGGAGCTTTCTTCTGAAATTTTATTTTTATTTCTTTTCATTAAAAGGGGTCTTTTGAATTGATCATCAGAGACTGTATGGATTCATTCTTCACAAACGCACAAAACATAATTTTTTGAAGCCAATTTGAGACCAGTTTTGTACTTATTTCAATTGATTTTAGGTGGCTAGATTTATTTTTTTATCATCAAATAGTTCTACTAGTTAGATTTTTGACAAGTTTTTGATATCTTTCAGGTCTTGAAAATATTTAAAGTAATAAGAAGAATGAACAGGTGTCCAGCCAAAATATACCACATGTAAAAATGGAAAAGCAGTTTGTTGTAAGTATTCCTGTAATTTCTATCTATCAGTTTAAATCAGAACAATATATTTTAATTTTAAGAATTTTAAAATGATTTACTATGAAAAGGAAATTCACTGAGATCCAAAGGCCTAAAAATGTAAAATTTGAAATTCTTACATAGATCAACTGGGGCTCTTAAAACAGAAGCATAAACAAAAATGTTCAAAGAAATTTAATTTACCCAGAATTTAATTGAAAAAAAAAATAAAAAAAAACAAATGTGCCATTCTTAGCTGATTTAATTTAAAAGCGTTTAAAATGCTTTCATTTTAGGGTCAGTCGTAATGGTTATTCTTGATAAAAGAATTGAGCTAATGACCTGAAATTTTGCAGTTAGGTTATTGGCGCAGACCTACATCAAATGTTACGAAAATTAAGAAAATTAATTCCTGTCCGGTAATGTCAATAAACCGTTGTGGAGTCCCTTTAATGACAAAATTCTACATTAATAATTATACAGATTTTTTTTTCAGAAATTACAATTTTTTTCTCTTCTAATTTTAAAAATGCTTATTTCTCAAGAAGCAATTATTATTCTTAGGGTTAGTAAAGAATGAGAATTTGGAGGTATTCAATTTACAGTGGTTTTGAGCTGTAGATATATTTTGTTTTCCATTCTCCTAAAACCTTATTTTTCTTAAAATAATACCATAATTTAGCTCCATTTCTCTTTCCAGAAAGTAACTATGTTGAATGTGTGTTCTCTCCACCTCTTGTTTTTCTATCAGAATGCGTTTTTTGATTGCGTAAGGAGCTTTAAGAAGAATCTTTTGCCTTTCATTTAAATATTTCATTATATAACATTATTAACCCCTGATTTGGAAAAGGTTCTGATTAGTAATATACTTTGGCAAAATGCATTTATTAATTTGATGATTTAATTATAAAATGTGTAACCAATTATATTAGAAAGTGAGATTTTATTTCATTAACCCTTTCACTGCCATAGGGATGGCTTAAGCCGTCCCTGTTATTTTTGGCGTATTTGCCATATGGACGGCTTTAACCGTTTCTTTAATAATAATGATAATAATAATAAATTAATAATAATTATAATAAAAATAATAAAAAATATATACCATCGACAATAATTATTATTATACTAACAGATTTGGAAACATATATAATTATTATGTTACTAATAACAAATAATTATAGTTATATTAATTAATAATATAATAATTTCCAAGAAAACCCTCTGGCAAATCAATAAAACAATAACCCTCTGGCAGCGAAAGGGTTAAAAAGCTATGAAAAATAAAATATAAAAAAAATAAAAAATTCTGATTTCTTGAAAATTTGGCTGTTTTATTATTAGTTTTACCCAGGTAACTCAGATTCTACAGATATGACATCAGTCGTCTGATCATAGTTTGCACTGTTAGCTAATTTTCATTGAAAGGCTATCAAATATTAAATATGCCACATTGCAGAAAAGTTCAGATTTATTACTGGTTTACATACAATCGTAAATTCATATAATTCATTCGGTGCAAAATTAAGTTCATATTTTGTAACACGTGTATATTCAGTGACAATTAAGTTAGAGACAAAATGTCTTAAGAATTATTTCCAGCATTTTCATGATTGAAAATAGTCCTGTTTTAGTTAGTAGTTTAGAAATATTGAACAAGACTAAAATAATCTTATGATTTTTTAAGGCTGAATTTTGGCTGAAATTCTGCCCCATTCCCCGCTTCTGAAAGTATATATTTCCCACTATTTCTGAAAAAAAGAAAATGCCTCCAACAGTTTAAATTTTTTTTTAATTTTTGGGATTCATTTTATAAAATATCACCTTTATTCTTTAGATAGATTTTTTAAGAGTGACAATAAATTTAGTTTGGAAAAACATCCATGATTTTAGGAACTTTCAAAATAGGAGTTAGAATTGTCAGCAAATTTTTTAACTGGAAAAATAGCAATATTTAATTTTTAAAAAAAAATATTTGCTGGTTTATGATAAACCATTAGAATTAAAATAAAAATAGTAACTAAAATTTATTATATATTTTTAAATGGTTTGAATGAAGAAGCTATTTATTTAATTTTTATGACAGATTTTGTACACACATCAGAAACAGAAGAAGGCTAAAACTTGGCATGATGGTGTTCTTAAACACAGTGGGACTGGTACCAAGGTAAATCATATAATACAACTTTAATTGTGATTTATGCATAAATGTGTAAACCCTTCAATAATTCTATGGGTTTCAGCTTTTTTTTTTTACGCAGATTTAAAATTGAGAATTCCAAAGGTTTTCAGAGAATTTTAGTATAGTATAAACTACTAAAGGCGATTCATAATACAAATAATATGTAATTAGAATTTAAAAAACAAACAAAAAAAAACAACAAACAAAAACAACACCTGTTTAATGGCTTGAAATAAAAAATATATATATTTATTTAATTTTACCCATGAAATATGGTGCTATATCAGTCAAATATATTTCATATTTTTAAAAATAAATATGGAATATAAATATGAAAGTGGACGGAGTCAAAAGTCATATTTATTTTAGGGGACTTCTTTCGCCATTTTGTTTGAAAAATCTGATAAATACAAAACAACTTTTTGTTGAATTTAGTTTTGAAAACTATCTAGAATGATAGAAAATGGTCTAACTAAGAAAATAAATCTGAACACCAATATCTTTAATTCATCCATTAACGCTGTAAAGACGTTTGAAAGAGTTGTTTATGTGACGTCACAATGTATTGCTAAATATCGCGTGCAAAACAAGACAATAATTATATTACTGCGCGCTGTACATTTGCAATTGTGTAGCAAGCAATGGTATTCGTAACCATTTTTCTTTGATAATGAAATTAAATAAAAAGGTTCGTTTTTCGTGAAATATGGTATATATTTTCACTCAACATGATAAATTGCCACATATTTAACTCAAACGAAAAAATATCCTCTTATTATATAAAAGAATTTCTTCTCCTTTTACTGTTGGAATTGAGTTTTAGTACTAGAATTAATTTTGATAGATGATGTAATTTGAAGAAAACAGGGTAGTAACTGCTATTTAATACTTAGATAAGCGTTTTCATTCTCCCATCTTTTCCTTGATATGATATTGTGTTAATGGAATCATTCAATAAAACCCCTAATGTCCTATTATTTTCATTTCTCAAAAAAAAATTTATTTTTTTGATGTTCTGGTTTAAAAAAAGTACTCATTAGACATTTAGCCGGACCATGTTTTGCTTCTTTTGCTCATTGGCAATTAGTTAAAGTGATGCAGTATTTTGTATGGAAATTAAAATACCACTTTGTTTACAATTTGCTACCCTTTATGACAGATTATTTCACATTATTTGCTATTTACTCCTGATGATTAACATCTTTTTATGCTAAAACATTATTAAACACATTCTTGCCCAATAATAATTATTTCTCTGGCATAATTTTTTACATTGAAAGAAAATCAAATGTTTTTCCTATATTTGTTAATTTTGTAAGCATACTGCTTATTAATTGATAGTGAATAGCTTTGATCGTAAAGAAATACCAGTATGAAATAAGAAAACAGATTTTTGTGATATGATCTTATGATCTTGATATGAAATTAAAAAATCTTTTCAACCTGTCATTTAGACAATATTACAATTGAACTTCAGAATAATGTATTTCTAGAATCTAAAAAATGTAAACATGTTTACAATTTAAAGGGCAACTTTTTTTATGTTATATGCAAAGTCAGGGTGAACTTTATTTAGTATCTTTATAAGCATGTTAAAGCTGCATGCCTAAAGATGCGCTACACATTTCAAGAAAATCAACTATGAGAAAAATAAACAGAGGTTTTAAGAAAAGTAAAAAAATATGCACAATTCAAGTAATGATTTTTATGTTATATGCAATGAATGACTTATTTTGCTGTATTTATTACCATATTTCTACTTTTTGACTAGCATTGTAAGGGCTATTTTTGCATATTTTGACCTTAATTTGGTAATTGAATTGAATTAAAAGTGCTGTTTGCAATGTGTTAATTTTTTTGTTCACTTGACATTATTATATTTTTTTAATTCATTTTCAATATTATCATGAAAATAAACATGAATCAAGAGGCATGCAGCTGCATATTTTGACAAATTGTATGTACATGTAATGCATGTTGATAATAAGTTTATTATGCTAACTATAAATAAGTCATATTTGTTAACTTAAACTTTGTTAAAATTAACTTAAAATATTTTTTAAATTTAAACAAATTTTTAAAACTTTTATGAAATTTAACATTTAATCTGCACGCTGCTTTAAAATAAATTTTATTAAAAATTTTTGTTTCCAGAATATCTGACGATAGTACTTACATCATTTTAGTCCTGTAATTTTATTCCAAATGTAGCATGTGCTCAGAAGTATTACACACATGTATATTTATCACCTTGGCACTTGAGAAAAAAATATTTGATCTTTCTCTATTAGACGTGATGTTTCAAAATGTAAAGTTATAAAAACGACTCGGTTGACGTTAGTACACACACAGTAGTATCTGACTCATATACGTCACATGTTAGGTTTTTAAAACTAAAATCTCGTCGAAATACTTAAAACTGCCAATATGTTGACACACTATCAGTGTTTTACTGCCCAGTTTTGGTCATTGACATCGACTCCGTACAAAAGAGTGATCAAACGTATATTTGTTTGTTTACTCTTTGAAGTCTTACGAAGAAAAACCAAAAAAACCAGTCCAAGGGTGATATGCCGACCCCTTGTGGAGTGGAGATGTTGGTGAGCTAGTACATAGGTGCCTTTAGAAGTCGGTGAAATATTACACCGAAATAAGAAAAACTCCCGATAGGGAATGCGTTTTAAGCTGTAGATTAAAGAACAGATTATTTATTATCAATGTCGAATCACAAAGATATGATCTTAATTTTGAACATTGTTTTATGATGTGCAAATAATGAATCTCTTTGAGCTGTGCTTAGTTTTATTGTAGCTGTCTTTTAATTTTCAGTGTACGGCTAAAAATAGGATTATTGCATGCAATAAATTATTTAAAATTAGGTTGTTTATCAGTGAAAAAGTTATAAAAATGAATTTGTAGCGATAAAATGTCATAATTTATTGCTGCACTGTATTTGTACTTTTATGATTGAAGGTTTTAGTCATATACAGTGTTAAGTCAGAGTAATATTTGTGTCAAGAAGCTAGATCATATACATTGTTTACAATTTTTCTATCAGCAAGATAATAGTTTTATGCCTCTACCACTTATACTTGTTTTGCCTTTAATTCCAAAAGTATAACTGTTAGAGTCACGAAACTTTCTAAGAATAGTTGTCAGCATAATGAACTTAATAACCTGGTTATTTTGACATACATTTATTGAAGGTCAACAGAATTACAATGTATGGGCTCTGATTACTTGGAAAGTATAACTGCTAGATTCATAAAAATTTCTGAAAATAATTGTCAGCATGTGAACTTCTTGACCTTGTTTTTTTTAAGCAAATTTATTGAAGATCGGCAGAGTTATTGCTCCTAAATAATTAACTCTAAAAGTATAATGCTAGAGTCATGAAACTTTCTCAGAATATCTGTGTCCATGTGAATTTTAGCACCTTAGTAATTTTTCAACAAATTCTTTGGAGATAAGCAGAGTTTTGGCCCTTGATTCAGCAAAAGTAAGCATATTCAGACTTTCGCCATGTGTAACTCAAAAAGTATAATTGCTATGTTTTAATGCAATAATTGTACAGATTTTTTAAGTCAAAGTAGTGTTATGTGGGGGCATTTTGTCCTGTGTCCTATGGACACAATTCTAGTTCCCCCCCTTCAAAGAATGGGGGATTATTTTGCTTTGCATATGTCTGTCTGTCGGTCCATCGGTCTGTCGGTCCTTAGACCAAATGGTTTCCGAGTGTTAACTAAAGAATGCTTAGGCCTAGCAAATGACCCCTATTGATTTTGGGTTCAAGGTGTCAAAGGTCAAGGTCACATTGAACTTGTAGGTAAAAACGGTTTCCGATCACTAATGATAGAAGGCCTAGGAACTTTAAACTTGGTATGATGATTGTTCATGACCAGCGGATGAACCCTATTGATTTTGGGGTCAAGAGGTCAAAGGTCAAGGTCACATTGACCTTGTAGGTAAAAATGGTTTCCGATCAATAACTAAAGAACACTTAGGCCTAGGAACTTCAAACTTGGTTTGAAGATTGTTCATGACTAGCAAATGACCCCTATTGATTTTGGGGTCAAGAGGTCAAGGTCACATTGACCTTGTAGGTAAAAACGGTTTCCGATCAATAACAATAGAAGTCTCGGGCCTAGGAACTTCAAACTTGGTATGATGATTGTTCATGACCAGCGGATGAACCCTATTGATTTTGGGGTCAAGAGGTCAAAGGTCAAGGTCACATTGACCTTGTAGGTAAAAATGGTTTCCGATCAATAACTAAAGAACACTTAGGCCTAGGAACTTCAAACTTGGTTTGAAGATTGTTCATGACTAGCAAATGACCCCTATTGATTTTGGGGTCAAGAGGTCAAGGTCACATTGACCTTGTAGGTAAAAACGGTTTCCGATCAATAACAATAGAAGTCTCGGGCCTAGGAACTTCAAACTTGGTATGATGATTGTTCATGACCAGCAGATGAACCCTATTGATTTTGGGGTCAAGGGGTCAAAGGTCAAGTTCACATTGACCTTGTAGGTAAAAAACCGGTTTCCAATCAATAACTAGAACACTTAGGCCTAGGAACTTAAAACTTGATTTGATGATTGTTCATGACCAGCAGATGACCCCTGTTGATTTTGGGGTCAAAGGTCAAGGTCACATGGACCATGTAGGTACCAGTATTTAACCCTTATTGATATTTTTGTCACTAGGTCAAAAGTCAGTCATAATAAATTGATCACATGACTATTTGGCTGCCGATAGGGCGCATACATATTTTACAAACATATCTTGTTTTATATTAGTATTGAAAACTTCCAATGGTCATTCGCACTGTACCTCTGCTCTGGCTTGTACAACAGAGAAACTGAAGGCAACTAGTACTGTTAAACTGCTTGACAGCATGCCAAGGAACAATGCGGTGGCTGAACTGTGCTCTGGTTAAATCATTGTGGCTTACTGCCGTGATCAGGACAGTAAACTACCACCACCACCATTACCACAAAATGAGAGTAATTTGATGATTCTACTTTGAGAATAAAGTTTGTTCACCTATATTTAATGAACATTGCAGGCTGTGTTATATGATGAGAAAGGGTGTAGACTGGACAGTATCCATATGAAAGTGGAAGATATTAAACTTGGTGAACAGTTGGAAAGTGACAGATACTATATCCTGGTTGAAGAGGTGAAAGCTGAAGGCAGTAATGCTCAGACAGGTGAGACTAATGGGGCGTGCTTGAGTTGTGAGGGATGTTGCTTTTTTCATTATCCCTCATGTACTGACTCAATCAAACCTAGTCTGCAATGTTCATGTGATTTTGCTGATCTTAATGCTTCCAAGGGATAATTTTTTCCAGATATTTATAAACTGATACTTAATGAAAGTTACTTTATTTCTTATTAAAAAGATGATGATTTCTTGAATTGTATAATGTAAATTTCCCTTGTTTGTAAATTTCTACATATGAGTTAAATTTTCAAATTTAAAGCACAAAAAGTGTATCAAACATGTATATTTATGCAGGGGATTCAAAAGATGTGAAAAGTTATTATGTCTCCCCCACCTCGGGGGGGAGACATATTGTTTTTGCCCTGTCCGTCCGTCAGTCCGTCAGTCCATTCTTCGTTTCCGGACGATAACTAGAGTTCCTTTTGACCTACAGCCCTCAAACTTCATAGGATGATTGGTCTTATAGAGCTGATGATCCCTATTGTTTTTGGGGTCAGTAGGTCAAAGGTCAAGGTCACACTGACCGTTGGTCAATTTCTCGTTTCCGGATGATAACTAGAGTTCCTTTAGACGTACAGACCTCAAACTTCATAGGATGATTGGTCTTATTGAGCAGATGATCCCTATTGTTTTTGGGGTCAGTAGTTCAAAGGTCAAGGTCACAGTGACCGTTGGTCAATTTCTCGTTTCCGGATGATAACTAGAGTTCCTTTTGACCTACAGCCCTCAAACTTCATAGGATGATTGGTCTTATAGAGCAGATGATCCCTATTGTTTTTGGGGTCAGTAGGTCAAAGGTCAAGGTCACAGTGACCGTTGGTCAATTTCTCATTTCCGGATGATAACTAGAGTTCCTTTTGACCTACAACCCTCAAACTTCATAGGAAGCATCTTCTCATACAACCTTAACAATAGAAACCATCCATAGACAGCCTTCATTGAAGTGACTACCGGGTATTTACATTATCTTATCTCCATTTCCATTCCTGTTTCCATTCACAGTTATTCTCAGCAGTGGGGGAGACATGCGCTTTTTTACAAAAGCATCCTCTAGTTTAGATATATATTTGCTATTATTAATGTACTGGAAATTGAGTTCTTTGAAATGAATTTGTTAGAATTATGTGATGATTTTTTTTGTCATTTATAGAGACCATCTCAAACCAGTTAGAGAGTGTCCAAAATACAACACAACCATCAATTCCCCGTGCTAGATGTCCAGGGCTGAAGAGGAAGAAGTCTGTAAGTATTTGGGATGTATTAAAAGGCTTATAATTTTCAGTTATATGAGCCGCGCCATGACAAAACCAACATATTGCGTTTGCGACCAGCATGGATCCAGATCCGCGCAGTCTGATCAGGATCCACCCTGTTCACTTACAAACCCTATAACAAGTAGAGAAACTGATAGCGAACAGCATGGATCCTGATCAGACTGTGCGGATGCGCAGGCTGGTCTGGATCCATGCTGGTTGCAAACGCAATATGTTGGTTTTGGCATGACGCGGCTCATTTGTAATTTAGGGCAACATCCTATGACTTTCAAATAAGCAATAATTTTAATGTGAACAAAGCTTCAACTTTTAATCAATTGTTAGGAAAATTATGAATGATTAAATTAAAGGGGTATCTGCTTTTTTTGTTCAGATGGAGGTATTTTAATGAATCAAGTGAGTTGGGAAAAGACTTTTCAATTTGTTTAGAAATTTGGCAAGAGCTAATGTTTGGCCTTTTTTAACACACACAAAAAATCACTGATCATTATCATAAAATATTATATAAAACTATGAATCAAGGATTAAAATTATTAAAGAATTGTAGAGCAGAATACTATTTGCATTTTATTGAACTGTTTCTAGAGTTATACTGATTTTAAATTTAAGAATTGCTTGGCGTGTGGTTCAAACCCCCAGTCAGTGGCAATTCATTGTTTCCTTGAGCAAGAAACTTTCCAATTATTGCTTAGTACTTGTTAGTTCCACCCATGTTCCAGGAACAAATTTAAGAGTGTTTCAATAAGCATATAGCGTCCAACACAATCAAACTAAAATAAATTTGTATAAACTAAACTTAAAGTTTAAGATGTCTCTGAATATATCATGTTCTCCTTGTTTGACCTATGCTTGCTTTGTTTTTCAGGGATTCATGCCACCTAGACTGGTTAAACAAGTTTGTTTAGAAAACTCTCCCAACAATGAAGTACTGTCAGGAGTGCCCAGTGCTGATACATCTATTGCTCCCCTATATCACAGTAATGCAGGTACAAGGGTACCTTTTTTACCACACCAGTCACACAACATTGGTAACAGTAATGTTCAAATTACAGAAAATGATTCAGAAAAAAATACTCTGTTCCAGAATAAGTCTGCAGATAACAGTCACAGAAATGTGTTCAATTTGTATTCTAGATATAGTAAACTTGATAACACTAGTGGGAGTAACAATTCAAGTCAAGAGTTGTCAAGTAATGGAGGAAATCAAAAACTGTTATCCCCTTGGTCTGTTTATGGTTCCAAAAACAGCAGCCCATCGCTTAATATTGGTGACAGTTTGTCTAGATCAATGTTTGGAAGTCAGGGATCAGATTGCAGTGCTTATTCATATGAAGATAAAGATTCAAATAAACTTCTTGACAAATTTGTTGACGATAAGGTTGGCAAATCATTCATAACAGAAACTACAGAGACTAAACAAACTAATCCTTTACATGGGATGAACTGTTCAAGTAACAAGCCTCAATTCTGTAATGACATATTACATCCAAAAGAAGCACCATATAAGATGGGAGAAGGGTGTAGTGTTATGAATAATGAGGAAACTGGCCAAGGTAAAAGAAACATTTCACAGATAATGAATCTACTGAAAAAGAAACCATTGGGTGAAAATAATTTGGAATCCAGTTTAACTCATTCTGTAAAAGTTGTTGAAGAACAGCCAGTTACAAAAAATAAATTCAGAGACACTACTCGAGATGTTAAACTTTCAAATATATTGGTAGATAAAAGTAAAAATGTTATTGAACAAAAGGATCACCAACAAAAGTTTAAATCTAAAAATTCTTTAAATGAGGTTAAAGCAGATAATGAAGTGCAGCATATATCAGATGAGATACATCTTTGTTCTGACAAGGTAGCAGAAATTAGTAATGTTGTATCAGGTGACAATATAAAATCTAATAAGGATATACAAAACCAAGACCCCGAGAAACAAACTCTTTGCCTTGGAGGACAGAGTTTACTTGAAGAGAATGAAGAAAGTGACAATGATGATGAATTGATGGGTAGTTTTCACATTAACTTCTCTCCACTCTCACATGTTACTAATACTGATGATGAAAATGAAGTAAATGATTGTACCAGTAAAGAGCAAAATGACATTGATATTGACTGTGATAGTGGGCAGATTGAAGAAAAGTATGAAGAAAATGTTACAGATAAAGTGGACAGTGTTGATTATGATGGATGTGCCACAAATGAAAATGATGGTGATAGTTTAGAACATTGTAATGATTACATTTTATGTGATACTGGTGACTCAAAAAATGGTCAGAACAGAAATATGAATGCAAACACTGCCAGTATTTGTAATGTTTTAAGAAAACCGAACATCAATAAAGAAAGTCCTGTTATAGATACTGGCACAGAAAATTGTGTTCTAAAAGGTTTAGAAAAGACTAAAGATATTCTACATGACATGGATATGGAAAACAATGTACTTGAGCATGATGAAGAGAAACAAAATATTGTGAGTGAAAGAAAAGTTGAAAAAGGTGTAAATGGCATTGATACAAACTGTAGTGAAAATTTTGACACATTTGAAGAGGGAACTGACTTTATAAAGACTGATGTCAATAGTTTAGACACTTTTGTTTCTAATGAATGTGATATGAAAGAAAATTCTGATAAAGACACATTTCAAGCTAAGGTAATAAAATCAAAATTAGATAATCTTTCAGATAATGTAAGAGTCTCATTAGATGCAGGCAAACAAGTGTTAGATAACAACAATGATAATTTTGAAGGTGATAATATAATGAAAGACATATGTGATAATGATTGCAATGGAGCAGATATAGTTGATGATGCTGAGCTGGCTGATCAGTCTGTAGATAATAATGCTAGTCAGTATTCCAGAACAACTAGTCAAGATACAATGGATTTTAGTTGTGATACTTTAGATAGTGATGATCCAAATTATCATGGTATTCAAACTCAGCATCTTGGCAGGTTAATTCCCTCCTCTGGATTTAGTAAAGGCTTAACAGTTGATGATATACAGAAAGGAAACAAGCCTCAGAATAGATTGAATACTACCACATACAATGAAAATATGAATTGTTCTCCTGCACATACAGTAAACTCAATGAGTATGTATGGAAATAAAATTGGTAACTCAGGTACATCTTCAGGGGCCTTTCATCAACATAAGGAACCAATGGCTGTCAGTAACGTGAACAATGCATTGAGATGTCAGAACTCTAATCAGTTTGATAGGAGGAAGAACTCATGGTCAGATAGTAGGAATATTTCACCAGACACTGTAAAGTTGACAGCCCCTTCATTGATCACAGGTAATTACCCAACTTGTTAATTCATAAAGTAAGTGTTAAACCTTAATCTGCTTGAATCAAAAGTTATAAGCCTTTGTCCACCAGCATAGAGCCAGGACAGCCTGCACTATTGTGCAGTCTGACCAGGCTCTATACTGTTGGCAGCTCAGTTTTGGTATTTTGATGATGTAATCAATTAAACTTCGAATGGAGTGCTCTAAGTTCAAAGCTGGGCAAGTCAATTCCACAAATTTACCATGTGAAGTTTTAATATTCATGATTGCTTTTCAATATCTTTTAATTTTATTATCAGTTTTAGAGAGTTTTAATCCGCGCGGTCTGATCAGGATCCATGCTGTTCGCTATCAGTTTCTCTACTTGTTATAGGGTTTGTACGCAAACAGCACGGATCCTTATCAGACTGCACAGATGCGCAAGCTGGTCTGGATCCATGCTGGCCGCAAACGCATTACGTTGGTTTTGTCATGACGCAGCTCAATTGTTTGTAATATTGTACATATTTTAAGGTGTGGAAGATCTAGATAGTGAAGATCCTCTAGGGAACACACATGATGTACCGGCTCCTCCCCATCCTAGCAAACTGATTCAGAGACATGTTAAAAGAAAGGCAGATGTTTGTGATACATTACAGAATAGACAATCTGAAGAAATAAATAAACTAAATCATGATGCACATTCTGTAAGTTAGTGTATAGTGTTTTAATGTTTGAACAAAAATTTGTCATTAAATATGCTTTTTTTTTTAAAATGAATATTGATGAGAGTAATGTTCACTTGTGAATACATAGCCTATTAGAAAATCATTTCCTGAAAATACACTGTTGACTGTAGCATATGACAGCCATAAAAGTTTAATTGTGAAAAAAAATAGTTAAAGACAGAGTTTTTCTATTGATTTGATCCCGAGTTTGGAAAAAAAAATTTGAAAGGAAAGATCAACATGGGTGAGCAACATTCACTAAATGCAGACCTCCCTTCCCCCGACATTTCCAAGCCACACAGGATGGTATTTAAAGGCACCCATCAGGGCAATAATCAAAATGGAGGGCACAAGAGCATAGCCAGGATGTGGTGAATCAAATCTTGTTTGCTCATATGTATTTGTCTTTGGTTTTTAAGGAAGCATTTTCTTAAAAGCACAATAAAAAGAGATATTTACTAAAGGTTGAATCTTTCAGACTAGAATGAATTACTTAAAACTTGTAAGCTCACATATTAATAATTATTGATATTAACTTGTATTCTTATAGATGGACTCGCATTTTGGTGGTTATGGTACACATGGCATATCATCAGCTGTTGTTTCTAGGCAACATCTAAATCATCCTGAAGATAGAGCATGTTCTAGTCAATACAATGCTGTATATCACACACCTGGTGAAAGTCCATCTCTCAATGAAGATTTAAACCAATACAGGTCACCTTTCCAGCAACTGTCTGATTCAGGTATTGTTAATTTGTTTCACCAGGTTTTCACTTTTGAAAATCTTTGTTATAAGATTGATGCATTTATCAGTTAATAAATTATGTACAGGTTACTTTTATATCTTTGAATCTACGTCCTGTATCTTCAAATGAAATGAAATGGCTCAACATTTCCAAGAAATTCAAGTTTAAGTTTAAGTTTTGTACTGTTTGTGAAATCAGATATCCATATATGTATGGTGTTCAAGGTATTTAACATGTATGATGGAAAGGGCAGAAAAGTATATTTGATATAGATGATACTTGTTTTATTTGCAGATTTAAGCTTTCAGTCTTCACCAAATTTCTACATTGACTGGCAAAACAATAAACCTCAAATTTGCCAACAAGGAAAAGTAAGAACCTAGCTGTTGCTGTTTTACACAATTTCTTTTGAAAATAAAGTTAAACACAGCATACAGAATATTTCCTTTTGCATACTGTGAATTCACCTTTGTGAGCATGAAAATTACATGTTTTTATCAAAGATGACATTTTTTTTGTGTTGATTTGTGAATTGTCCTATTTTGCAAAAAGTAAAATGCAATGAAATGAATTTTATTGGATCTTAAATTTGTGGATTAACATATCAAAAGTTATTGGCCAACGAATGAGAATGATTATACAGATAATTAGCTGATTGTATTGTAAAAGATGATTTGATCCCTGAACTATTTTGTGTTAGACATCATATCAAATTGTTTTCTGTTATCTGTAAAATATTGTTTGTTAAGGTGTGTGATGCTGAGTCAACTATTGATGTTAATGAGGCCCCGGTTGACGCATCTACACGAGGTATGACTGAGAGGTCATCGCCACTTATTACAGGTACTTTACTATTTTATAGCTACAATATCTGTTGCTGAGAGGGTGTAAAACTTTTAAATCTGTGAAATGTACTTTTAAAATTGCAAAATACTGTATAACCATGTTGAATTTGTATGCTTAAAACAACAGAAGAAAGTTTAAAAAAATTTTTTTTTTGAATTTCCTTTTAATGCACAAAAACTGAATTAAATTTTCCCTTACAAAATATTCAACTGTTATTTTTAGTAAGTTTAACAGTTATTTGGATGCATGCACCACCAGTTTGATTGGATATCATTTGTGAAATTAAGGTATAATTTTTATAAAGATACAAACATATTGTGACAATAACGGACATCCTAATATTTCTTTATACCCTTTGAATATGTACCAGCCCCTTTTTACTTAGGTTTTTTTTCTCAGAGACAAATGATAGCAGTGAGTCTATATAATAAAGCAACCACCAGGGTTTTCATAATTAACAGATTGGCGATCCATATCATTGGTTGAAATGCTATTAAAATTGGTTGTATTTTCAGCCTGTAGTTTATAATGTTCCCATTGACCCTTGGCCAATCAATTGTTTTCATTTGCACATCTGTTGCCTCAGATAAAAAATGAAAATCCTGAGTCACCACAGTGCAGTCTTACTAGACTAGCTTTTCAGGTGTTTGATTTTAAATTTTATTTTAAGAGCCCTATACACATGTAGTTAACAATGAACAGTATTAAGTTCCAAGCTGGACAAGTCCATTATATCAATTTAGGTGATATGGTAAAATATATGTTAAGAATAAATTATTGGCATTTGTATTTTCTTATTATATGTGTAACTCCATGGTTTGGGAGAAAAAAATGGAAATATTTTATACATGTTATTCCTAGTGGTATTTATGTTTTCTCAAAATTGTAAAAATTGATGTTTTCTGAAAATGGTAAAAGGACATGTATATGATTGTAGTATTTTCTTTTTATATGTATAATTTCCATAGTTACGGGGGAAAAATGGAAATATTTTACAAATGTTATTTCCCAGTGGTATTAATGTTTTTCTCAAAATGGTAAAAAAGGACAGGACATGTATATGATTAAACAAACAAGTTGTATACCTGTAGGCGAAACTAGCAACCCAGCACTGTAAATTGTCATGATAAATACAGAAATGTAGTTAAAGATTATAAATTTTACAATGATTTATTTGTAATGTTAAAGTCTTTGTAGAGGCTGAATTTATGGCTGTTTATCCTCTATGTAAACATGTGTTATCTGAAAGTAATATATACATCAGACTACTAGTTTCAGATGGCCTTTGATTATCTTATATATGGATTAAGCTCTCTTTTGATATGTTTTCATTATTAGTCTTAAATCTAAGAACAAAGGAGGAAATTCAGACTTAATTAGAATTGTGCAAATTTACAAGTTTGGTACATAAATTTGTCTTTATTTTTTTCTCTTTTTAAGTTGAAGTGTGTTTTTTAATCAAAGTAAAAAATGCTTTGAAAAGTAAAAAAAAATTCAGTCGCAGAAGTAGAGTCAAATTGTATTACTTTTGTCATAAAACATTTAGATTACTGATCAAAGAGAACGCACATGTTCACATGTTCATCCAATAAAGTTTATTAACTTTAATATAGAAAAAAGAAGATATTGAAAACTTTGTTAAAATATTTTTTGTTTATAATTTTGCATTAAAAGTTAAAACTTACTAACTTGTTATGCCCCCACAAAGTGGGGAGCATATAGAATTGCACTTGTCCGTCCGTACGTCCGTCAGTCTGTACGTCAGTCCTTACGTCCCAAAATCTTGTGAATGCAACTCCTCTTAAACCCGATGGCAGATTTTGCTTAAACTTCCAGGGATGAACAACCTTAATGTGTAGATGGTAGTAAAGGAAGGAATTTTCGCTGCGACCAAATTTAACAGAATTATGGCACTTTGTTGATTTTTTCACTTTATACTATGTAGAAATTTTGTGAACGCAACTCCTCTTAAACCCGATGGCAGATTTTGCTTTAACTTCCAGGGATGAACAACCTTAATGTGTGGATGGAAGTAAAGGAAGGAATTTTTGCTGCGACCAATTATGGCCCTTGTTGATTTTTTCACTATATACCATATAGAAATTTTGTGAACGCAACTCCTCTTAAACCGGATGGCAGATTTTAATAAAAATCTTACATACAGATATGCATGCTCTTGTTAACGAGCACATCTGCACAGTGGGGGCATCCGTGTCCTTTGGACACAGTTCTAGTTTTTTGATATATAGACCATTTTCATTGCATTTCTTATTGTTTGGTCAGTTTTCGAATCTTTACTTATTTGGTAACTGAAAAATTAATTTATATTATATAAAGGGCCAGTTACACAGACGGTCAGTCCCCAATCGATCTTTTCTGGTTTTCTGTGTAAACGGCCATCGGTGACAGAAAGCAAACTCAAACGGGGTTGGATCGGTGATGAAAATGCTGAAATACTATCAGTTTTTATTGTTTGTAAATCGGAGCTGAATCGGACGTAATGCTGATTAATCGGTGTTTAATAGTCATCAGTGGTTAAACACTTTCTGTCAGTTATGGCAGGTGATTCATATTTGGTTATCTTTGTCCGATCGGCGATATCGGTTAATAAGAGCTTGCATATCTCATGATATAGGTTGCTGTCGGTTATTTGTAAAATATTTTCACTGATCGAGAATTTTAAACATGTTTAAAAATCCCAATCGGTAATTTTTCACAGATAAAACTTATCTTTCCCCAATAGCAGTTGATAGGTGGTAAACAGGTGACCTATAGGTCATATGGTTGTTAAATACGTTGTCATCGGTTCACTCCATAATTTGGCTAAAAAACTACCGATCAATCACCGATGGCTCTGTGTAACTGGGGTGTAAGTTTGAGCTTCTGGTCTTCAATCTGAAGCTTTATCAAAATGTTATATAAAATTTATATTTTTGGCAAGATTGTCAGATGTGAGTACATAAGTCAGTTAAATTTTCATTTTTACAACAATTTTTAGCTGAAAATCTCAAAATAACCATAATGGTGTCTACCAATATTTTCAAGTATGTTTCTTTGTAATGTGTCTTTTATTTTTTTGACCAGATGAGGATGAGATTTATGGAAAATTATACAAACCTAGAATGATGTATCAACACCAGTCTGGTAAAATACATTATGAGCCTTCAAACCTTTCTGAATTTAGGGAAGAATCTAGCCCAGCATTGATACAAGAAGAAAACATGTCATCTCTGTTAAGCAAGTGTAAACATAAAGACTTACCTGACAGTGTGAACAGTTCACTTGATTCTTTCCCATACCAACATTATGAAACGTTGAAAGAGGGCTCAAAAGCCAACAAAAGTCCAAACTGGCAGCAACATTCTACAACTACTAATCCACCTCACTCACAATTATCAGACTCATGTGATGGATACCTTTTTCAAGGTCAGAGAAAGAAATTACCTGCATCTTTAGAGACTGCAAAGGATGGGAATAGTTTGACAGTTTCTGAGGACTCAATGAAACACACACCAAATGGTAATGATGTGTTGAATTCAAAATGGCAGAATTTTGTTGCCAGTCAGACGAGTGACGACTGTGACATTGTTATGAACAAACTCACAAAAACTGTAGATACAACCAAAAAAGGGAGGAAAGATTTTGTTTCATTGAAAAGTTCACCAGGTCTTTACAACACACAAAAAGCTTTCTTCCAGCCTATAACGGATATAGAGGAAGATAAAAAATCCCATCAACAATCTTTGGTCAGTGGGCTGAATAGTCAGCTATCAGACTTTAGTGATGACATCTATGAAAGAGAAGTTTCAAATTGTCAAAAAGAAGATTTGAGGTTAAATGTCACTAATTCTGAACACATACCAAAAAACATTGATAATAATATTCAAGCAGTTCATAAAAAGTCACAAGATATTGCTCAAACCAATGATGGAAAGTTGAATGTGGTTGACATGGACAAGGAAATTCAAGAAGAATTTGATTCTGAAATGTTTTCATCTATGGATTCCATTGCTGATGATGATTTTTACATAGAACACTTTACAGAAAGTGCTAAAAATAAGAATTTAGAGATTGAAGTTGGGGAACAAGAGGTTCCAGAAATAAAAGAAAATAATTTGGGTGATGAAAATTTAACCAGTGGAAAGCAAGTCAGTGATAGTTCAAATGTGTATAACAAGAAAGAAACTGAAACAGAAGGCGAGGTCAATGGTGAAGTTGTAGGGCATCCAGGAAGTAATATAACAAGTTTTGATGACAGAGAAAGGGAAGTAACTGCTGTTGAATGTCTTCCCAAAGAGGATGAATTATGTACAGAGTTAGGTTGTGAAGAGGAAGATCTTGAAAAGGAAAATGAGGACATGGAGAAGACTAATGCAATTTCTGAGGCATCAGAAAAAGTCAAATATGTGAATTCATACGGTAGTGAAAAGAAAATATTCAGTGAAAATACCATAGGAAAGGGTAAAGATTTACATAATTTAGAAGAATGCAATGTAAACAAAATTACAATGGTAACAGAAAATACAACAAAAGAAGAAACTAATTGTAGCTCCCCAGGCTTTTCTTTAGATGAATCATTAGATTTGTCTTTTTCACTTGATATAGCATGTGCAACTTCCACACAACCAGATAGGCAAATCAGCAAAACACCGGCTATGAGAATAGGCTGGAGACCACCAATAAAATCAGGGGGCAGTCAGAAAAGTCCAAATCAGTCTGATGCTCATGCAGGAACTGTGCCTCAACATAGTGATGCCAAAAAATCAGAAAAATTAAGACCTACTTTTAAATGCCTTAGGCTTATTACCCAGAAGAAGAATTCAATTGGAGCAGAACAGAAATCTAATAATTTTGAGGACATATTTGACAATGTGACTGGGAAAAAATGTGAACTTTATAAGCCAGACCAAAGTCCAAACATTCTTAGTGATGATAAACAAAAGTTTGATCCTGTGGAGAAAAATCTAAGTACAACTGTAAGAAATAGTATTGATAAGGAAACAAAAAATACAACATACCAACAGCAGAAAAGACAAGCTGTAAATGTACCAAACAATGTATCGTCGAATAAGAGGTATGTCTTTTAGGTACTTCTGTTGAAGTTCTTTCTAGATTAGTTTAAATATATTTATTTGTGCTCAATTGTAATGAAATCTAGTGTACACTTACATTGAAGACTGTTAGTCTAAGAAATTTTGTTCATGGTTTATTATAATGTCAGAATTTCTAATTTCTAAGTTTTGAAAGTGTTGTATTAATTCAGGTCTAAAAAATACCAAAGAAAAATTGCATGTTCATTTGTTTAAGAAATTCTAATTTGAATAATTTATAAATGAATATATCTTGACATTTGTATTTTATTTTTATTTCAGTTTTAAGCCCCCTTCAATGTTGAGGACCCCTGTAGTGAATAGAAAAATCCCATCACCTTGTCTTCCTGTTACTGGTCAGCAGGTACCTTTTACTTAAATATAAATTTTAAGATGTAGTTTAAACATATTTCAGCTTGATTGTAATGAAAGATTGAAGCATATTTGAACCATTCTTGGGTTTTGTTATTAGCTTTTATTCCATAAAAGCTTTTATGAAACAAAAAAATGAAATGTGTCACTAATTCTTATCCTGTTGAGTTGTTGACAAAGATTTCTTGCTGCTTTGTAAGTAATACTATGAATAATTTCAGTATCAAAATAGTAAAATTGAACAGCTAACAGTTTAAGAGTCTGATCTGGCTGATTCTTGTAACAAATATGAGTCATTGCTGCTTAGACTCTGTAACAAGCCAGTCTCTCATATCTTCATAACATTTTCCTAGGACAGGTTTACTAATAAGTTATATGAAATGATCATCAATGTCAGGTTCTATAATTATAGTACATAGCTAAATAGGAATGAATTAAAATATGATTTACAAAGGAAAGTGCATGCAGGTCAAGTGGTATGGGTTGCTGACCTATTGCCATGGTGAATTCTAATCTCATCTGAGACTTTAGATTCATTGTCTGTATAGGCTACCCAGCTGTTGGTGCTTCTTCTCAGGTGTCCACTTGTGCCAGAAATAGAAACTGACTGGCACCTAAGAGTAAATGTGGAAAGTTGTCATAATGTCCTTACAGTGTTAATATGACTTAAATCCTTAATTCTAACTAAAAAACTTTTGCCGAAGATGTGTCTCAGTGTGGACATTTAACATCTCTGCATTTTTCTGTTCTAAGACCTGATAGAAGTGTGACTCAAATTAAAAACGTGACACATGTATCAAAATTCACTGCTCTTGACTAGGCCAAAACTATCAGTAGAAATGCACATAAAAAGTTCCTGTACATCACATCTAATTGGTCAGTCTGTTTATAAGGATTGACACACTGTGAAATGAAAGCTTGATAAAAATATTTTCAAATATTTAAGTTTAGAATATGTGTATTCTTATATTTAAATATTGTTATAGGTATTAGGTGTAAGCCAAACAGAGTTACGTTTTCCTGGTAGACTTGAAACAGATAGGTTACAGAATGTATTAAGACAGGTGGTTATTCCAGATACATTTCCTACAGTTGCCATCTACAAACAGGTTTTAACTGCTGCTCTCACAGGTATGCTTGTTAGTCCCCTACCGGTTTAACCGGAGGGGACTTTAGGTTTACCCTCCGTCCGTCTGTCCGTCTGTCTGTCTGTCCGTCTGTCTGTCCGTCTGTCTGTATGTATGTCTATTTCAGTCCGTCCGTCCACAAAACTGGATCCCGCGATAATGCAAAAAATGCTGAAAATATTTTTATGAAACTTGATGTATGGATAGATGGCAGTATGGAGATTATGCACGTTTTTTTCTTTTCTTCCAATGTTGAAAATTATGGTTGCTATGGCAACAAATAGACTGAAAATATGGCAAATTTTACACATAAACTGGATCCAGTGATAACTCGAAAAGTACTGAAAATATTTTTATGAAACTTGCAATATGGGTAGATGACAGTCTTGAAATTATGCACACCTTTTTCTTTTCTTCCTATGTTGAAAATTCTGGTTGCTATGGCAACAAATAGCCTGAATTTCAAGATTTCTGATTTAAATTTTTCAGCTTTTTCACTATATGTTCTTTATTTCTTAAGCTGTTTACTTCAAACTTTAAATATAAGTTTCTGGTCATCAACCACATCATATGTGACAAGGTTTATAACTCTAGCACAAAAAATATCAGTATTACCTCCCTTGAACTTAGATTTTTTAGGGGAAAAAATGTTGTCTTTTTTAAATAACTTCTTTATTTCCTAATGTATCTACTTCAAACTTCATATATATGTTTCTTATTATCACTCGACATTTTTGAGAAGGTTAAATACTCTAGCAAGACTATTTCCAGAATTATGTCCCCCTTTAACTTAGATTTTTTTAAATATTAACAAATAGTCTGAAAATATGGCAAATTTAACACATAAACTGGATCCAGTGATAACTCAAAAAGTACTGAAAATATTTTTATGAAACTTGAAATATGGGTAGATGGCAGTCTGGTGATTATGCACATCTTTTTCTTTTCTTCCTATGTTGAAAATTCTGGTTGCTATGGCAACAAATAGCCTGAATTTCAAGATTTCTGATTTAAATTTTTCAGCTTTTTCACTATATGTTCTTTATTTCTTAAGCTGTTTACTTCAAACTTTAAATATAAGTTTCTGGTCATCAACCACATCATATGTGACAAGGTTTATAACTCTAGCACAAAAAATATCAGTATTACCTCCCTTGAACTTAGATTTTTTAGGGGAAAAAATGTTGTCTTTTTTAAATAACTTCTTTATTTCCTAATGTATCTACTTCAAACTTCATATATATGTTTCTTATTATCACTCGACATTTTTGAGAAGGTTAAATACTCTAGCAAGACTATTTCCAGAATTATGTCCCCCTTTAACTTAGATTTTTTTCGAGAAACTGGTATTTTCACTCCAACTTCTTCATTCCTTATAGGATTTACTTTAAAATCCCACATCGTAATAATATGACAAGGTTGTATAAACATAATTTCCTTACTAAGCATGGAAACTTAACACATTACTGTGATATAGACAAACTTATTTTATTATGTTTTGTGGTTGATATTTTCAAATACAGACTTCATCCTCAAATTCATTATAAATGGCAATACACAGGAGTGTATGACAATTAAAGAACTTTTTGAGGGACCGGTAGGGGACTACTGTATTGCCCGCAATACTATCAAATGCTTGTTATTAATACTTCATTTGTCTTACCAGGGAAATGTGTATCAATACTTGGTTTACTTGATTTTTTGGACTTAAGATAGTTAAAAGAATTTTGAATTTGCTACTCTTACTACTTGATATCAAATATTAATAAGATCCATGTCAATGTCTTTAAAGTTTTAAGAATGCACTGGGAGGTTAAAGGTCCAATTATATGTGCCAGCTTTCCCCTTCCCGAATTGTCCATACATTTAGCAGATGTCTTTACCAGGGTGATTGGTGGGGGATGTGATTGGGGAGTGGGTTAAGCTTAACACCTAGGTTAAGGTTTCAACGTCAAATGGTGGGGGCATTTTTATATTATGGACACTTTTCTAGTCACATTGTATTTTCACATCTCTTAAATGTCTTTAATTACAGAATATATCAACACCCAGCTATTAGATGTTGCAAAGAGATACCACCATGCTTTGTTGAAAGTGGATACCACAGGCTATTCTGAATATAAAACAAGTAAGCATAGTATATTATGTGATATCATAAAAAGAATCATTCATTTGTTGTCATTTTATATAGGCCTGTAAAAAGTCTGGAGCAAAAGTGTTCCCTCGGAAGCATTAATCACAACAAAATTACATGAAAATTGCAGGCTCGGTTTGATTGTACCACTGTAGGACCCTATGTGTGTGACACTGTGTTACTTGTATATAATTAATTGAGCTGAATTATGTTACTAAATTTTTCTGTGGCAAAAAATAATACAAAATGTATTATGAAAAAAAATCTGGAAACAAAATCAGGTCACATTAAAAAAAATTTAAGACCAAATTCTATATTAATGATATAAATTGTTACTTTCAGTTATTAGTTATACATATACTGTATGTTTTAGAAAACAATACTGGAGCTTCTAATAATCCTAACCCACATTGTCAGTGTGGTGTACCATCTAAAATTATCAGTGTGAAGAAAGATGGGCCAAATTGTGGAAGATATTTTTATACTTGTAGTGCTAACAGGAACCAGCAATGTAAGGTAGGTGATTGGTGAACAGTTTTCTATGCATATATGCATATTAATGTGTACAGGTATTAAGATATTAACAATTATAAGAAAAAATATTATCAGCAAAAAAATTTGATTTTTTTTTTTGGGGGGGGGGGGGGGAGAACCAAGGGCTATGAGGGTTATACTAAGGTCAGTGTTATAATGCGGCATGTTAAAATAGGGTGGCAGTGCAATGAACTTCAAATAAAATTATAATCAGCAAAAAATGGGATTTTTTTGGGGAGCCAAGACCCATGAGCTTTATGAGGTTAGCATTATAACGGGGCAAGTTATAACGGGGTGGCAGTGTAATGAACTTTATTCACAAAAAAGGTAATGCATAAAGACATATACAAATTTTGGAACATTTTATTTTCAATGCAGCCTTCCAAATAAAATCATACCAGATCTGTGCTCAACTACTACAATCTCGAAATACAACTTCTGACAAATGTGACTAGGAAAATGATTCTTTGACTGAGAAGTGTTGAGTGTTGTGTTTATTTGTTTGTAACCTTGTGGTTATAAGTTTGAATCCAACTCTGAAAACAATGTTCCGTCCTTCCGTCATCATCATTTCTTCCGTCATTCCATCATCATCATTTTCCTTTCATTATCTTAGAAAGGGTTGCACACATTCAACTCAAATTTGACATATGGATATATCATGAGAAAGTACAGGTAAAGTTCCAATTTGGTCATGGTCTGATGATTTTTAAGAGTTATGTCCCTTAATGAAATTTTCAGTTTCCGTTCATTATCTCCCCAACTGTATTACACATTCAACTCAAATTTGACATTTGAATATGTCAAAGGAATGTGCAGGCCATGTTAGAATTTGGTCATGGTTCGATAATTTTTTTGCAGAGTTATGCCCCTTTCACTTTGAAAATGATATGAAATTTTCAGTTTCTGTTCATTATCTCCCCAGTGGTATTACACATTCAACTCAAATTTGACATATGGATACGTCAAAGGAATGCGCAGGTCAAGATCGAATTTGGTCATTGTTTGATGATTTTTTGGCAGAGTTATGCCCCTTTAGCTTTGAAAAAAGGAAATTTTCAGTTTCCATTCATTATCTCCCCAACGTTTGTACATATTCAACTCAAATTTAACATAAGGATATGTCATAAGAATACACTGGTCAAGTTTGAATTAGGTCATGGTTTGATGATAGCTGACAGAGTGATCCCTCTTGAACTTTGAAAAAAATCAGAAATTTTTAATTTCCGTTCATTGGTTGTACACATTCAACTTAACTTTGACATATAGATACGTCTTAGGAATAAGCAGTTCAAGTTTGAATTTGGTTGTGGTTCAATGATTTTGGACAAAGTTATCTCTCTTGAATGTTTGAAAAATTTTGAATTTCCAGTTTCAGCACTCATGCTTTTGTGGAAATGTATGTAGTCATTATTTTGGCTACAAATATGCTATAAATACACTACATGAATAGTTTTAAGGGCTTTGAACTTAAAATGAAAAAAATAGTTTGTGCAAACAAATTTGGAACGAAATATTAAAACATCTATAATTTTGGCTGCATGCGGGGGCATCTGTTGCGTGACGACACATTTTTCTAGTTTCCAATGCAGTTGCATCTTTATCAAGTTTATGTTGTAAATCTAAAATGTTTTTAAGACTGAATATATATATTAAAACAAAACAGTGTACAATCACATTAAAAAAATAGCAGTTCCTGAGTTTCTAACAGCTATTTATTGGAAGCATGGATGTGAGTTTTGTTTGCAAAAGTCTGTCTGCATGCCAAACTAATTTTCTCTAGTTCTTTTCACTATTATCAAACACTTATTATCAAAAAGGTGGAAAAAATTCATATGCAGCATATATAATAAAAATATGTTTCAGTTTTTCCAGTGGGCTGATGAGATGAGGAAAGGTGGTGGAATGTCAGGTAACAAACGAAAGATACAAGATTCCCAGAGTCTGAGACTCTACATGAAAGATCAACATGTACATTTCTATGGAGAATGTCAGCTCATTAAAAGAACTAAAGAAAACATTAATAGATACTTCAAGGCACCTGTAAGTAAATGTTGACAGGTTGATGGAGTAAATTTTGTTTAAACTTATGTTTTATGATTTTTAACCCAGCATTATCTTGTTGTCACACTGTCTGTCTGTAGACTGACATAACAGTGGATTGTCGGAAAATCTTTGTCATTTTGGATATATTTCTAGTTCTATAATACAATGTTTATTTGTGTGGGACATTATTGTCTTACTTTAAAAACAATAAAGCAATAATGAAATGATGTGAATAAATTTGATTTGCAAACAATTTAACAGTTTGAATGATAATTTGATTATGAAATATTATTTGACACAGCCACCAGTTTAAAAACTAGACCAGCCTGAATATCCCTGTAGTCTCACTGTCTGTCAATGCTCTATACATTTGACTACTCAGTTTTATTATTTTGATTTTGAAATTCTTTAACCTGCTGATATTGTGTAATGGAGTTGCCTTGTTATACCCCCAAAAACGAAGTTTGGGGGGGTATATAGGAGTCACCCGGTGGTCGGTCGGTCGGTCGGTTGGTCGGTCGGGCGGTCGGTTGGTCCAGACGTCCGTTGCATTTTCCTTATCCGGAGCATAACTTGAAGACTAATGGTTGGAATTCAATATAACTACATACACTGGTCAAACACATTGAGAGGAAGTGCAGTGCACAAGAACCATAACTCTATCTTGACTAATTACAGAGTTATTGCCCTTTGTTACTTTTCCTTGTCCGGGGCATAACTTGAAAACTACTGGTTGGAATTCAAAACAACTTCATACAATTGTCAAACACAATAAGGGGAAGTGCAGTGCACAAGAACCATAACTCTATCTAAAGTAATTACAGAGTTATTGCCCTTTGTTGCTTTTCCATTGCTTTTTTTTTTGTTCATTGCATTTTCTTTGTCCGGAGCATAACTTGAAAACTACTGGTTGGAATTCAAAACAACTTCATACAATTGTCAAACACAATAAGGAGAAGTGCAGTGCACAAGAACCGTAACTCCATCTTGGCTAATTACAGAGTTATTGCCCTTTGTTACTTTTCCATTGCTTTCTTTTGTCCGGACCATAACTTGAAGACTTATTGTTGGAATTCATATTACTACATACAATGGTCAAGCACATTGAGAGGAAGTGCAGTGCATAAGAACCATAACTCTATCTAAAGTAATTACAGAGTTATTGCCCTTTATTACTTTTCCATTGCTTTCTTTTGTCCGGACCATAACTTGAAGACTAATTGTTGCAATTCATTATAACTTCATACAATGGTCAAGCACATTGACAGGAAGTGCAGTGCATAAGAACCATAACTCCATCTTGACTAATTACAGAGTTACTGCCCTTTGTTACTTTTCCTTGTCCAGAGCATGACTTGAAAACTACTGGTTGGAATTCAAAACAACTTCATACAATGGCCAAGCACAATAAGGGGAAGTGCAGTGCAGAACCATAACTCCATCTTGACTAATTACAGAGTTATTGCCCTTTGTTACTTTTCCTTGTCCAGAGCATAACTTGAAAACTACTGTTTGGAATTCAGTACAACTTCATACAGTTGTCAAGGACATTAAAAGGAAGTGCAGTGCACAAGAGCCATAACTCCATTTTGACAAAATACAGAGTTACTGCCCTTTGATACTTTTCCTTGTCCGGAGCATAACTTAAAATGTACTGGTTGGAATTCAAAACAACTTCATACAATGGTCAAGCACAATAAGAGGAAGTGCAGTGAACAAGAACTATTACTCTATCTTCAGTATTTATAGAGTTATTGCCCTTTGTTCTTTTTCTTTGTCTTTCTGGACTTATTACAGAGTAATTCAATTAAACTTCATCAATGGCCAACCACATTAAAAGGAAATGCAACATACATGAACCACAATTATCTTTAATTGCCCACAACCATAACTCTATGTTTCAATTCTATTACAAGGTATTCTGTTACTAGTAACATCCTCATTTCCGAAGCAGACTTGTGGGGGTATTAATCACATTTAGTGATAGTTCTAGTTTTGAATTTGGAACAGTCCATTTAAAGTTAAAAATACAAAAATTGAACTACCTACAGTATAGAGACTAGTCAGGCTGCATATGGATGTACTGGTGGCAAAGTTTGTCAATTAAATTTTATGAATATAGAATGGAAAGGGTTAAGAACTTCATGGCATGATAATTTCATTACATTAGCAAGTGAAAATGACCATATTTCTGTCTTACATTATGGATGTTTAATAATGATTTAAAATATTATAGAAATGGGCACGTAACCGTGGTGATGGGGACATGGTTCAGAAGAAACAGATTTTCTTAAAGCTGCCATACAAAGGACGGTCTTCATTGTATGCAAAAGGTAAAGTGCTGTATCTTTTTATTTTTCGTTGCCTACATTTTTTACAAAATTTGTTCAGCTATTTCTTAGTCATGCACAGCACTTGGTTTTATCAAATAGCTTATAATTTTGATTTTTGAAAAAACAAAGCAGATGTCATCTGAATTATCCATACACATAGCATAAAACAAGATAGTTAAGTATATTTGTATATTTTAGATGACATATGGGTGATATCAAAGCATTTGGACTTTGATCCAGTACAATCTTTCCTGGCAAGGAGCACATATTATGGTCCATCTTCATCTCTTGAGGTAGAAATTGAACCACTTGCTCTGTACAGTCCCTCTAACTGGCAACATGAAGGTGAGTATGAACCTGTAATAGATATTATGTAACATGAAGTGTATGAAACAAAAAAAATCATCAAAGAATTGAAAACTTTTACAATATACATGCTTTATGGTCTCATAAAAAGCTTCCAAGACTAGTTTAAGCATGGCGGAGTGGTTAACGCATCTGATTAGTTATTAAATGATCGCTATCTGTATGGGTTCAAACCCCAACAGGGGCAAGTTGTTGTTCCTTGAGCAAGAAACTTTACACTGATTGCAAAGTACTGGTTGGTTCTAGAAACGAATTGGAAAGTGTGTCTATAAGCTTATAGCTCCCTACACAATCAAGCTAAAATAAATTCTGTGAAATACTACTATCATAAGATGACGCTCTTAAAATAGGTGTACTTAAGCATACATTATCTTGGCTGAAAAGCGGAATTTTAACCAATCTGTTCTCTATTATATAATTTACCTGTATAATCTTGAATCCCTTTCTTTCCATATACCAGACAACTTTTATAGCCCAAATGAGCCGCGTTACGCTAAAAACCAACGTAATGCGTTTGCGACCAGCATTCATCCAGACCAGCCTGGGCATCCGCACAGTCTGATCAGGATCCATGCTGTTCGCTTACAAACCCTATAACAAGTAGAGAAACTGATAGCGAACAGCATGGATCCTGATCAGACTGCGTGGATGCGCAAGCTGGTCTGGATCCATGCTGGTAGCAAACACATAACGTTGGTTTTGTCGTGAGGCGGCTCAAATGCCTATCAATAGCCCCAACTTGGACAAGAAGCGGCCTGATTTAGAATGGTTCCACATTGTATGATTTGTTATTTCAGTTGTATGTCATGCTATACTGGTAGGAAATTTATCATCAGAGTTAAGCTGTATGGACAATATACGAGATCATATACAAACACAGTCTCCTCCTGTCTTATCACATCTTATAAACAGGTACCGAATATGTATTTAACATTACAAGCGTTTCATTCAAGCATTTATTTTTTACCAGTCATTACAATTTTAATGTATGTATAGTATGGAATATTGTGGACTTCATAATGTTTCTTATACCGCAAAAGCATTAAAAGCTTGAGTGTTTTATTATACAGACATATATTAAAATGCTACAATGTTGCATTTATTTTTTACCAGTCATTACAATTTTAATGTATGTATAGTGTGCAATATTGTGGACTTCATAATGTTTCTTATACTGCAAGAGCATTAAAAACTTGAGTGTTTTATTATACAGACATAAATTAAAATGCTACAATGTTGCACAGTTACCTGTTACATTAAAAAAATTATTATAATTTACAATTGCCCATGGTCAGTTTTATGTAAGTTATGAATTTAATTTATCAAGTGGGGTGAAAAGCAGATGTTGTTTACAGAAAGTATTTTCTTTGTATGATGAATTAATGTGCTAAAACATTGTTTTAGTGATATCTATTTAATTGAAGATAAACATAATACTATATGTTAATGTTTATAAATAAATGTTTTGCAGCAGTTTTATTTATATGCATTTGAACACTCGGTCTCACAAGTAGAATCTAGGATAACTTTCATGCCCTTCATATCAGTCTTTGGGGTTCTGTGTCTGGCTTAGTGGTGAAGGCCGTAGACTCAGAATCACAAGACTCGAACAATTGTGAGTTCAAATCCAATCAGGAGCTTCAGATTTTTTTTTCATTTTAGGAAGCTATCTAGTCAGCATTAGGAAGATTGATGGTTCTAAGCAGGTATCTGCTCCTGTCTGAAATGATACTTGGAGGGGCTCTTGACATCTTACTCTATCAGTAGAGATAGAAAAGTTGGCATAAGATCTTTACAATGTCTGGATGACTTAAATCCTCTCCTTTAAGGTAGTCTTACTGTAATGCTTTCCTGCCAAAAAAAATTCTAACATCGGTCAATGTCTTAATAAATCGGTCTTTTCTGGAATGTTATTTTTTTACAATTTTCATAATTAAATAAATCTTCACCACTTATAACTTGAATTAAGTACATATCGATAAGGGAGGAGTGATTCATAAGAATCTGATACCCAAGATTTTGGAAAAATAATGTTCCGAAAATAACCGATATGTTTTTTTTTTTGTCAGGGAAGCATTACAGTGTGACTACCTTAACAAAATGGAATACTGTTTAAAATGTATGTCAGAAAACAGTTTAATCTACTAGGTTATTTATTTGTACAGGCAAACAGTGGATACAACAGATTCCATAAGGAATTCTAGCAGAGGGTTCCAAGCCCCAAGAATAGTGGGTGACCAAGTGAACAGATCTGGCAAAAACTTGCATATATGCTCAGAACAAATGGTAAATAGCTTTTCCTGTGTAGGTAAATATGAATACTATAAATGTATAAAACTATTAAGGCTTACTGTGACTTAGGAATTGTATTGATTCAACAAAAGTATTTATCTTTTAAGAAAGTATGTATATTTTTATCATAAATATTTCATGAAAAATGTTGATAAACTTTGGAAATAGGTTCATATTGATTAAGATTTTAAAGCCAATTATGCAAAAAAAAGAAAAACAAGAGAGTTTCTTTTGAAAGAAAGGAAGAAAATTGCAAGTTTTGAGGTGTATTGGGTAGATAATAATATAATACCATTATTGAAACATTTTTATGGACATCCTTGGTCAGTGGTTTAGTTCAATGACTTCAAATTATCTGTCCTTCCTGCTGTAGGTTCAAATCCCATGAGGGTTTTTTATTTTTAGCTCGACTATTCGATAAGAATAAGTAGAGCTATTGCAGTCACCCGAGCGTCGGCGTCGGCGTCAGTGTCGGCGTCTGCGTCGGCGTAACCACTTATGTTAAAGTTTTTGTAATAGTTCAAATATTTTCAAAGTCCATTGACATATGGCTTTGAAACTTTGCACACTTGTTCACCATCATGACCCCAACCTGTAGACAGGAGGAGGTAACTCTATCAAGCATTTTGACAGAATTATGCCCCTTTTTCGACTTAGAATTTATGTTAAAGTTTTTGTAATAGTTCAAATATTTTCAAAGTCCATTGACATATGGCTTTGAAACTTTGCACACTTGTTCACCATCATGACCCCAACCTGTAGACAGGAGGAGGTAACTCTATCAAGCATTTTGACAGAATTATGCCCCTTTTTCGACTTAGAATTTATGTTAAAGTTTTTGTAATACCTTAAATATTTTCCAAGTCCATTGACATATGGCTTTGAAACTTTGCACACTTGTTCACCATCATGACCCCAACTTGTAGACAGGAGGAGGTAACTCTATCAAGCATTTTGACAGAATTATGCCCCTTTTTCGACTTAGAATTTATGTTAAAGTTTTTGTAATACCTCAAATATTTTCAAAGTTCATTGACATATGGCTTTGAAACTTTGCACACTTGTTCACCATCATTACCCCAACCTGTAAACAGGAGGAGGTAACTGTATCAAGCATTTTTTTTACTATCAAGCACTAAGAATAGTGGAGCGTTGCTGTCCTACCGACAGCTCTTGTTTTATGTGCAGACGTTATCTTGCTAGCTTACAGAATGTCAGTGGTTTTAATCTGATGTCCAGCTTAAGTTCTGTGCCTAGTTTAGATACTGTGCCATATTGATAATTAATCATAGATATTTCCTTATACATATATGAGCCGCGTCACGACAAAACCAACGTAATGCGTTTGCGACCAGCATTGATCCAGACCAGCCTGCGCATCCGCACAGTCTGATCAGGATCCATGCTGTTTGCTATCACTTTCTCTACTTGTAATAGGGTTTGTAAGCGAACAGCATGGATCCTGATCAGACTGCGCGGATGCGCAGGCTGGTCTGGATCCATGCTGGTCGCAAACTCATTACGTTGGTTTTGTCATGACGCGGCTAATATTTCTTTCTGCAGGATGATTTATGTAGACAGTATATAGAGAGATACAGTCTTAACAGGGACCAAGCAGAGGCAATGAGGAGGGTAGCCAACATGTTCTCTGTGGAAAAATCTGCCATTGTTGACAGTGTACTACTCATCCATGGTAATAAGTCATCTAAATACATATGTATTTCAATGAAATCAGTCTTTTAATCCACATTACATTCTGTGTTTTTTGTAATCAGCTTGTAATTAACTTGCTCTCTGTTCATTGCATTGCATGTGATACTCATTTTAGTACTGGTATAAACTAATGCTCAACTATGGAAGGATGAAAGATGAAAGTTTAAATGCCTATACTAAAAATAATGTGCATAAAGGATCAATACCCTATTTCAATTTCATACAAATAAGAGAAATAAGGAAAGCTTACAAAAACTTTTCAGTGTTAATCTTGTTGTGCATAATAAGGCACCGATATAACCATTAAAAAAGAGAATTTTAAACAACTCAACTCTGGAAGGATTGATAGCCCCTTGTCAAGTTTTAAAGTGCAAGTAGCAGTAAAGATTTGTCTATGCCACCATTACAAATTCAGGCCAGCCTTTAAACCTTTGCAGTCTTGTCAGACTCTAAAGTACAGTATGAGCTGTTTAAATTTATAAATTTGCTATCAAAATCTCTCAAGTTAACCATGGCAGTTGCAAAATTAAAGCAGAACAAGAAGTCCATCACACAAATAAAACATGGCAAGGTATAATAAAATTAATAAAAAATCAACTTATGTGACATGAAGGTGATAAATGTATTCTCACAATTATTATGTTTGTATATACAGGTGTATTTGGTGCTGGTAAAAGTTTCCTACTCTCTGTTATGGTGCTGTTCTTGGTCGAGGTGTTCCACTTGAATGATTCTCTAACAGATGGTCAACCGTTTCCATGGAAACTTCTCATATCATCAACTACAAATGTGGCCGTTGACAGAATTTTGATGGGGTAATTTTTCATAGAAATAATGTATATTGTGTTAAACGGAATAAAGCATAAACATTGATAAGTTTTGATAATGAATCAAGCTAGGAAGATGCCTCAATCACTAGGGCACTCCTTTGTTTAGTGGTGAAATGTTTATTAAAGGGATATGGGGGTACTATGCCTAGATAAGGTTCTATGCCTTGGTTAGGTATTGTGCCAATGTAAGTTACTTTGCTAACTAAAGGTAAAATGCTTCATTTGATGAAGGTTACCGTTAGTTTAGGAAAGCAAGCTTGTGCTGTTATAAGATTAAAAACTTTCTCCTGAACTGATTAAATACAAAATCCCCTTGTGGCTAAAGGGTTGCCATTAAGGGTTGAGGCATCAGAACTGAAGCCAATGTTTAGCCCTGTGTGATCATATAAGGCGACTAAATGGGTTTGAATTTCTGGAGTCTTTGCTTCTCATAGCTCCAGCAGGTGAGGTTGTTTTGACCCCTTATGATGCTTTGAGTTTGTAACAACCAAGGTTAGCCAAAATCATTCTTCCTGTTCCGGCACCATATGACCTAAATTGCATTGGTTGGCTGCTAAACCAAACAAACAAACAAGCAAAATAATTATTGAATTTTGAAAACAATACTTTATAAGGAGACAAACAGAATTGATTAGCAACCTGAACATGAACAAAAATTTAGCAGTATTTCAGTTTACAAAAAAAAAAATGTATTTGAAAATAATTTTGTTGACTACACTTAACAAATCTTATAACTGTGCACGTATAAAAATCAAATTTTCTCAGATACTAATAAACATAGGTCTCTGAAATTTTAACCAAGTATAGTACAGATATGTGCAATGATGGGTATCGATTATTATGTCAGGGCGATTCGTATTTACTGAGAAATAGCGATGTGTGCAAGATTGCGCGAAAACCGAATTTCACATTTCTGTCAAATGCGTATTTATAATGGGTGCAAAAAGGTCTAAATCTCTTGATTTCACTAAAATACAAACATAAAACATAGGATCACCGATAGGGTATAATACTGCAATAAATTCCAGGGCATTATGTCACTGTGATTTTAATATTTGCTTTATTGAATTTCTGTAAAGACTGGTTAATGTCGATCTCCGTAACGCGTTGTACCCAGTTACTAAAAGCAATACAAACACAATATTTTCATTAATATGAAAGTACCAAGAAAGTTTGTTTTTAGTTTTAAAGTAAAATCTTAGTCAATATGTTTATTTGAGAAAATATTATGCAAATTTTTTTTCAAAATGGGCGCCCGAAATGCAAATTCCCTTGCGTTAAACTTCTAGACGGCCATTTTTCTTTCAATTGCAAAAATTCTGCAATAAATTTATGTTTTTTGGATGTCTTCATTTTAATAGAATCCTTGATGGTCAATAATAACTTCATTTAGCGCCAACCTGTCATCCTCACGTGCACTTTGTTGTTTGTGTCATGTCACGGATGAACGCACACAACAAAAATAACCGTTATTTCTGAATATAGCATTGTAAAAATAAACAATTCAAACGATGAATTCCAAAATTTGGGTAAAAAATGTCAAGTAATAAAAAAGTTATTCACATTTAAAAACTGCACAGTTATAAGTTTTGTTAAGTGTATATTTTATGTTTGAAGTTATATTTTTTACAGTTTGCTAGATCTTGGTTTTGAAGATTTTGTCCGTGTGGGAAGTGTGAAGAAAATTGCTAAACCAGTTTTACCATATAGGTATTTATAAATACTTAAAATTCTCTATACCAATGTCACCTAATCTCTATTCAAATGGAATTTGAATTTCTTTATACTAGTGCCATTTTAGGTTATTTGTGTTACATGTAATAGACAGAGCATCAAAACACGAGGCAATCTGATTTGTAGCCCCAAGTATATATCTGATTAGAGAATGTTATGATGTTCTTTCTCGAACCATAGGCAAAAATAAAAAGACGTTCCCTGTCGTTACAATATGAAACCCCAGAAAAAAACCCAATAAACAAGCATCTGATTATGACTTTCTTATCGTTATCTCATTCTCTCCTGTCAGAATAAGTAAACCCTAGTAAAATTGAGCTATTCAGTGAGCATGGTCTATGTTTATATGGAAATAACTCAAGTTAACACACTGTGCATGTATGTGTATACGTTTTAACTCTGACACATTTTCACTAGAAAGGTCCCCGAACTATGATACAAGTTGGTTTGAAGGTATAGTTTAACCATATTTATTTAAGCTTGATAGTGAAACAGGATCTTGCATATTAAATCATTCTCAAGTCAACTTCCTGGAACTAACTGGTACTGGTGGTATACAAGGAAACATAGGATGTATATTAATATTAAATGATTTAAATTGCTGGACAGGTGGTTATTGATACTATTAAAAACGTTTTCAGTGTGCATGCCTCTGGGACAGATAATCAGGAGCTGAAAGACCTTCAAGAAATGCTCAGAAGTGGGGAGTTAACTGCTACAGAAAAGAGGTAGGTTATCCTCGTGTAGTGTTTTTCCTTGTTTTATATTGATGTAAAACATAGATTTCATGATCTTAAACATGTCTCAATGGTATGATTTTAACGGAATCTTATAGAATTACATTATTCAAGTCTCAGGGTCAAGTTTTGAGTTTGAATTGGGGGAAAAAAATATGAAACAGATTTAGAATTTTTGCAGTGCATTTACTAAACCTTTTTCTCTTTTAAGAGAATTTGTAAGAAAATAAATTTCTAACTTGTTTCATTTTCATATCTATATGAAGGTTGGCATACTTGCTTACCATGACAGATGCAGTCGTTAGACAAGGAAGCAATATTGTTGGACTTTTTGCCCCTTTTTTACTTAGAATTTTTAACAGATGATTATTAACACTGCAAGCAGTGCTCTTGTTTTAGTATGCAATTAATGTATGAGCTATCAGCCTGATCTTCCTTTGCTAAAAAATTAAGTTATATCTAAATATGTTTTTTTAAAGATATTTAAGAATTTGTTGTGAAAATTTTTCTGTATTTATCTTTCTTCAGCCATGTTAGACAAAGCATAGAAAAACACAGACATGGTGAAAATAAAAAGGTATGATATAAGCTCTTTGATCTGGCAGAGATGTTGTTTAGAGACATTTTTGATAGAAGAATAGATTATGAACATTTATAAAGTTTAAACATATACATACTATGTTATTTTATGAGTGCTTTGCTTTTCCTTATAGTTTATTGTATTAATAATGTTTAAGTTTAAAGTTATTTATCATATCTTGATTGTAAAGAAAGATTTGAGCTTATTATAATCACTAGATCAGGATCTAAACAGTACTGGTGTCATATGAGAAAACTTGGCACCAAAACCCCAAATAGGGCTTTAACATAAAAATGCTAGGTTTAGTGGCAGATTTAACCACTAGGCCACCTATTTCCTGTCAAAAGTTATTTCCTGTCTAAAGTTTTGGTGTGCTCTTCTGTAGCTATTTATCAATGTACTATGGAAAACATTCTGTGACCTTTTTACTATGCCTATGGATTTTTCTGAAACAGTTTATTCCCAATAGTCAAAGATCATGCAGTCATGATCTATATATGCTGCATTTGAAGTCTTATCCAATAATTTTCTTTTAAATTTAGAACTATGAAGGTAAAATCAAGTGCATAAGGAGCATTTAAATTTTTTGATGTCATCTGTTTCAGAAACTTGGTAGAGTACGGGTGGTTGGAGCAACATGTGCCTCCTGCTCACTGGCTTGTCTCAATAACATGGAGTTTCCTGTAAGTTATTCATGACATTGCTACTTATTATGATATATGTTTTACACAAAATTCAGTATATAGACTTAATATTCCAGTATTTTACATAACTGTAAAGTTATATGAAGTCTTCAATCTGTATATACCATACTAAATTTGTGCAATAAACTTGTTCTATGAATTTGGTACCAGCCATTGTTGGTTAAAGGGTTTTATATCATCAATACTAAAATTGGGCAGTCAAAAGTAAAGAAGCTGGTCAGACTAAAGGGACTTAGATGTTGAGCTTGCTCAAATCTGATGGCATAAGCCTGTCAAATTTTCAACTAGCAACTCAGAAGGTGGAAAACAGCATTGATTTACCTCATGCGTATAATGCTTCATGCTAGTCTTTAAAAGAATTTGATTTCTTGCAATGACATATATGTGTAATTTCTTACAATGTCATATATGAGTGATTTCTTGCAATAACATAGATGTGTGATTTCTTGCAATGTCATATATGTGTGATTTCTTGCAATGTCATATATATTTGATTTTTTGCAATGATATATGTGTGATTTTTTGCAATGATATTATACATTTGATTTTTTGCAATGTCATATATGTCAGATTTCTTGCAATATCATATATGTCAGATTTCTTGCAATGTCATATATGTGTGATTTCTTGCACTGTCATATTAGTCAGATTTGTTGCAATGTCATATATGTGTGATTTCTTGCAATGTCATATATGTCAGATTTCTTGTAATGTCATATATGTCAGATTTCTTGTAATGTCATATATGGGGGATATCATGCAATGTTATATATGTGTGTTTTCTTTCAATGTTATGTATGTGTGATTTCTTGCAATATTATATATGTGTGATTTCTTGCAATGTTATGTATGTGTGATTTCTTGCAATGTCACATATGTGTGATTTCTTGCAATGTCATATATGTGCCATTTCTTGCAATGTCATATATGTGTGATTTCTTGCAATGTCATATATGTGCCATTTCTTGCAATGTCATATATGTGTGATTTCTTGCAATATCATATATGTGTAATGTCTTGCAATGTTATTTATGTCTGATTTTGCATATAACCGTATAAGACCATGAGATTAAAATAAAATTTAAAATGTATGATAATGCTTTAAGAATGTTTTACAGATATTTGCATTAGTTCCTGTAATAAACATTAAACATTGATTTGCTGACTGTAATGTCTGTAGTTATATTACCGCTTGTTCTATTGACTGTAATGTCTGTAAATTTATTACAGCTTGTTCTACTGAATGTAATGTTTGTAGTTATGTTACAGCTTGTTCTACTGACTGTAATGTCTGTAGTTATATTACAGCTTGTCTTACTGACTGTAATGTCTGTAGTTATATTACATCTTGTTCTACTGACTGTAATGTCTGTAGTTATATTACAGCTTATCCTACTGACTGTAATGCCTGTAGTTATATTACAGCTTGTTCTACTGACTGTAATGTCTGTAGTTATATTACAGCTTGTTCTACTGACTGTAATGTCTGTAGTTTTATTACAGCTTGTTCTACTGACTGTAATGTCTGTAGTTATATTACAGCTTGTTCTACTGACTGTAATGTCTGTAGTTATATTACAGCTTGTTCTACTGACTGTAATGTCTGTAGTTTTATTACAGCTTGTTCTACTGACTGTAATGTCTGTAGTTTTATTACAGCTTGTTCTACTGACTATAATGTCTGTAGTTTTATTACAGCTTGTTCTACTGCCTGTAATGTCTGTAGTTTTATTACAGCTTGTTTTACTGACTATAATGTCTGTAGTTTTATTACAGCTTGTTCTACTGCCTGTAATGTCTGTAGTTTTATTACAGCTTGTTTTACTGACTGTAATGTCTGTAAATTTATTACAGCTTGTTCTCCTGCCTGTAATGTCTGTAGTTATATCACAGCTTGTTCTACTGACTGTAATGTCTGTAGTAATATTACAGCTTGTTCTACAGAATGTAATGTCTGTAGTTATATTACAGCTTGTTCTACTCACTGTAATGTCTGTATTTATATTACAGCTTGTTCTACTGACTGTAATGTCTGTAGTTATATTACAGCTTGTTCTCCTTGACGAATGTAGTCAGATGACAGAGCCGGCATCACTGCTACCTATTGCAAGATTTGCATGCCAAAAACTTCTACTTGTTGGTGATCCGAAGGTAACTATGTTCTCTTATACAGAATTATATATATCTACTGTAAGTGGTTTTATTACAGTTATAGAGACCTTTCTGGCTCAGTGGTAAAATTCATGAACTTTGAATCAATGGCATCTTACTGCTTTGGGTTTGAAGTTTGATTGCCACAAAAGGACATTTTGAATAATTCACTCAATTGAGGAAGCTATTCAGCCAGCTAGTTGTTAATGGTGATTGGTTGATCTTTTTTAAAAAAAAAAATGCAAAAAGGGACATCCACCATTAAAGCTGGATAGTTGCCTTAACTACATTTGTATATAATATTATATCCTTTATATATGTATGGTTGGTGTGACTTAAAACCCAGCAAAAACTAGCTCGAATAATTGTTTTGTTTATGATTTTTGACAAATTGTAGATATTGTAAAACGAAAAAAAAGATAAGTTATATGTTTAATAGATATTGTAAGATGAAAAAAATCCAACTTATATGTTTAAGTTAAGGAAGTTATAACATACAAAAAAGACAAGTGTTCATTGTGTTTATATCTTGTGGTTTATAAAGTTATTTGAATTTTTTTTTTATCTGAAATCAGCATAATGGGGATGTTTGAAATATATCAAATTTCAGATCTGATGCAATACTTAAAGTGATTAAATGCTCATTTTTTAATTGTCATTCAAGGTTTACTGAAATGACTGTATATTTCAATAAAAATACATGTATTGACTGTTATAATGATGATTAAGTAACAGTTGATATTAAAAAATGTTAAGGATGAAAAATAAATCTGCCTAAAATATTAAAAAAAACTACCCCACTCTTTTTAGCTCGACTTTTTTTTTTTTGAAAAAAAAAGTAGAGGTATTGTTATAGTCGGGTCGCCGTTGCCGTTCCCGTCCGCAAACTTGTACCTGGATCATAACTTTTTTATTTCTTGGTGTATTGTCTTCATACTTGGCCACAACCACCCTTGGGACAAGACCTTTCAGTAGACCACACTAACCTTAAAAGTTAAAAGTTCAATTTTTGCTTGTTCATGCTGTTATTGGCTGTAACTTTGTTATTTTTGAATGGATTGTCTTCAAACTTGAACATAATAATCTTCAAGGATATCCCTTAAAAATAACCTGACAGACCTTGACCTTCACTCATAAATGACCTTGACTTTGAAGGTCAAATTATTGAAATTTTCATGTTTTTGGCTATTATTGGCTGTAACTTTGTTATTTTTGAATGGATTGTCTTCAAACTTGAACATAATAATCTTCAAGGATAACCCTTAAAAATAACCCAACAGACCTTGACCTTCACTCATAAATGACCTTGACTTTGAAGGTCAAACTATTGAAATTTTCATGTTTTTTGTTATTATTGGCTGTAACTTTGTTATTTTTGAATGGATTGTCTTCAAACTTGAACATAATAATCTTCAAGGATAACCCTTAAAAATAACCCAACAGACCTTGACCTTCACTCATAAATGACCTTGACTTTGAAGGTCAAATGATTGAAATTTTCATGTTTTTTGTTATTATTGGCTGTAACTTTGTTATTTTTGAATGGATTGTCTTCAAACTTGAACATAATAATCTTCAAGGATATCCCTTAAAAATAACCTGACAGACCTTGACCTTCACTCATGAATGACCTTGACTTTGTTTTGGCTGTAACTGGCTGTTACTTTGCTATTATTGAAGGGATCAACTTCATATTATAACAGAACATACTTAAAGACAAGACCTTGTTGTTTATCGTGACTCCACCACATGACTCCACCACGTGACTCCACCATGTGACTTCACCACGTGACTATACCACGTGACTACACCACGAGACTCCACCACGTGACACCACCACGTGATACCACCATGTGACTACAACGTGACTCCACCACGTGACTTCACCACGTGACTCCACCACGTGACTTCACCACGTGACTTCACCATGTGACTACCACGTGACTCCACCACGTGACTTCACCACGTGACTCCACCACGTGACTCCAACACATGACTTCACCACGTGACTCACCACGTGACTAACCACATGTTACTCCACCATGTGACTTCACCACGTGACTCCACCACGTGACTTCCACCACGTGACTCCACCACGTGACTCCACCACATGACTTCACCACGTGACTCCACCACATGACTTCACCACGTGACTCCACCACGTGACTCCACCACATGACTCCACCACGTGACTCCACCACGTGACTCCACCACGTGACTTCACCACGTGACTTCACCACGTGACTCCACCACGTGACTCCACCACGTGACTTCACCACGTGACTCCACCACGTGACTCCACCACGTGACTTCACCACGTGACTTCACCACGTGACTTCACCATGTGTCTCCACCACGTGACTCCACCACGTGACTCCACCACATGAATACACAACGTGACTCCACCACAGAGCCTTCACCACGTGACACCACCATGTGACTTCGAATTGGGTGTCTCTATTTATATATATATAAATTAGTAAATTTATATATATAAAATATATAGACATAACTAATGTGACAAAACAGAATGATTAATTTTATAAAAAAGGAAACGTTAATATTTTGTTCAAACATTTCTTTGTTGCTTTTAGAGAAAGTAAAAGTCGAGCGTTGCCCCCGCCCGGCGGTGGCTCTTGTTATAAATTGAACATTAAAGGTAAATTCTGTTGGATATTTACAGAAATTTTCGTTGGCCACACAAGTTATTTATCATTCATACGAAATTGATTATAAAATGGAAAGGAATTATGGCAAAAAGTCTATTTATTTCCACTTTGTCATTTAAATATACTTAATATATTTGAACCTGACAATTTGTCAACATTTCCACTTGCCCCTCACTGCTGTGGGTTTGAATCCCCACAGAGACTTTGGATTCTTTCATGTGAGGAAGCTATCCAGCTTGCTTTCGGAATGTTGGTGGTTCTACTCGGGTGCTTGTATGTGCCTGAAATAATGCATGTAAGGGTACCTGAGGTCTTCCTCCACCAGTAAAACTGGGACCATATGACCTATACTATGAGGGTGTGACGTAAAATCAATCAAATAAACGAACAAACAAACAGTTCAACATTTGTATAAATATTACTATTGTTATTTAATGCAGACTAAAACTGTACTGGACAACATTAAGTAAATTGTATTTTACGATTAATGAGATGAAAGATTGAACTTTACATAAATATAAATTCAATGAAGCCGACATGAAAAATATGTGACAAAAAAACAAAGTCTGGATAATTCTGGATTAGTCCTCGAACTTGCTGTTAAAAACGATGATGATTGCATAATCCTTATCCTGCTGAAATTATGTAATGGACATGTTTTATTTAGATTCATTATAAACTAAAATTAAAATTAAAAAAAAAAATTAAAATTGAAATAAATTGTAAATGGAGTTTTTTGCCAGTGAGGTTTTTTCCTGGTAATATGGTCAACTCAACTTATTGTCACTTACTAGCACCATGAGAATTACATCTCAACAAATCAGTGAACACCAACACTGTTTTAATCATTTCCTAAATTATATCACATTGTAAATGCATACATAATTATATCTGTCAAAATAATAATAATTGTACAAGGAAATTAATGCCTGTCTTTCATTTTAACAGATTATAACATAAAAAATAAAGTTTGACAGAGATACAGCATGTCATCCACTGGAGTAGGCTTGGAGGATTTAATTTATTAATCTAACAGTTTCGGTCCCGGCACTTTAATGTTACAACAATTAAATGTGTTTTTTTTTTGTGTGTGGGGATGGAGAGCAGATTGTAGTAAAGATGACCTGAAAATACTTAATATGGTTCTATGTCTGTCTTATTATCATAAAACTCTTGAAGGCACATTATGTGTCAGAAAAGACTAATTTTTTATTCTTTAGAAAGGGCAAACTGTTATGCAAACATGTGTTTTATCATCATGTGGATTATGGATAAAAGATATCTGAGATGCACCTTATATATATGTAGTCCTATTTATCAGTATACATTTGTACTTTCTTTATCTTAAATTTGTTAACGTATACAAATATATCAATACATAGCCACCCATTATAGCCAGTCCTGCTATGTCCTTTTACAAGACTAATCTCTGTTTAATGCTAGTAAGCTTTGGTTCAACCCCAAAAATCCCCCATCCCCACACACACACAAAAATGTATACAATGTATATATATTTTTCACTGATAATTGACATATATTGATATATTTTCCCAAGTTTTGCAAATAGAATGCAAGTACCACATACATGTTTTTAAACATAATCAAATAATAATATTTATTTGTTTTCTTCATTTTAAGTTTGTAAACCTAGTGAAATCCACATGTTTTTAGTATAAACATTTTCTCATTAAAGTTTGCATGTAGTGAATGTATGTACCACATACACCTATGTTTACATAGTCATACACATTTTGTTATTAAATCCTATTTATTTTCTAATTTGTAAATATTGTTAATTGTTTAAACCTTTATTCCTAGTAAATCATGATTTACGCTTGGAAAGCATATATGTGTAAACATAGTCATAGGCACCAGTGTTATTCCTCTTTGTTGAGTCACCTTGAGTTACTTTATCTGGAATTCTACCTTCTACATATTCTGAAGGCACAAGGAGATCAGTATACAGCTGATACATGTTCGCGTTATTCTGTCCTGTAACTAGTACAAAAAGTTCAGGATTTTCTATCAGTTCATATAATCGTTTATCAACATGGCATATAATTTCCTTATATTTACTTTCAGTTTCTGCACTTTTTATCATAGCTTTTATTTTCTTTAAAATGTCATCAGAATTTTGAATACCCCGATACAGGTGACTGTAACGTTTCTCTTCCACGAATGACTGAAGATGTTTTTTAAGATCTGATGCTTTTTTTGCTGCCTTCTCGTTTGCCTCTTTGTTAGCATTGATCAGTTCTTTATTTTCCCTATGACAGTCTTTTATTTTGAGAATGACCCTGTTCATAGCACTTCCTAATTCCTCTTGTAACATTTCGGTCAGTTTCGTTACACCTTCAATTGTGTCAAACATTTGCCTTTCGTTCTTTAATGAAAGGTTTTCAGCAGTTTCTGTATTTGTTTTACAAGTTGTCAGGATTTGGTCAATCTCCGAGAAAGTTCGTTCCACTTTAAGATTACTAAGAAACCTCGTCTCTGTACTGTTTATTGCACGTGTATTACATGACACGTGCATTATCGAAGCACATAGGGTACAGATTTGCTTCATGTGAGCATCGCAGTATAACAAGACCGGCATGTCCGGGTGGGTTTCACACATTTTTGGGCACTGGTAGCCGGACAGCGAGAGTGTCTTCACAGCATGGTCTGGATCCGGCATATCGGTTTTGTAGACTAGCTGATGATCTCTAGAAGGTTTAGGTCTACAGTGATATTCACAGCAACTTTTACATAAATATTCCTTACAGTCTGTACAAAATCCATACACGTGTGTCCGTTCACCATTAAATTCCAAGCAGATTTCACAATATGCACCGCTGTCTTGGTGAAGTTTTGCAGGTCTGTCCATTTCTCGTGTGGTTTTAAGTTTTCTACCAAATAAAAGAGAGAAAAAAAAGGGAATTTTATTATAAGGAAGGTTAAGAAATGACTCATATAAATGTGTAAATTATAACAGTTAACATAGTGATTATCTTTACCTGTGACAGAAATTGAAAGATTTATTTTAAATTTAAGCTCACCTGTGCCAAAGAGAAGGAAAAACAAATAGGTTATTTTCAAGCTAATATTTTCGTTACATTTCATTGTATACAGAAATTTGTTTTGTTTTGTTATATACAAACCATTGATAAATGCATTCAAATGTTTGTGATGATTTGCCAGAACTTTATCTTTAGTCCACTGATCATTGCAGACAATGTAACCACTCAAAAAGTCTTTATTTTATCTCCATTTTGTCGTAACTAAGTGCCAGTTTGATTTATATACTTCATAAATAATTCATTTAATGAATAACATCCTATGTACACAGTTGTAAGAGTTGATTTGAATTTGATTAGAAATAGGCTTACTCAGGGAATTGAGAATGTTGTGGGCTTTTCCCAGGAAATCCGGGGATGATACAAACAAAGGTTTACAGTTACAGTTTCAGAAATAAGCGCAGCAGGGGTTGACTTATCTATTGTGACCAGTAGTCCACCGTTAAGCTATAATGGTGAAAATTTGTTTGTAGGGTGGGGGGGGATTTGCCAAATTACGGATAACATCGTTGAAAGTTATTCTGTAGGTCTAATATAGAACATTAAAGCAGAAGTTTACATAGAATCAGAGGATATTGTATGAGCCTGAATACTGAATTTATTAAATGAGCTGTATAAATTTATATTTTGCGAACCTCTGGAAAGTGTAATATTATTTCATGGAAAAAGTTCAATAAATTTACCAATGAAACTATACAAATATAATATTATATTTATCACATACTGAAAATAGGAACTGTTTACCGTAAACAAGAATCACTTTTTCATTGACACACTAATAGTTTAATTTTCATGCAAACATTATATGCGCTTTATACTATGTTTGTGTAATGCAATTGACCTCATGCAAAATATATGCACAGCAGTGCTTAAAGTTTTTACAGAGTAGCAAAAGTGGCAAAGATATGTGATAAATATTTTTATGATTTTTATCAACAGGTGAGCTACCCTAACTTTATTTTGTTCATACTTCCTTCAGTTAAGATTAACTTCCCATATTGATTTAGAACATTTCTACTAATGCAGACTTTCTTAAATGTTAACAATTGAGATAACATTTTCATTTGATTTTCAACTAAGCAACAGAATTATTTTTAGCTTTGATAAAAAGTTAAACAAGAGGAAATCATGTCTTAGGTCAATTTGAACGTCAGGTCTTAGGTCAAATTGAAAAACTGTGTTTCCTGTCATGACACAAGTTATTTTCAGAAATTGAAAATAGAATACTTCATAAGATTCATATGAATTATTTTACCAATGAAATAATTTCTTTTATTTTTTTCAAGAAATTGTTTTTCAATCTCGCTCAAACAAGATGTTTCTTTACAAATCACAGGTTTTATTTCTCATCCATATACTTCAAAAGTAAACCTCCAAATATAGCCCACTTGTGTATAAAGGCCATGTTTGGTCTTTACCTTGGATAACCTTTGTTCACAGGTTTGACTGTAATAGAACTCATAGAATTTATATAGAGTAAAATAAATCAACATAAAATCTCTAAAACACATGTTCTTACTATGGAAATATGAACAGAACAGAACAATACATTTATTCATGACTTGTACAATGAAGGCCATCATGATTTGTACACATGTATAATACTCCACTTTTATAGCATCACGTTTCATTGTATAATTGTGATTTTTATATAAACCATATACACTGCTTTACTGTCAATTTAAGTAATTTCATTTCTTTCTCAAATGAATTAAGGAAGTTTTGTTGTATTTGATATGTTATGTTTTATTTGTTATGAATATTGACAGGTTAAACTGTAAGTTATTAAGATGTTTTGATGAGTTATGTGACCCTGTATAAATGGTTGCCTGGAAATATTATATTGTGAACAACTTTTTATATATGGTTATATAACCAGTCAGGAATATTTATAACAGCAAACTTTCTTCATAAAGTGACTGCAGCTGTGTATATCAAACTAAACAAACGTCATGATTATCCAATGAAAAGCGACATAACAAATGTGCATTATCATTAAGCCATATAAAAATAATTGATTAGTTATATATCCTGAGCTGTTATAGGTTATATGGCTGTATATAAATGATTGCTTGCAAAATAAACCTTTTCTTCTGGTTCAGGTTCAGTAAAGGTTATATATGCAAATAACTGTTTAAATACAGCCATACTGTAGAACCTGTCAAATATTACATTTAATATCAGCTATTTAATGCCACAGTGAGATTTCAATATTACATTTAATATCAACTATTTTAATGCCATGTTGAGATATCAATATTACATTTAATTTCAATTATTTTAATGCCACAGCAAGATGTCAATATAATATTAAATATCAATTATTGTAATGCCACAGTGAGATATCAATATTACATTTAATATCAATGATTTTAATGCCACAGTGAGATATCAATATTGAATTTAATATCAATGATTTTAATGCCACAGTGAGATATCAATATTACATTTAATATCAATTATTTTAATGCCACAGAAGATATATCAATATAACATTTGATATCAATTCTTTAAATGCCACAGTGAGATATCAATTTTACATTTAATATCAATTATTTTAATGCACAGTGAGATATCAATATTACATTTAATTTCAATTTTTTTAATGCACAGTGAGATAACAATATAACATTTGATTTCAATTAATTTAATGCCACAGCAAGATATCAATACAGTCCACTCCACTTATAACAAACTCGCTTATAACTAATTATCGTTAATAGCGAACTAAATCTGATATCCCCCGCCGATTCCTTCTTTATTTTATATTAAATAACATCGCTTAATTCGTACTTGCTTATAACGAATTTTCGGCTATAGTGAACCATTTTTCAAGTCCCAAACGGCGAAAAACATGTAAATTTCACCGGTTAAAACAAACTGTTATAATTGAAATATCGGGATGCTCTCGATTATGATCAGTACATGCATACCGCTATCCGATAATTATTCAATCGGGTGTTAGCAAGGGTAAGAATAAAGATTTTGTTAAAATGTTCTCACAACATAATTTCCTACTTGTTACGGAAAATTTGTAATTCGCACCCTCAGTTCATAAATTGCTGTAAATACCCGATAATTACCAAAATAACCAAGTTTTTGTTTGCAATATTAACCAAACAACAACAAACAAATAGTAAAAGAATACAAATGGTAAGCACTTTATAGACAAGTACTACATGTCTAAATACATGCACCATGTTCATAATATATTGTTTAATAAAATGACCCGCATTAAATTACCGCTGCCTAAAATACAGATTATACCGGTAACCAGCGACAGGTATGCCTTTTTCACGGCAAATTTGCCCACCCAAACAAGTCAGCAAGTTGTTGCTACTTCGCTTTTAGCGAACTTCGGATATAACGAACGATATTTAAATGTCCCATTGAGTTCGTTATAAGCGGAGTCGACTGTATTACATTTAATATCAATGATTTTAATGCCACAGTGAGATATCAATATTACATTAAATATCAATTATTTTAATGCCACAGTGAGATATCAATATTACATTTAATATCCGTTCGTGCCTGAAATAATGCACGGAAGGGCACCTGAGGTCTTCCTCCACCAGTAAAGCTGGAATGTCGCGATATGACCTATATTGTGTCGATGTGACGTAAAACCCAAAACAAAAAAACAAACAAAAAACATTTAATATCAATAATTTTAAGAGGAACACTAGGTGTAACTTAAGGTTTAAATTTACTTCTTTCTAAGCTCATTAAACATTGAATTGAGAGTTCAAATTTTCTACCCAAAGTACCATTTTGTAATGGGACATGATCTAATGAACAAATTATTGTATGATTTGTAAGATATAAAAATAAAATACCAATGTACATATAAACTACTTAAAATGAATTCAGAATAGAAATGAATTTTGCATAATCTGATTGAAATACCTGTAACTCCAGTTTTCAACTTTTCCCCCTACATCTCTCTCAATTTCTCTTCAATTTCTCACTTAAATTATACCAACATATCAATCCAGCATAACTTCCTTTTTTTAAAAAGACTCCTACATCTGTGTCAGTTATGAATAATGCATACTCATTTATACAAACAAATGCAACTGTGAGTTAAAAATAAGTTATATCAAGGTGACCTATATATCTAAATATAGAACAAATTGTTATCACTTTATGTGTTAATAACCCAAGTTGATATTATTCTATGTAACTTCCATTCAATGTTAGTATCATATTCAAATGATTATCTTTTTTGTACACTGTTTTCTTGGGCTGATTTAAGTACTGGTACTTTCTTTTGTTCACTTGGACTGATGTAAATTTCTTTTTTCACATTGGCTAATGTCAATTTCTTTTTTTCACTCTGGCTGATTTAAGTTTCTTTTGTGCACTTGGGCTGATGTTAGTTTCTTTTGTTCACTTGAGCTGATGTATGTTTCTTTTGTTCACTTGGGCTGATGTAGGTTTCTTTGTTCACTTGGACTGGTGCAGGTTTCTTTTGTTCACTTGGGCTGATTAAAGTTTCTTTTGTTCACTTGGACTGATGTAAGTTTCTTTTGTTCACTTGGACTGTTGTAGGTTTCTTTTGTTCACTTGGGCTGATGGCAGTGTCAGTTTCTTTTGTTCACTTGGGCTGATGTAAGTTTCTTTTGTTCACTTGGGCTGATGTAAGTTTCTTTTGTTAAATTGGGCTGATGATAGTTTCTTTTGTTCACTTGGACTTATATAAGTTTTTTTTGTTCACTTGGGCTTATGTTAGTTTCTTTTGTTCACTTGGGCTGATGTAAGTTTCTTTTGTTCACTTTGACTGTTGTAGGTTTCTTTGTTCACTTGGACTGGTGCAGGTTTCTTTTGTTCACTTGGGCTGATGTTTCTTTTGTTCACTTGGACTGGTGTAGGTTTCTTTTGTTCACTTGGGCTGATCATACTTTCTTTGGTTCAGTTTGGCTGATGTTTATTTCCTTTTTTTCACATTGGCTAATTTCAATTTCTTTTGTTCACTAGGGCTGATGTTCACTTGGACTGAATTGTAAGTTTCATTTGTTCACTTGGGCTGATAATAGTTTCATTTGTTCACTTGGGCTAATGTTAGTTTTTTTTGTTCACTTGGGCTGATGATAGTTTCTTTTGATCATTTGGACTGATGACAGTTCCTTTTGTTCACTTGGGCTCATGGCAGTGTCTTTTGTTCACTTGGGCAGATGGAAGTGTCTTTTGTTCACTTGGGCAGATGGAAGTTTCTTTTGTTCACTTGGCCTGATAAAAGTTGATTTTGTTCTCTTGGACTGATGTTAGTTTCTTTTGTTTACATTGGCTGATCGGAGTTTCTTTAGTTCTCGTTTCTTTTTCATTTGGGGTGATGATAATTTCTTTTGTTCACTTGGGCTGATGTTAGTTTCTTTTGTTTACATATTGGCTAATGTCAGTTGGTTTTTTTGGGGTTTTTTTGCTCACTTGCCTTATGGGCTTACTTCACTTGGGCTGAAAAAAAGTTCTTTTGTTCACTTGGACTGATGAATCATGATAGTTTCTTTTGTTTTCTTAAACTGATGTAAGTCTTAGTGGTTATCATAAATGAATTGAACTGTGAATATTGTTTAAGAATTATCAACAATTTATTCTGAATTTTGTAATTTAATTATCACAAGCAGGAATTTAATTTGAAAGTTCACTGTGTACATTGATTCATCAATTTGTTACTTGATTGCAAGTTACTCATTAAAAATGTACCAACAAACTCCGGAAAGAAAACTTTTGAAACAATATTTTTCAGAAATGTTTGATATTTTAATAACTAATCCTCACCTTAATGCAGTAACTTCTATTGAATTATATAAGAAGTTAACACATTAACAAGTTTGAAAGTGTCTGCAGATAATATAGGCAATGCTCTTGTGAGCTATCGGTAACCACTAAAGCCAACTTAGTTTGTTGGACCCTTAACTTGCTGGAACCAAAGTGATGAGCCTTTGCCACCAGAAAAGAGCCAGGCTAGCCTGTGCTGCACCCATACAGTCTTACAGGCTCTATACAGTTAAGTGACCAAGCTTAAATTTTATTTTGTTATCTCCAAAAGTGATCATGGACAGTTCAAGAATTTGAGACTGGACAAGTCAATTACACAATTTTAGCAGGTTATGGGTTAACCCTCTTGTTAATGCTCCCCATGATAGTAGAGGATGTATGTTTGACCAGATTATATTGTTGCTGACATTGATTGTACTGGTAATGTGACCAAGTGGTTAAGGTCCTTGACATCAAATGAGTCGTGTCACGACAAAACCAACATAGTGCGTTTGCAACCAGCATGGATCCAGACCAGTCTGCGCATCCATGCAGTCTGATCAGGATCTAAGTTGTTCGCTTACAAACCCTTTAACAAGTAGAGAAACTGAAAGCGAACAGCATGGATCCTGATCAGACTGCGTTGATGCGCAGGCTGGTCTGAATCCATGCTGATCGCAAACGCGCTATGTTGGTTTTGTCGTGAAGCGGCTCAAATCACTTGCCTCTCATCACTGTGGATTCTGACAGGGACTTAAGATTCTTTCATGTGAGGATTTAAGCTATCCATCTAGCTTACGGAACGGCGGTGGTTCTACTAAGATGCCGGTCTGTGCTGGAAATAAGGGGGCGGAGATGCTCCTGAGGTCTTCCTTCACCAGTAAAGCTAAAAAGATGCCATGTGACCTGAACTGTTAAGTAGGTGAGAATTAAACAAGGAAGAATAATGGCTTTCTCTTATTACAGTAATTTTACAGCTCATTTATCATATTTCATCAAGATTGATATTATTATGAAAATTTTTGGCCAAAAATAGTAACTGAAAAATGAAAGTAGGAAGTTAATTATGTCCCTATTGACTTTATAATATCAAAAAAATATTTTATATAAAAAAGGTCTTTAACTTTATTACGACTTACTTTAATTTTGTAAAATTATTAGGTAAAATAAAAATTTGGCTATATATCTAAATTTCTGTACATTTGTTCTGGTAAAATCAAGTTATTTATCCATCTGATGAAGCAGGTACTTTCAGTTTTGTTCTGAGAAAGAAACATATTTTTCAATTTGTAGTAACAAATATATTCTCCATTTTAAAGTAAAAAAAGTGAAGTTAGTGTTATTACTACTTTTCTAAAAAAAAACCAAAAAGTTTATAATATCTCTACTTGTTCACCATCAAAATCGGAACTCACCTCAAGGATGTAAATAATCCAGAAATTCATTTCAGCACAAATATGCCATTTTTCTCAACATCTCAATATTTAAATGTTGATTCAGTGTTATGCAAAGGTCAATGTTTGAAAAACCTTTGAAGACAATTGTTTCATCTTTTTTAAGCTGTAATAATTTTCACTTACAGTTTCACACTATCATTAATGGTGCCCGTGGGAAAATGAAGCATGCTGTCTTTAATGGACATATATTGTTTTTATATACATGTATCTAAATGTATGTAAAATTCATCATCCCTCGCAGGATTTCCTGTATATTATATTATACATGAAGTACTTTATGACCCGTTTATTGTGTGATGTAAGAAAGAAAGTTAATCCTTAAGCTGCCTCTTAAAGCTGCCTTCAGCTTTTTTTGTTAGAAATTAGCACTACTGTGTTGTTTTAAACTATGTATTTCAGAAGTTTTATCTTGGAAAAGTGCATCAAATCACTGTTAGGCCGACTTTAAAGCAACATCTCAAGAGATTTTCATAGCACGTTGGTGACGTTTGTGTCTAGAGATAGGTTTGGAAACAAAATGTCTGCTTTACGGAAGATAATCCTTAACTAGCCTCTTAAAGCAGCATGCCTCCAGATTCATGCTAATTTTCATGAAAATTTTAGAATCTAGTAAAAAGTAAAATATCATGTCAAGTGAAAATAGAAAGTAATTTAAACATTCCAAACAGCACTTAAAATCTATGGAAATTTCAACAATAGACCAGAGTACGCAAAAAATTAAGACCTTACTGTATAAGTCATGCAGTAGAAATATGGTGATAAATTCTGCAAAATCAATCATTAATTGTATATGAGATGTAAATTATTTCTTGAATTGTGAGTATATTTACTTTTCTTAAAATCTCATTTTTTCTTAAGGTTGATGTTCTTGAAATATTTTTTGCTCATCTTGATGCATGCAGCTTTAAATGGACATATTCAGCTCCAAACTTTGGAACTGACCATTGTCAATTTTGTGCTTATAAAGATGAAAATTTGAAGTTGGTCAGTCAGTAGTACTTTTATAGAGCCTGGTCAGAATACATGGATGTCTTGATGTGCAGGCTGGCATGGCTCTATACCGGTGCCAAAGGATAGCAACTTTCATTTCTAGCAGGGTAGTAAGGGTTTAATAATTTTGTGAATTTTGTAAGTATGTAGATGTATATTATGGAATATTTTACAGCAACTGGATCCAACAATACAAGGTGCAGATGCTGCCCACCAGAATGGACTTGAACAAACCATGTTTGACAGGCTTATTAAGATGGTATGTGTAATAAATGTACTGACAAACCTGTGTACAAAGGCCATTCAAGTGAGAGACCAAACATGGCCTTAATACACAAGTGGGCTTTATTTAGAGGTTACTTTGTACTTCTTAATCAATGAAGGATTGTTGAAGGATGGCCTTTATTTCTTTGGTGGTGGTCTTTTAAACTGGTTTGACTGTAGAATAAATCTATTTCTCTTTGAACCTTAACCGCAAAATATAACTGACCTGCACAGCATTACAGATCAAGGTCAGCCAGTCTGACCAGACTCTAGAATTTTGCACACAGTTCTGATATTTTAATATTGAAGCTTGTAAAGATAGCAATAAACAATTCTAAATTCTATCTCAGTATAATTCTTTTATATTAACGGGAGATGTTCACACTTTGTTGAGAACACAGTAGCATGTGAATGAATATATTTCAAGGAAGTGTTCTTACTTTGAGACTTCAATATTATGTTAATATTGTAATGTTTCTTATTTTTTATGTTCGTATATATATTATAGTAATGATACGAGTTCAGTAATTCATAAATGTGAAAAGATTAAAGAAAGAACATAGATGTGAGCTTATCAAGTTTAATCTCAGAATCGGCTAGTGGCAGGAACTGATATCATTACAAATATCCGAATATCTTGTGAATGCCTTTCAGGGAAAATGTTCTCTTATTGTTCAGATTCAATATTACATGTATGTAAATATTTTTACAGGGAAGTGTTCCTACATTGTTGAGAACTCAATACCGCTGCCATCCTTATATCAGTGCTGTAGCAAATAACCTGTTCTATGGAGGAATGTTGGAAGATGGTATCTCACAAACTCAAAGGAAACCTTTACTTGTATGTGTTTGTATATATTTTTTTGATCTGACATTCCAATAAAATTGAACTTCTCAAAAATGACTTTCATTGCCAAGTGGGTAAGGTTGCTGACTTCAAATTACTAGTCCCTCTGTAGGTTCAAATCCCACCAGGGTCTTCAGATTATTATATTATTTCAAGTTATCCAGCTTGTTGGATTATTTCATATAATGAAGTTATTCAGATTGTTGGATTATTTCATGTAATGGTTGAGAACCAGTTTCCGGACAAAAATTGAGGTTTTTCGTTCGTTGATTTCTTGATAATATACGTATGCTAATAAAATTCGCCATACCAAAGCTTGAGCTCTAGCCTCGTCTCAAAATGTAATTTATACTACCTGGTGAAGTTGATAACATAAAAAAATGAACGGTTAAAGAAGGGCATTAAAAGGATTAATTTCTCACCATTACAGAACCAGTTTCCGGACATATCTTTAAGACGATAATTAAACTGTATTCGCTGACTTTTCTTAGTAAATTAACAACATTCTACGTTTCTCAAACTTTAGCTAGTAATGTTGATGTATGCACTTTTTTGCGAGAAAAAAAATGAACTCTGGGAATATGTATGTACCTCATGAACCACTGAGAAATAGCCAGCGTGATTGCATTTTTAAAATTGTGGATAAAGCACAAAAGCAGATGAAACTTTTTTTAACATCTATAGAATTTTATTCGTAACAATTTGCCAAATATATTCAGTAAAAATTACTACATTATATCCAAAAAATGATGAAAACTGCCAAATATGAATGACGTATTGTGTTTTACGACTTTTAAGTTTTAACCAATGAAACGGGAAAATGGCGTTATGCGTTTGAGTGTCTACCTGACAGATGTTTCACTATTAGGGGTTTATTCAAGTAAAAAATAAACGCAAAACATGTATGAATAGCTATGCTTATCTTTATTTTGAAACTCATTAATTAATCATAAAATTATTGTAATATGCATATTTAATTTAATTTCAAATATAGCTTATCATTTAACTGACATAGATTTAATGCATTGCTTGACAAACAAATTTGTATTAAAACCAAAGCTAGTAAGAAATGTGCAACAACGTTTATCAATAAGTGTTTTTCACTCCTCTTCATACAACCATGGTTTACACCGCTTACAGAACCATTTATCTCCACCTTCCTCTAACCTCTCCTGTACATACATCCTTTCACAATCTGTCAAGCACTCCTCATGATACCACCTTTGGCATAACTCTTCATCACACCCAAACCAAAACCTTCCATTAACCTCATCGTCTACAAGGCCATGCAACCCACACACCTCACACACATACATTCCAGCCATAAGTGCAGCAGCGGCAGCCGAATTCGCTTCTTTTTCTTTCCTTTTTTCTTTTCTTTGCTCGACTTTTCTCCTTTTCTCGTTTAGTTTAAGTTCCTTCTCCTCCTCTCTCTTTTTCTTTTTTGCGCGCCTCTCTTCCTCTTCTTCTAATCGCTTTTCCTTCTTCATTTCCCTTTCTTTCTTTCTCCTCTCAATGTCCTCAACTTTCTTCTTCTCAAGATCTTCTTTCTCCTAAAATGTATTAAAAATGCGTCTTAATCATAAGCACTAAAATATCATCGAAAAAATGACTTCTTGAGATGTAATTTCCTGCGAGGCCAGTTGTGCTTGTATCACATTCTTTTGTTGTACTATTTCAAATGCATAATTTATATGATTAACCATTATACGTATCATATGATTTGCTGAATGAAACTTTTAATAGAGACAAACCTTTAGCTGTTTAAGCATGTCTTCTCCACTTATCAAACGACCCTCTGCCACAACCCTCTTTTTTCGTTTCGCTTCGGCGGGCTTGACTGGTGGAGGCATCAGAACGTCTGCAAGACTTGCTGGAATCAATCCACGTTTTACGAGTGGATTTGATAAAAAGTGGCCACATTTGTCACAAGTCTTTACTTGTTCATCACTTTCGTTTTCTAGAAAATTTTGAATGTAACAAGTTTGTTCATTTTCAAAAGTTTTTTTACACTTCATTATATCAAACTGATTATGTCATAAACTACCAGGATTAAAAAATCGTTCGAAACGCTCAGCTGCACTAATTGGTGATTGTCTTCTGTAAAATTGCCCATATGGAACGGAACACTTAAATAATAGGGCAAACTGAGTTAAATTGACAAAAAAATAATGAGCAAAATTTAATCTTATTACCTCCGTTACGTTGATCAAATGAAGCTTCCACCAGCTGTGTAGTATCAATGGCCTGTGGATTGTATGGGCAAATTCCAGTAACAGCAAATGCCTCTTGAACTGATGCTGGAGTAGCACTGTCAATTGCATGTTTTAGTACAATAGGAAATTTTGCTTTCCCAATACTTACACCAGCACCACCTAAACCAAGTCTTGACGTCATTTCAGAAAAACGACTCTTAAGTGGGCCTATTACCTGAAAGATATTTTTTTTCAATATTGTATGTACAAATGTATTGAGAATTAATTAAAGATAGGGCTATTGCTCATTTAAATTACAGACATCTAGACCTATTCTTTTTATTCTCTTCCACGCTAGTCTCAACTATGTATTTTACTAAGATAATCTTTTAATTGTAATGCAACCTTTAACCTAAGCAAATTTGAACAACTAACTTTAAATAAAATGCGTGTTCACTAACAATCTTTATATGAATGAATCAGAAAATTACATGAACGTTACATATTTTTACGTCAAGAGGTTGTAGGATATGAGTGGTGTGTCCCGGAAGTCCTACCAACACTACATCATTTGCAATGGCTGTTTTGACTACTTCACCGCTGATATGTGCGTCACAATTATCCATTAAAAGGACAACAGGACGCTCCCAGCAGCAGTTGGGAATGAAAAAATCTGCAAACCATCTTTGAAATAACTGGGTGTCCATGTAGCCATTTTCACTGGTTGCATATCCCCAGCAATCTGGTATTCCATCAGTATATTTACGGTGTGGAAGCGAACCCTTGTAAAATAAGTCATATATTACAATTTTGTAACTTATCATTTAAAAAGAAATATATGAAAATAGATTTATTACGAAATTGTATAAAAAAGGGCATACCTATCACACATTATTAAAAGATAGAATGCGACGTACTACTTGAATAAATTCGGGACATTGAAATAAAAATAATCACGGTTCTGCTATATTTTTAGTGATTTCTTATGTTAATTATTTCAGAACTACATTGTACCTGGTATATAACCATGGTTGGTAAAAATCTGCCATCTGCGCAAACACATAAATGCGCAGTGATATGATCAGTCATTGTGGCTCTTCGTTGAAATACGTGTCCCTTTTTCGGTCCAATAACTTTTGATCTGGCTGTTTCTCTCCCAGAAAATCCAGTCTCGTCACAATTAAAAATCTAAAATACATTAAATGTAAACATTGCCTGATGTGAATAAGAAATGAATTACAATTATTATATGAACAAAGTAGACAATACGAAAATAAACGACAACTGACGCATGCGCAAATATCAAAAATAATTTCCCGCGTCTAGTATACGGACTGCACACGGCAAAATGTCAATACTAATGTAACAAATGAAAACGACTCAAGACGCATAGGAGAAAAAAGCTGACCTTCGAATTAACATGTGAAGATAATTCGAGTAAGATTTCGCTGAAGTTGCAATATAATTTCAAATTTAAATATACCTGCGACGGCTTGTCTTTGACGCCATATTTTCCAAGAATGTCGTCCAAAAGAACAAAGAAATCAGCCATTACTTTCCTGTTAGACATTGAACATCTTGCCTTGTCGGAATTTTCTGGTTTTCTTTCCGATAATTCCGGGTGCCGCTGTATGAATTTTTTCAGCCACTGATTTGAAGGCCCTTTATCTAAATTAAAAAGTGTGGTCCGCCCTGAAAATTTGTGGATACGTTTTAATTATTTAATATGTGCACCGACAATTTAATAATATTTTCACTTGTGCGGTATTTTACGTGTTTATCACTTGTGTGGTATTTTAAATGTTTAATTGAAGTCAGCATGACAAAGTAATCATAGATTTATTCGGCACCTCGTTAGCCGTTTCACAAGCGTTTTACTAAATGTGCATGACTTAGAAAATGTATAATTTGAAGCATTAAGTTTAGAGCATGACAAAACTCTTACCAGAACGTTTAACAATTGTCTGAATATATGCTCTGGTCATTTGCCTATTTAGTGGAAATCCCTGATTTGCCATGTGCAACAGGTAATTAACCAAACCAGCTTCCTCCTCGGGCGTAATCTGCCGACTCGGCCCCTTTACTGATGTTTCATAACGACCCCGAATACGGTCAGATAAAGTTGATTTTGGGACGCAGTATTCCGCCGCTGCTTTTCTAATCTTCATCTTGTTCTGCTTTACAGCAGAAATGGCCATTTTTATGCTGGCTTCATCGTATTTCTTCCTGACCATACTAGAAAAACATAAATACAGGTAAAAACATCACAATTTCTATGTCAGCAAAAATACTGAGTTAAAATTTCTTTCAAAAATTGTTAATGAAACTAAATATTAAGCATCATTTTAATATGCGCAGTTTTACATACAGCGGAGAAAAAGGGAATGAACCGTACAGAAATAATTACTGCACCAATTGTACGAGTTGTCTCTCTTGGATAGAAAAATTGGCGATGACCCATCTCCTTTTTTTTACTTTTTTTCTTTTTTCTTATTTTTTTAAAATTGTTTTAACAGTAATCTTTTTTATGTTATCAACTTTCTGATATATACGCAATTTATATAAAAAAATATTAAGAAAAGGAAGGTAAGAAAAAGTCGTCTGCATTATGCAATTGTTTGGGCCCCAGATTGTATCCAAAAATAGACAAATCCATGCGCATGCGCAGAGTGCACTAAAAGCCCCGAAGGGAAGTAAGGCTGTTTTAATAATACAGGTAAGATGTTTTATGATATTTTTTGATGTCCTTACCTGGAAAGAAGTTTATTCTGTCAAAAAGTCAAAACAACCGTCTTGATGATACAGATGAAAGATCGGTATCGATAAATTCAAAATAAAGCCGTTATCGTACTTGTCCGGATACTATTATTGTCCGGAAACTGGTTCTCAACCAGTAATGTAGTTATTCAGATTGTTGGATTATTTCATGAAATGAGGTTATCCAGCTTGTTGGATTATTTCATGTAATGAAAATATTCAGCTTGTTGGATTATTTCATGTAATGAAGTTATCCAGCTTGTTGGATTATTTAATGTAATGAAGTTATTCAGCTTGTTGGATTATTTCATGTAATGAAGTTATCCAGCTTGTTGGATCATTTAATGTAATGAAGTTATCCAGATTGTTGGATTATTTAATGTAATGAAGTTATCAGATTGTTGGATTATTTCATGTAATGAAGTTATCCAGATTGTTGGATTATTCAATGTAATGAAGTTATCCAGATTGTTGGATTATTTAATGTAATGAAGTTATCCAGCTTGTTGGATTATTTCATGTAATGAAGTTATCCAGCTTGTTGGATTATTTCATGTAATGAAGTTATCCAGCTTGTTGGATTATTTCATGTAATGAAGTTATCCAGCTTGATGGATTATTTCATGTAATGAAGTTATTCAGCTTGTTGGATTATTTCATGTAATGCAGTTATCCAGCTTGTTTGATTATTTCATGCAATGAAGTTATCCAGCTTGTTGGATTATTTCATCTAATGAAGTTATCCAGATTGTTGGATTATTTCATCTAATGAAGTTATCCAGATTTTGGATTGTTTCATTTTAGGAAGTTATCCAGATGGTTGGTGATTCTACTTAGGTTTCCGCTTTACTTTTGAAATTATATATGAAAGTGGGTCAGAGGTCTTACTCCACCAGTAAATCTATAATGTGACCATAAGAATCTTTACATAATCTATGTGAGCTTAAAAGCAAATCGTCAAAAAGATGGGATTTTGCTGTTGAAATTATAAGACTATATAGATGGCATAGAAACAATTTTAAATAAGACAATGATCATGGTGGCCTATCACTTGGTTTGTTACATCTTTGGCTTTGCTATCACTTTGCTATTGGTATAGGGTCTTGCACCAGATAGGTGTCTTTTTGGAAAAATCCTTCTGTGGAAAGTAAAATGTAAATAACTCTGCCTGTAGCAAAGAGGCGGCTAAACAAACCAAGTGATATCCTCCTTGATGGTCGTATGTAGCACATAAAGAATTTCAAATAAATATGAAAAGCCAGCAAGAAATGATGAGAATTGCTGATATTTATTTCTTGTATATATTTAAGTCTGTTCTTTGTAGGTTTACTAGTAGTTTATGAAATTGACAGATATTTTGTTGTATTTGATAATGTTATAAGCCAAATAACTTTCAATATCAATTCATATCAACTGTTTGGTAGCTTGCCAGTGCTTAATAAAAAGGGTTCTTAACTTGTTTCTAAAATGTTTATATGAAACAACTTATGTCTAACTCTATGAATATATATCTAGTTCATAATGTATATTTTATACAGGAGATACTGCCAACAATATGTTACTATGACGTGGAGAGGGGTGTAGAATGTTGTGAGGCTGCTGGCAGCTACTATAATGAGAGAGAGGCACAGTTTGTGGTATTCTTGCTACAAGTACTGTTATCATCAGGGATCGAACCTTCCGCTATTGGTGTGATCACATTGTATAAATCGCAGATGGCTAGGATCTCTGACCTTCTCACAGGGTAATTGTACATGTGTTATCTTATAATAATAATTGAATTTATCACACACGCGTGCCGCTTTTGCGACTCCGTAAAAAGCGTATTGCACGGCTGTGTAATATTTTGCCAGGTCAAGTTAAGGTCCAATGGGATGAATGTCTGTGTTCATTCGGCACATACTTTCCATATGAGGTAAAAAATTGCTTATATGATTAGAAAGATTCAGCAGCAGAAAAATTTATCATCCTTTTTGGCCAGGTTGTCCTACAGCCTGTATTGACAAGTAAACTTTTTTTTCCAGAAGTTACTTCATAAATACAACTCTGTATCTTATGAACAAGTAAAAAAAAATGCTTCTGAGAAAATGTACATGTGTGTCGAAATCAGATTTTGCCGGTTCGTAGATTGCTTTCGGGGTTCTTAAGATCAAAGAAATATCTCTGTAATGTCAGCTGACAGTGTTCATCTATTTGTCCATCCACAAAATGATAAAAAAAAACAATTTATCCATCTATAAATTTTTATTGCAATTTTTTAATTCAGTGTTATACACTATGTGTGATATAAAGGGTGAAGACTGTGATAACTTTGTTTATAAGATGAGTAAGAGTTTGTTCCCTTTAATTATTCTAGTATAGTCTTTACATTATATTTATTAAGCAATATTAAATGAATTAGATATACTTTCTTTAATGTTATTTCTTTAAAGTGTCATTTTGCCCAGACATCTTTTTATAGATGAAAGATGTGATTAAACCATTAAGTAAGAATAATATTTAAACACAGTAAAGTTTTTTTTCAGTACAGAAGCAATTTAATTGTGTAATAGTTTCATTTGAACCCGCCCCCTTAAGTAGACGTGAAACATATTAGATAAAGGTTATTGGAAGTAATACCACACAAGTTGCAGACCAATAGATAATTTGCTGTTTACATTTAGCGTGAATATGTTTATAGCTGAACTATTAAAAGAATAGGGAGAGCTATTGTACTCACCCAGTCATCAGTGTTGACCACATGTGGCATCACACTTTGGTTTAGTTTTTGCGTGCAAATTGGTATCTCCAAAACTACTGAAGGAAATGGGTTAAAACTTCACACACTTATTTGAGATTATTGTAGGAGGTCACTTTCCTAGGCCCATTACTCTCTGGATTTTGATAGTATTGTGTCCCTTTTTGAACTTTACTTTACTTTTGAAATTCTACATTATCCAAGCTCTTGTTTGACTATCTTAAATACCAAATAGTGTGTTGTCATTGTAGAGGAGAGTAGAAAATCTGACTGTCGTATGTATTGTAAATATTCATTCTTACATCATATGAACTTCATGCCTCTGGGACTTTCTTAATATTAGTTTTTAACTATAATGAGAACACATCACAAATATGTCAGAATATCACAAATTGATTGAATCTTATTCTTATATATATTTCTTAACCTGGTCCTAATAATTACAATGTGTATGGTAAGAATTATTTTCCGGTTCTGTTAACAATTAACAGTGGCATCTTTATGTTTATATGAAAAGTGGGCATGTGATTATGTGTTTAAACTGTCTTTTTGAAGTGTATGGGTTTTAAGTTTTGCAGACCTCAATGACTAAAAGTCTTTTAATATTTGATTTTAACTCTTAACACCTTGCATTTGTACACTTTATTAAGATGCTTGTTAAAGATTTGATAGTTGCTCTGTGATCTCTTTGCAAAGAAGACTTAGACTTTTCCAGAATGAGTTGCTCATATTGTTTTCCACTTTTGACATTCCAGTTGTGACTATTTTAATAAACATAAATGTCACACGTATTACAAATTGTACAAACGTTTTGTTTGTGTTATAAATAAAGAAACTATACAGATTTATATTGATATGTTTATGTTACATTCAAAGGAAATGTACAAGTGTACAATATTATGTTTATGTTACAGACAAGGTGACTGTACAGATGTACAATATTTTGTTTATGTTACAGACAAGGTGACTGTACAGATGTACAATATTATGTTTATGTTACAGACAAGGTGACTGTACAGATGTACAATATTATGTTTATGTTACAGACAAGGTGACTGTACAGATGTACAATATTATGTTTATGTTACAGACAAGGTGACTGTACAGATGTACAATATTATGTTTATGTTACAGACAACGTGACTGCACAGATGTACAATATTATGTTTATGTTACAGACAAGGTGACTGTACAGATGTACAATATTATGTTTATGTTACAGACAAGGTAACTGTACAGATGTACAATATTATGTTTTATGTTACAGACAAGGTGACTGTACAGATGTACAATATTATGTTTATGTAACAGACAAGGCGACTGTACTAAATGTACAATAAATTTTGTTTATGTTTACAGACAAGGTGACTGTACGAATGTACAATATAATGTTTATGTTACAGACAAGGTGACTGTACAAATGTACAATATAAAATGTTGATGTTACAGACAAGGCTGACTGTACAGATGTACAATTGATATGTTTATGTTACAGACAAAGGTAAACTGTAACGAAGCATGTACAATATAATGTTGATGTTACAGACAAGGTGACTGTACGAATGTACAATATTATGTTATGTTACAGACAAGGCTAACTGTACAAGTGTACAATATAATGTTTATGTTACAGACAAGGTGACTGTACAGATGTACAATATTATGTTTATGTTACAGACAAGGTAAAACTGTACGAATGTACAATATAATGTTTTATGTTACAGACAAAAGTGACTGTACAGATTACAATATAATGTTTATGTTACAGACAAATCTACTGTACAGATGTGCAATATTTATGTTTATGTTTTTCAGACAAGGGTAACTGTACAAATGTAAAATATTATGTTTTATGTTACCAGACAAAGGTGACTGTACGCATGTACAATTATTATGTTTATGTTACAGACAAGGTGAATGTACAGATGTACAATATTTTATGTTTATGTTACAGATAAAGTGACTGTACAGATGTACAATCTATTTATGTTTATGTTACAGGACAAAGGTGACTGTATAGCATGTACAATATTATGTTTTATGTTACAGACAAGGTGACTGTACAGCAGATGTACAAATTTTATGTTTTATGTTACAGACAAGGTGAATGTACAGATGTACAATATTATGTTTATGTTACAGAACAAGGTGACTGTACAGATGTACAATATTTATGTTTAATGTTACAGACAAGGGTGACTGTAACAGATGTACAATATTTAATGTTTCTATGTTACAGACAAGGTGACTGTATAGATGTACAATATTATGTTTTATGTTACAGACAAGGTGACTGTATGGATGTACAATATTATGTTTTATGTTACAGACAAGGTGACTGTACAGATATGAAGGGAGTGCAGGTATCTACAGTGGATGCATTTCAGGGTGGGGAACGAGATGTTATTATACTATCAACTGTTAGATCACATGCTTGTGGATTCATTGATAATGACAAGTAAATATTTGGTTGACATACAAAAACTATAAAATTTGATCCGACTCCTTTACTATCTTGGGCTCACCTTGAGGCCATTAGCATAATTTTGATGTTAACCAAGGTGAGTCTATGTTTAGAAATATGTTACCATGGGCAAAGAATTGTCTTTGATAGCCACTTTGATTTGAACTAATTTTTGTCATTTTCTCAACTTTTTCCAACAAACATTTTATGATATTGCTACAGTCTGGTTGTTGTTTCTGTACCCGTTGCCTTTGCCATTTAAGAACTTAAACATTGGCCATTATTTTATTACTATATCCCAGAATAAATTCCAGTGTATATTGTAATGCACCTGGTCGTTTGTCCATCCGTCTGTTAGCAATGTCGGGTTTAGTTCTGTATCTTTTGAATTGATGGAAGGAAATTGAAACTACTTTGCAGAAACGTTAACCATAATGAGACAATGTGTAAGCTGACCATTACAATCTTAGTGTGACTTAAAGACAAAATAAATATTTCATTGGAAAAACATAAATGTCTTTACATATAAAGAAGCATTGTCATACAGTTGTACAGTAAGATGATGTATTTAACCTTTACCCTAATAAATATCTGAAATAGTCTTGTCCATCTTTCAATCTAAACATAAACATTTAGAAACTTGGAAATTTTTAAAAAATATTTACATGTGCATGTACTGAATTAATAGCAAACAGTGCAGACCTTGATCAGATGACAGGGATGTGCCCAATGATCTTGGTCTGTACTTGTCAAATGGGTTTATCCCAGTAGGCTAAGGGTTAATGGTGACCTATGTTACATGAGAACTGGCATTTATGTTACAGGAGGACCAATGTTGCCCTGACCAGAGCCAGGCATCATCTTCTCATAGTAGGCAACTTAAACAATCTCTCCAAGAATGTACTGTGGGGGAAAGTTATAAACCATTGTAAAGGTATTTAAGAGAGAAAGTTATTTTCTCATTATAAGTTTATCTTACAAAGTTGGTTACATCATGTTTGAAGAGTAATTCATAATTTCATTAATAGAATGACTACAGTATTGTAATGATTGATTCACTTAGTATAAGAAAATTTTAACTATTTATTTTGTTGATTGACCTGTCTCGTTTTGATTTTGCAAATGACAATTTGTAGTTTAGGGATTTCAAGTATAAAAGTTGAGAGTTGTGCACAATATTGTTTTGTATATAACCTCTCCGACGCTGTTGATTTTGTGTAATAGATCTTTTTGGTAATTTCAGAGTATGAAAATGGTGTCCAGTCTGCAGATGAAGCTAGGCACAGTCTGGAGAAGTACTTAGAAAATTTGAAAAGTTGTGAGACCAGTCAAAACAGTGTGAGTAGTAAATCAAACTCTCAGAGCAGCACAGCCAGAGAGACACTTACAAGGTAATCTGATAATTAAATTTATCATGCAACTGCTATGGTAACTGCCCGATAACACTTGCCTGATAATTATTTTTGATATCAGGTCAGTAACCTGATATCAAAAATAAGCCCCGCCCATTTTAACGGACTTTTTTTCAATTGCTTATATTCTCATTTTCATCAGCATGTGAATTCTACAATGCAATCTCATACCCTTACAAGTCTTGAATCAAGATGTGATATTTATTCATTTATTTATTATTTCGATTTCAATTACGAATAAATTAGATAGTGAATAGTTTTAGCACCAACTAAATGAAGTGACGTCATAATTTATATTGCAAATGACATCATCGATGTTCACGTCATACTATACATGTAATCATAACAAACAGAGTAGACGATTTTCTTTGAGAACTTGTAAATGCTTACTTTATTTCGCCGGATTATTATTTCATTACTGAACACATTGTTTCGTTTGAAAAATAAGACGCATGTTTGTGTAGCTTGTGTTTAATTGCCGATTTGACTTTTCTTGAATTGAAATTATCGTGAACTTTTGAATTTGACTATTCAAGACAAAAATTGCGGTAAAGTTAAGTTTATGTGATTCTTAGTGGATTTTTGGATCGATGTTTAAATTAAAGGTAAGAATTCTATCGTATTAAGTCTACATTTTGTTGTATCTTTTATCCGAGTCGAAAGAAAAAATGGCCGCCATTTACAAATTCTAAGTTTCAGGGGCGGAAGAATTTGTTTTCAAGAATTATTTCTTTGAACAAAAAAAAACCTTTTTTACGAAATTCGCTATTTAAAAGTAGATTATTTTCTTATTTTGACAGTTATTATGTGTTACATGATAAATAGAAAAACATGCTACTGTCTTTTGATATCAATTTTATCAGGCTCGGCTGATATGGGCAGAAAGGGCTCGGCAAGCCTCGCCCTTTCTAGCCCATATCAGCCTCGCCTGATAAAATTGATATCAAAAGACAGTAACATGTTATTCTCTATATCACTGATATAAAAATCAATAGCAGATGGAAGTGGGAAAAAAATGCTTAGCATTTTTAAAGGGGAACATCTGATCAAAATTTTATAAAATATTTTTTATATCTGATATTTGTTGCTACATTTTACCTTCTGTCTGTTACCTGTCTCTATACAGCTAAATAAATGCTTGTTTTTTTAGCAGCAAAAAATGGGGGGGGGGGGGGTGAGCTGCTGGAGTTACAATTGATTGTTACATAATCTATATGTTTTTCATTATGGTCATGGGTTTTTACATAGCTGACAGGTTTAAATCAATACAAAGTATGATACCAAGTATGTCAATTTCTTTCATATGAGGTAGCTACCTAGTCTTTTTACCTACAGTTTGTGGTATTACTTTGATGTCTGCTATTGCTTGGAAAAGATGTTCAATTCATGGAGGGGCATCTAAGGTTGTCTTCAACCTGTAAAGATAAGAAGGTGCCCAGTATTACCTTTACTGCTTGAAAACAGCTTTACTATTTGGAGTACTTACTGGTCAAAAGAATGACTTAAATCTGATATTTGTTATCTGGAGCTCGGCAATTGTGGGTTTTTCAGAACTTATCTTCTGATACAAAATTTTACTATTGTAGTCTCACAGTGCCCCACCAGTCACAATAGGTAAGTCAGTATGTTGCACTTATTCGAAGCTTAATGTAATTTGTTTGTACCCCCAGCTTAGCTGGGAGAACCCAAAATATTTCCAGAGTAAGTCTAATGGTAAACACTTAAAGGTTTTCTTACATTACAGAAAGAGAAAGCCTAGAAGAAAGAGAAAGATTTCAGAGGACCATGTTGACCATAACTCCGCCTCCTCTCTGACTAATGAACAGTTGCAATGTAGTTCCAATAATTCTTCAAAAAGACGTAAGAATGGAGCAAAACAAAATACAATATCTGATATAGATAGTGTGATGGACAATGTAGATTTTGATGAAGACTTTGTAGAAGAGGTGAACATGAAGTCACTAGATGCAGCTGAATGTGATAGCTCAACTATTTCCACACATGGTAAATTTATTGTTATAATAATGCTATGTATACTTTGTTTATGTAACCTGCAATAGAATAGTGAACTATACCCATTTTCTTGAATTTGTGGAATTTGTGTAATACACTTGCCCGACTTCAAATTTGTATTTGTCCAGAGTTAATCTAGAGGTATTGTTATATCTAAATTCTAAAAGTAATGTCTGTCCTCATTCAAGACTTGGGTGAAAGGGAAATTATTTTTGCTGCCATTGATCAGAAGATTAAAATACTTCTTATTTTCACAATGTTCAAAGATTTTGTACGAGCAATTAGCCTGAAGTCATTGTTAAATAGCATGCACTCACTCGGTAAACTTACTTTATCAACATACCGGTACTTTAACAAATCTCCATCTGTAAATGTAATCTTGTTTGAGGACAGACTCTCTGTAACCTTTTGTAATATTTGAATTTTCTATTAATTGATTTTTTGTACTGTATCCCTTTCTATATATCTGATGTAGTGAATGTTTCTTGACTTTATGTTGGTATTATTTTGATGATTCAAAGCAAAATTTTCTCTGAGAGCAATAGATAATCTTGTGGTCACTGGTTCGACAAATGATGGTGGACACTAGTCTTAAGATCATTTGTGTTTAGTTTATACAAATTTATTTTAGTTTGATTGTGTAGGAAGCTATAAGCTTACTAAAACACTCTTGAATCTGTTCCTGGAACCGAACTATACTAAGCAATGAGTGTAAGGTTTATTGCTCATGGATACAACAGCTTGCTCCTGATTGGGTTTGAACACACGTGGCCAGCAATCCTTAGATTACTAGTCTGACGCATTAACCGCTCGGCCATGTCGCCAAACTTATCATTTGTGTTTCACCAGTGATTCAGAAATCATGTGCGCTTAGTAGTTGGTAACTTGTGGAGGAATTAGTATTTACTGGTTAGTTATTCAGGAAATCAGAGATATGACTTAAAATGTGTTGAAATCAGCAGAGAAAAATACAAGATGGGAAAGAATCATGTTAAGTGAACAAGAGGATTAATCAAGTATGCATGTGTTTCTGTTATTATGAGGTTATTCTGTTATCTGAATTTTAAGAAATAAATATGTTAATAGTGGGGGTGTTGGGGCAGTAGCCCCCAATAAACAAATGTGCTCATGTTATTTATCTTTCAGCATTGGCTAAACTAGATGTGTTTCAAACTTCAGTTTCATAGAGAAATGTATGAAGATATCCTTGGCTGTATAATTGTTGTAATTTTTGTGTTATATGATTAATGTAGTCTTTGCTATATTATATATATGCTCCTGTTTAATGTTTTATCTGTATTTCAAATATAAATGTTAATATGAAAAGTTAACAAAGTTGGCATGAGGGTAATAGTTTACTGGCATCTGTTGCAACTTGATTTATGTAATGTTGAACTTTTTTTTTTATGTTCACAACTTCATTACAACATTAATGACAATATAAATGATTTCACCTTTGATTAAACATGATGCAAGAATCTTTATTCAGCTGTTGTCATCACGTTTTTGTGAATTCTCTCAGACAGCCTTAATTGTTACCAATGAAGACATTATTCAAGTATACTCTCTCTTCCCTTAATAAATGTTTCATCAAATGTTATCCCCTTGTGGCTGAGGGGTTGCCTTTAAACATTCGAGGCATCAGAATTGCAGCCACTCTTTATCCCTGCATGATTGTAAGTGTGACTAAATGGGTTTGAATTACTGGAGTCTATCCATCTCTTAGTCCCAGCAGGTGAGGTGGTTTTGATGGTGTTGTTATTAAGTTTGTAACACTCGAGGTTAGCCAAAATCATCTTTCCTGTTTTGGCACCTAAATTGTGTTGGTGCGCCATAAAACCAAACAAAATTCATGTAATGTAAAGGAGTTAACATAATGTTCATGTACCTGTAATTATTAAATTAATCGTAAGAGCAATAAGAAATCTATGCCACTTGTGAAGCCCTAACAAGCTGTTTGACTAGGCTGCGTCTATTTTGCTGGCAGCCCATACTGTCGTTCTTAAGTCTCATACAGTGATACTGGACTTTATATTCGAGGCAGAGCAAGTTCTTTACTCAGATTTACCATGGCTATAGTGAAACCAAACAATTCCTTTATGATTATAAAATGTAAATGAACTCATAGGGTTTCCAGGTAAGCCATTAAACCGTTGTGATTCATGTGATGTCCATGATTTTGATAGTACAATTCAAAATACAGGTATGTATATTCTTTAAAAACTGCTTAAAAATGATTGTTATATTGATAGGTGATGAGCGTCCTTTGACAGAGACTACAGGGAATTGTCAGTCTAGTAAACAGCAAAGAGAACATCGGAAACATCAAGATAAACTTAAAACATTGACATTTGATTCTGATCAGGAAAATACAGATGTTGAAGATGTTGATAATGATGATGACTTGCCAACATTCAGCTGTGATTAAAGTACACAGGACTTGATGATTCAGATCAACTGCGCACCTTAAGCTGCGACTTTTCTTTCACATTTTATTTCTTGTTTCAACCATTGTAAAATTTAAACGTCTTTCCTGACATGCTGCTGTTAACTAAAATATTTTTTTACTTTATTTTTTTTTATACTTTGTTAGAAATGACAAGAAAAAGTGGCTTGATTGATGCACTTTTGGAAATCATTTATATAATTTGAATTATCATTTAAATATAATTGTAATTTTATTATAATATCTTGTTACTGTTAACATTGTTTTATGTCATGATTTAGAAATTCTACTATTACACTAATGGAAATACGAAATATGCTTTGAAAGTTGTTTTTATTGTTAAAATATCCTGTATTATATCGGAACTTGTTTTACTGCTGGAAAATAATATATTATAACTTGTGATATAAATAGTAGATATAAATAGTATTTTGATAGGTTTCTTGGTAAAATATCTGATTAAAGATATCATGAAAGTTTATCTGCTTTTCCCTTATTGCATTGTTTCCATTCTATTAACAGTTTTAAATGTTACAGTCAGCAGCTTTTAACCGTATCGCTATTAACCTGGCAGGGAGAGTGCAAAGCGAAGCCCTAGAAGCAGGGTATATATATTTTGCTGATTTTGAAAATTTGATTAAAGCTTAGACAGTATTACTGATGCCATTCATCCATGACAGCTATATCTAATGATCTTTATGAGGTTGGCTGTTATAATTTAAAAGTCAGGCTAGTACTGGTATAGAATCAATTATCAATGGTCTTGTGGTGGTCAGGTAAGGTGGGCTTGTGCGTGACTGAAAGTATCTTACGTTAACTAACAGTATGTACAGGCCAGCCTATCAAAGACTTACCATCAGGTTTATGTACAGGCCAGCCTATCAAAGACTTACCATCAGGTTTATGTACAGGCCGGCCTAGCAAATGCTTACCATCAGGTTAATTCTCCATCTCTTTGTCATTAAAGTACACTCATGAAGACTGAGTAAAAAAAAGAATCTAGACAAACAATATATAATTCATTTATTAACAATATTGCACTTTAAATATACAAAAAACAATGAGCATAATTATATTCATAATATAGATTTTTGTCACATGACTTCAAGGACTACCAAATTCTGCCAGTTTATTAGCAATGAGAGGTCATAGGTCAATTGGTTATTGTTTCACAATTGAAATAATGCAACAATTAAAAGCCAGTTTCAATTACAATATTGGATTGTTTTGAAAGTGGAGTGAAATGAGTAATTCACAGTGATGTCCTAATCTTATTTAAAAGTACTAATTAAATGGAGCACTTCAAGGGCGTAAAATGCAAAAGATGCTATGTAAAAAATATAATACAGATGTTGCTATGTTCTTCAGTTTTAATATTCATTATTTGTCACAGAATTATAATATCTGTTGTATGTTATGGTTAGAATCAGAATATTGGTCCAAAGGGTACCTACCCAGTGGGCGGTAACAAGGCTTGTCGAGTTCCCACCCATGGGCTGGTACTTGAGGGATTGGATATTCTTATCTGAACCACAAACACATGTCAGATATTTTTTCTTGAATATTCTACCATATTTTAATAGGTTTACCTCAATAAAATAATTTTTCATTAAAATTAATGTCATTTATTCTGTAACTTTTTTTCTTAAAATAATGTATTCATTCACAACTTCATTCATAATGGCTGAATAATGTCATCTACTGTTTACATAGCACTTTGTCTCAACATTATATGACACTTTTCTTAGATGTTGCTCGTTACCCCTTATGAACATGACAACACTTCTTTTAGATATCACTATTAATGTAGCACATGCATTGACCACTAAGCCTTAACACTATATGACACTTTCATTAGGTAGTGTTGTAGATTTGACCCTTATGAACACGACAACACTTTTTTCAGTTTTATATGTTGATGTTGCACAGGCGTTGACCACTAAGTCTTACCACTATATTACACTTTCATTAGATAGTGTTATTGATGGACCACTACATGACTTATTGTATCAGGAGGATTTAGCCATGACTGGATTAGACAAGCGGAAAATAGTTGGTAGCATATTACTGATCCCAGAAAATAGTTCTTCTGATATACCCTGAAAAAACAAGTCAATAAATATATACATGTACATGTTTTACAGAAATACATTCTCTAATAAAATTAAAAATTGTGGTTATAAATAAAAAAAAACGAACAAATATTTAAAGAAATTTAACTTAGTGTAAAACAGTCAATAAATATATAAGTGTTTTATTATGTATATTCATACACTATTAAACTATAAATTAATCAATATAAGTGAGACAGTACATTTATGTAAAACAGTCTACTTGTTTTTGTGCGTTTTATCTAGATATTTCAATTGTTTTTCAGTTTTATCATATCTTATGGTAAATTTAATGAAGGACATTATTTTGCACTTTATATGAAACAGACGTGAAATATTGATAATGTGTATTTAAAAATTAAAATGAGATGGTGATAATTTTAGAGAATGTTTTCTCTAATATACATTGTAGTTATAAATAAACAGCTGAGAACAACTAGATATTTGAAGAAATTTAAGTTATATAGAGGATAATGAATGAGTTACGGTTTAATACTTAATTTATTGAACAAGTTGAATAGAATCATATGTGAGCAAGCCCCTGGCGAGCATAATATTGTTTTATTCAATGAGTTCAATAAATTTAGTAATCAATCTACACGAATATAATATTCTTATTATCATATATCTGAAGGATAGAACTGTTAACAGTTACAAAGATTCATTTTTCATTGACGTGCCTATAGTGCAACACTAACATTATCCTGCTTTTATGCTATATTTATATATAATGAAAATGACATCACATTATAGTTTTATTACATTGTGTAATATCATTTTATTAAGTGGCTTTATTTTTTTTATTTTTTTTTTTTTTTTATTGGGTTTTACTTCACACCAACACAGTATAGGTCATATGGCATCGTTCCAGCTTTACTGGTGGAGGAAGACCTCAGGTGCCCTTCCGTGAATTATTTCAGGCATGAACAGGCACCTGAGTAAAACCACCAACATTCCATAAGCTAGCTGGATAGATTCCTCATATGAAAGAATCCAAAGTCCCTGTTGGGATTTGAACCCACAGCGGTGAGGGGCAAGTGGTTTAAAGTCAACGACCTTAACCACTCGGCCACGGACGCCCCAAATGGCTTCATTACACTCCTGCGCCTTGGTTGATATGATAAAAGATATAAAATGATAGAATACCAGAGGGACTAGGAACTGTATAGTAAGAGCCTCTGCACCACCATACGTCGCCATTTCCATCATAAAACCTTTTACACATTTAAACACAAGTTCGGATCTCTTCATACACCAGGGTATAGTCATCTCCTGTTAAAATATATGTATCCAAATAATAAAAACCAGTTTATGCAGATGATAAAATATTTCACTGCTGTATAAGATATCAAGTGATTTCTAGAAATGAGGCTTTGAAAAACTAATATTGCATTTATCATTCTCTATAAGTGAAATAAATACAAATGATCTATTATCTCTGACATTTCATGTATAGGAAGTAATGGAATAATTGACAATAACCTCCGATAAAACTAAAGATTGTTATTAACCTCTGAAATTTGGTGCGTGAGGAAATAGTTAGGTTTTAATTTACACCTACTATTACATGTGCAGGAGTGGTTAAGGTCATTACTTATCTCTGACATTTCATTTGTAAAAAGTTAAATAATGATTAAGGTTGTTATATTCCATTGACATTTCATGTAATGGAACGGCTAGTCTTTTTTGATATTTCATATGTACAAAGTAATAGGAGGGTTTAAGGCTATTACTGACCTGAAATTTCAGGTATAAGAAGTAAAAACAAGATTGCATTTGAGAAAAATGCTATGCCACCGCATTAATCCTTGTACCTTCAGACAATAAGATTTTTTGATTTTTTTACTATATGTTTATATTGAAAATCAATAACCCCCGGGGCAAAGGCAATTTTGACCCCATTGCTATAATTTAAACAATCTTGCTAGAAGTTCATTTCATAATGTTTCATGCAAAATATCTAACCTCTAGCATTTGTCAATTACTAGAAGAAATTTTTTTAAAGTTTTTACTACAAGTCATGTTTAAGTTTTTTTTCCTATATACATATAAGGAAAACCAATGACCCCCGGGGCGGGGCCGATTCTGATCCCAGGGCTATAATTTGAATAATCTTGGTAGAGGTCTACCAGACAATGCCTTATGCAAAATATCTAAGCTCTAGGCCTTTTGGGTCTTTACAAGAAGGTATTTTAAGTTTTCACTATATGTACATATAGTGAAAATCAATGACCCCCAGGGCGGGGCCGATTTTGACCCAAGGGCTATAATTTGAACAATCATGGTAATGGTCTGTCTACCAGACAATGCCTTATGCAAAATATCTAAGCTCTAGGCCTTTTGGGTCTTTACAAGAAGGTATTTTAAGGTTTTGCTATATGTACATATAGTGAAAATCAATGACCCCCGGGGCGGGGCCGATTTTGACCCCAGGGCTATAATTTGAACAATTGTGGTAGAGGTCTACCAGACAATGCCTTATGCAAAATATCTAAGCTCTAGGCCTTTTGGTTCTTTACAAGAGGATTTTTTAAATTTATTCTTATAATTCCTTTTGGTTGCCATGGCAACCAGATTTCTGCATGGAATGAAATTCTTTCAACAACTTTGGAAGCCCTTCACCCAAGGATCAATCCTGCCAAGTTTGGTTGAAATTGGACTAGTGGTTTTTCACAAGAAGATTTTTTAAGTTCACTATATAATCTATATAACACACACACACACAAACAAACACACACACAGGTGAATCGCTATATGCCACCGCATCGCAGATGCTGCGGTGGCATAAAAATGTTCAGATTTAAACTCACCTCTGACATTTCATCTCTAAGAAGTAATACTTAAATTCACCTCTGACATTTCATCTTTAATAAGGAATACTTAATCTCACCTCTGACATTTCATCTTTAAGAGGTAATACTTAAACTCACCTCTGACATTTCATCTTTAAGAGGTAATTAATTTAATATATAAGATTTAAATTTACCTCTGACATTTCATGTGTAAGAAGTAAAGGAATGGTCAATGTTGTGATGTCATATCTACAGCACAGTTTGATGATGTTACGTAAAGCAAGAATTACAGCATGTCTCGATGTGACATCAAATCTCAACGAATCATCCGTGACCAGGTGAAATACTGTATGAACCTCCGATAAGTTGGAATGTTTTGTTAAATAAAAATCACCAGTAAACAGTTTTAAGCTCTTCTCCTGAAAATGTATAAAAGATTATTTTCTTTTGCTATTATTGTACAAGACTTAAAGGAACTCCACTAAGGTCTGAAAGTCTAAAAACATAAAATTTTAATTCCTTATATAGATCAACTGGAGCACAAGATTATTTATATAAAATTTACAACATTCAAAATAAAATAATTTCTTTAAATTCAGGTAAGAAAATGCACATGTATTATTATATTTATTCCTTGAAATATGAACTGCATATTTCTGACAAAAAAAATCACTTTTCCTATTACATATATTTCTCAGAACACACAAATAAAAATAAAATAAATGTTAGCTTAGTAAGGTGATAAATAAATGAAAGAACTGAAAACTAGAATTATTCAGTAACTTAAGACTGTTAAATTACTATAATCAGTGTTAAACCAGAAATCAGGAAGAAATGGCTGCACAGAAATTTGACCATGTTATGTCATTTATCCTATAAAGAGATGTTAAGGAGAGACTTCTCTCTCACAAATAACCTTGAAAATAATGTTTTTATATGTCAGATTGTCCTTGAAATTAAAATCTCAAGAGGGACACACTCACTGTTGTAAATGATGGAGATATTGCCCTTGAATTTGATGTCTCTAGGTGAAACATTAATGTAAATGATAGATATATAAACAATATGAACGATCCCAGCCACATTTCTGAGAAAGTAAAAAAGACTACAACCATACATGGACAGACTGGAGGACAGTCTCGTCTTAAATCTCATATTTACACAATATTTAGTAGATCTTATAATTTTTACTTGTATTACAGGTTCTTTATGAGAAATATAAATCAAAATTAGAGAAATTAGACAAATAAATTTCTTCTAGACAGACATTGTTCAATCAAAATTACTCAAAAATCGCTATAAAACAATTTCAGATGTGCAGTGTCCTTTTAAAACATTGTATGATCGAGGATCTAGACTTAAAAGCAATGTTAAACTGAGCACCGAATATCCTGCAAGTCTAGAAAAAATCCTATTTGCATATTGTATATACGTAATTTGACTGTAATTGTGGTTGAATTTCTGGATGATATTTTATGTTTGGCATTTCTGCCACCTTGAGTAAAGTTCAAATTCCCTTCTGGTTAAGTTTTAAGTAACACTGGCAGTGTAAAGGTCATATGGTGTCTTTCCAGTTTTACTGGTGAAGAAAAAATTAAAATGACTTTCGATGTATAATTTCAAGCACAAACTGGCTACAAGTGGTAAACTTTTCTAAGTCAAGAGACTTATATACCACTCAGTCATGGAGACCCAATAAAGTCTCTTTGCATTTACACACATACAAATGTGTTTGTAGAAACAAAAAAGTCTTTACAGTTTACAAACAATGGAAAATCTGGAATTTTGAAAAAAATTCTATAAGGTCAAGGTCATTTAAATTTATAATCATATTTCAATATGTCAAAGTATTGTCAGTATAGCATAGCATTTGTTCAAAATTATGCTATGCCCAAGCATGAAGGGTCCAGCTAATGGACTGAAGATGCTATTGTCCTGGTTCAAATTATAAGCTTTAGCAGGTAAAACAGTATTCACCCAAATCAAATCCATTAATTAAGAGATAAAACAAATGTTTTAATCTTAAAATAGATAAATACAGAATCCCTAAAGAAAGCCCAACACGGCAAAATTGAAAATGTTGCAGGCTTGGTTTGATTGAGCCTGTTCATGGACGGTACTGGAAAGTGCAAGTTACCGTCCACGCCCCCTAGCACCGGCTTAAGCAGAATTCAACATTTAAACATGAAATAGTAGAATTTTGAATTTAGAAACATCCGCAGATGTGTTAAACCCTTTCCATTTGGAATCTCTTGACTTCTTCGTTTTTCTATCCGGACATATCATTCATCATTTTTAGGCGAAATTTTCAAAATATGTTTTTTTGTTGGGTTTAATGTCACATTAACATAGTATAGGATATTTAGCGACTTTCCAGCTTTACTGGTGGAGGAAGACCTTGGGTGCCCCTGTTTACATTATTTCAGGCAAAAACAGGAACCTGTGTAGAACCACTGACGTTCTGCAAGCTAGCTGGACAGCTTTCTCAAATGATGACAGTAGTGCCGCTCGAACCTACATTGGTGAGAGAAAAGTGGTTTGAAGTAAACGACCTTAACCGCTTGACCACAGTCGCTCCTTTAATATATATTTATTGACAGCAAAAGAAACCAGTCGTATAACATGATATACCTGAGTGTCTCCACTAGAAGCACTACCAGTACTCTTTAAGCTAACTTTATCATTATCTTCTGCTACTTTCCTTCTTGTCTCCCATGCCGTTTTCAGCTCCTCTTCTATCTTTGTGAACTGTTTCTCCAGGTTAGGGAAATGAAAATCAGTGGAGCGTTCACATACCTTGGCAAACTCTGGAATACAGAGATACTAAGTAAGAAGTCAAAATATCATGGAACATTGTAAAAATAGATGCCTTAAAGGGACTCTACCAAGGTTTGATGTCTTAAAGGGCCTCTACCGAGGTTTTTTAACAAGATTTGACTGGAGATAATTATTCAAGAGTAATACTCCATTTGATGTAGAGTCTAGACCAATAACTTGTGTGCAAAATTTCAGATCATTCACTCTTTCCGTTTTTCCAGACAAAATATTTCAACTCTAAAAACTTAACAAAAATTGAAAAATATTGCAAAGGTTTGCTGAGAAAAGCATAATCATACAATTTTCTATTTTTTTCCTGTATTTATTTCTTAATTATCTTCTGCATATCTTTCTGTTCTAAGTGTCCAAGCTGCTCTATGAGAGAAATTCAATTTTTTAATTTTTAAGAAATTACTGCTACTAAACAATTGTAAAATTTTTAATGAAAATACACAAAATAAATTCTATTACACAGTGAAGTACACAAGAGCGACCCTCTTTAAAGCAACTACCTCTGTACAACAACAGTTTCAAAACTTTCCAAAAGTACAACTTCACAACAGATTTAACCTCTCTAGAGCAATACCTCTTAATAACAACAAAATCCTTTGTCACCCACATGCTGTTGCTTGACATAGTTTGTCTGTATTTAACAAGGGCATGCCTGGCTGAGTGCTTAAATCACTTGCCTCTCACTGCTATGGGATTGAATCCCGACAGGGACTTTGAAGTCTTTCATGTGAGTTAGCTATCCAACTAGTTTACGGAACGCCGGTGGTTCTACTTGGGTGCCTGTTCGTGTCTGAAATAATGCACAGAAGGTCATCTGAGGTCTACCTCCATCAGTAAAGCTGGAAAGTTACCATATGACCTATATTGTGTTGGTGAGACGTAAAAACCAACAAAAAAAAAACAACAAAAAAACAACAACAACAAAAAACTGTATTTAATACACAAACCTTTCTTCAGACCACTGTATGTATTAAGCCTATTATCCACTAACATGATCATACCACATAAGTTTTTAGAGTAGAGTGACATAGCTGTCTGTAGACGCTGAGGCTGCGCTACCATAACACCACTGAAATAAATATTACAGAATTTTATTGCCCTTGAATTAGAAAATATTTTCAATTTTCTAATTGTTGCGCATAGCTCAAAAAGTATTTGACCTGAAGTCATGAAACTTTACAAGAATGTTGATAAGCAAGTGAAGTGGGCCATGACTAGGTTCCTCACACAACACCGGTATTGGAAGCTAACTCAAATCTGATATAATCTATATAAGTCACAACAACTTGCTTACAAGAACTTGCTTCACAATCAAGTTAAAGAAATATGTTTTCTGTCCTCTAAAGTTTTAAGGGAAACAAACAATATCTAGATATGTGTTAATAGGACACATATGCCACAATTTCCCACTATTTTGTAAGTCTACAAACAGCCTGAGAACATGACAAATGGATAAAAGCAGATACACACCAGATCCCCCCTCCCCCCACAGGCTGAGATAGTCCCATAAAAAAAATACCCAACACTTTTTATGAAGAAATGAGTAGAACATACCCAACAGTATGGGGTTTATGTCTACACAGATCTAGTATACTGGCACTAAGTAATCGAAGATTGTGTGTCGTTTTCATCTGAGCCCCTGAAAATAAACAAAAAAAAAACAAAGTTACAATGCTGTGTGGTCAATAAGGGTTGTATGGTATAAATTATGTATTATTTGTTACATATATCAAATTCTTATCATATACATGTATATGATATTTTTTAACAGAAATAATAAATGGAAAAATGTTCAGAAAGTGTCCAGTGGCTGGTCCTTGACCAGTATATGAAAAGACGGAAACAAATTCATATACTTTTTTCTGTCTTTTCAGTGTGAATTTTTCTTTCTTATGATTTAATTTTTATATAGTTATTTTCTTCTTTTTTTTTTAATACTTTTTTGACATTTCAAAAACATATACTTTGTTAACAAGATCCAATTGTGAAACCAGCTTCTGGAAAGTTTGAAGGACAAATCATTATCCAATTGTGAAACCTGCTTCTGAAAATTTGAAAATTTTCAAGGTCAAATTGTACAAATTATATAACGGATAGAGAAAAACCTATTGTATGTGTTTTGTTTTTTGGGGGGTTTTTAACAGTGTACTACAAAGAAGCTCCTTGACTTAAATTGTATTAGTTTCCGCCCACTTTCCCATGCAAGTAGTTCTGAACTTTCCCTACTTACAACAGATGTCATGTCTGACCCCGAAACAGTTTTGAAGGTCATTGTTGATGGGTTGAATTGATAATAAAAGTGCAATAATCATTTCCAAGAATACAGCTGTCACATGTACTGTATAAATATGAAGGTTCTCTGAAAAGTTTCGAGGCTTGTCGCATAACTTTTATATTGAAGCATTATAATCATTTCTAAGTTTGTTATATTATACAGTATATTAGTCAGTTTTGTAAATATAGCCAAAATATTTCACTTGAGATTTTATGTGCAATAATAATATTAATTTTAATAATTTCAGTTAAACTCTCTATATATTGCTGCAAAGGAAGCACTTTGTTTTTCTATTCTTTGAGGCTATATGGTACATCAAGGCATAACATAGATATCATTTGCTAAAAAGGCAGCAAAAATATGTCAAATTTAATCCTAAGCACAATAATGATGAGCTTCATATGTGCTTCAATTTTTTACACTAAAACATTATAAACAAACTTAAAACTGGAATAACCCTTGAAGCTGTTGCATGATATCATGAATGGCTAAACATTATGCAAAGATCAACTAACTATTATAAGACATAATGTCAACATTGGAGTGACCCCAATAGAACATTTGAGTTTAAATAACAACAAATCTAAGAAACCATGCTATTCAGCATTTCATGGTGTTTTGCTAGCAAATGAAATTCTGTGATACTTGTCAACGCTATGAATGTTAGTGACATCCCATCAAAGTCAAAGTGCCCCATAATATACGAAGACTTAGTGTATATAGAGCAATTGTGATAGTTATCGAAGACTTAGTGTATATAGAGCAATTGTGATAGTTATCGAAGACTTAGTGTATATAGAGCAACTGTGATAGTTATCGAAGACTTAGTGTATATAGAGCAACTGTGATAGTTATCGAAGACTTAGTGTATATAGAGCAACTGTGATAGTTATCGAAGACTAAGTGTATATAGAGCAATTGTGATAGTTATCAAAGACTTAGTGTATATAGAGCAATTGTGATAGTTATCGAAGACTTAGTGTATATAGAGCAACTGTGATAGTTATCGAAGACTTAGTGTATATAGAGCAACTGTGATAGTTATCGAAGACTTAGTGTATATAGAGCAACTGTGATAGTTATCGAAGACTTAGTGTATATAGAGCAATTGTGATAGTTATCGAAGACTTAGTGTATATAGAGCAACTGTGATAGTTATCGAAGACTTAGTGTATATAGAGCAACTGTGATAGTTATCGAAGACTTAGTGTATATAGAGCAATTGTGATAGTTATCGAAGACTTAGTGTATATAGAGCAATTGTGATAGTTATCGAAAACTTAGTGTATATAGAGCAATTGTGATAGTTATCGACACTTTGACTTAAACATGCCAATATTCCCCCAAGTTGATCTTCTTGAATTATTGTATTGTTGAAACTATATGTTTCTGTGATGATAAAATTTGATACATATAAATAAATTACATATTGACACAGAAGTCTTATTCCAGAAGGGAATTTGTTTGGAGTTCAAATGCAGAGTAGTCATTTGATTGGAGTTCAAAGGCAGAGAAGTCATTAGTTTGGAGTTCAAATGCAGAGTAATTATTTGGCAGAGTAATTATTTGTTTGGAGTTCAAAGGCAGAGAAGACATTTGTTTGGAGTTCAAATGCAGAGTAGTCATTTGATTGGAGTTCAACTGAAGAGTAGCCATTTGTTTTGAGTTAAAATGTAGAGTAACCATTTGTCTGGAGTTCAAATGCAGAATAGCCATTTGTTGGGAGTTCATTTGCAGAATAGTTTATTTGGAGTTTAAATGCAGAATAACTATTTGTTTGGAGTTTAAATGTAGAGTATTAAAACAACAAGGAATTTGTTTGGTGTTCTAAGTCATGCAGATTAATTAAAACACAAGACATCTGCATGATTAGTTAAATATACACACATTAATCAATGAAAGACTCATAAATGCTACAATGATTACACAAGTTACACTGTATATTATTTCAAGTACATGTACATTTATGTACATTTCTTTAAATAAATGCCACATGAGAATTGCTTACCAAAATGTCCTTACATAGAATGATTGCAGACACATTATTTGACTGAATCATTCATCGTAACTAACACTTTTGCAAGATTTTTTTTTCTAATTTATTTTTAAGTAAGTCATAATGACAAATAGGTTCAGTGTTGACCTTGAACACTAGGATATGTCATCTTAACCTTAAATAACGTAATTAAACATCTAGTTTGTCACTTGAAAAAAATGTAACAGGATCTAAGATGAACCCATCCAATTACAGGTATTGTGAAATTTCTCGAAATCACCTAATATAAAATACCAGCCATGTCATAGGTAAATTTAGGGTTTCTTGATTGCACTTTTAGATCCTGCTTCAAAACTTGTATATAATAATTGTGAAATACTAAATGTATATGCAAAGCTTTGTTTTTATAGTACATTTACATTGTAAATCTATTTCAAGTCATCAAATATTAAACCTTACACTGCCGGAACCAAAAGGTGATAAGCCTTTGCCACCAGTATACAGTCAAGCCAGCCTGCAAATCTGTGTAGTCTGACCAGGCTCTATACTGTTGTTAACTTGGTACCTCAATTTTTGTATTCTGATATCGAAATCTCTTGTAAATTTACTGCCCCAAATTCAAAGCAGGGCAAAATTCATTACACAATTTAAACAGCAGGTTAAACTATCCTTTCAAAACGTTACAAGTCAGAAATTATAAATTGCTATGTGTTACCAAGTGGGTCAAGGACAACAAGCAGCTAATTCATTAAGATAGTCTGATATAATCACACAATAATTATAATTTGATCTCTGATGGTGATTTCCTTAAAAATCAATCTTTTACAATTCCTGGTAGTGAGAATTTTTATCCAGTAACTTACTTTGTTAAATGGATTCACTCTAATTTTCTTTTGGAACATTCAATGTTTTGGGGTATTTATTTGATAAATTTATCAAAAATATAAAACTGAGTTACCAACAGTATAGAGCCTGGTCAAACTGCATGAAAGTGCAGGCTGACCTAGCTCTATACTGGTGGCCAAGCCTCTTTAATGGTGTCAAAGGCTCTAGAATGATGTCAAAGGCTCTTAAATGGTGTCAAAGGCTCAATATTGGTGGCAAAGTCTCTGTTATGGTGGCAAAGCCTCTGTAATGGTGTCAAAGGCTCAAAAAATGATGTCAAGGCTCTATTCTGGTGAATGGTGACAAAGGCTTTACAATGATGGCAAAGGCTCTACAATGGTGGCAAAGGTTCTATAATGGTGTCAAAGGCTCTATACTGGTGAATGGTGTCAAAGGCTCTATAATGGTGAAAAAAGGCTCTTTAATGGTGTCAAAGGCTCATATATAGTGTCAAAGGCTCTAAAATGGTGTCAAAGGCTCCAAATGGTGGCAAAGGCTCTACAATGGTGTCAAAGGCTCTAAAATGGTGTCAGAGGCTCTAAAATGATGTCAATGGCTCTAAAATGTTGGCAAAGGTTATATACTGGTGGCAAAGGATCTGTAAAGGTGTCAAAGGCTCTTTAATGATGGCAAATGCTCTATAGTTGTTGCAAAGGCTCTATAATGGTTTCAAAGGTTCTATACTCCTGGCAAAGGCTAAGTACTTGCCATTCCAGCAGGTTAAGGGTAAGCAAGAAATGGGTTTTGTAAGGAAAGGTATTAATTTGAAATGAGTGTTTTTGCCAAGATAGAAAACTTAACACGAGAATTAATTTGAAATGAGTGTTTTTGCCAAGATAGAAAACTTTACATGCTCTAAAATACATGATGATGAAATACAGTCAAACCAATGATTAAGACCCCTAATTAACAAGTATTTGTAACAGAGTTACAAATCTCCCAAACCTAAGGGAAACTTTACATGAAACACACTATGGTATTTTTTTAATAGTCTGATGTGTGTTTGGACTTTCAGTGGTAAATGTTAGATCTGCAAATGCAACAATAACTTTGTTTTAGAAATACACTCCTATGTATGTACTAAAAGAAATACAATTCAGCAGTTTTTATCACTGAAATACAAGGGAGATAACTTGAAAATTGTTTAAGATGGAGTTATTGTTTACTCCCTCTCAATGTTACCTTTTTATATTTTAATTTTCACTGGAATGTCTCGAATACTTTTGGAGTTATTCTATAGGCAAAGAAAAGACAGTCCAAGCTTAGATCCCTGAGTTTGACCTTAATCTTTGTGGTAGGGTCTGAGTTTAGCCCAAGACATGTTGTCTTATTATGATAAGTAATTTCAAAATCCCTTACCCGTAGATGAATAGCTGAGTTATGAACGGGCACGAATTGTAATACGTAGATGGAGGGATGAACATGCTCCCAAAATTGAATAAGGGGTCATTTCTCTTGTAATTTTCTTTTGTTTAATAGAGGACCATTGACCCTTCTTCTTGTTACAGAATAAACTTTGTTCTGTTTATATATAGGCCCCCTATTTCATTTTGAAAATTTCGGCCAGAGCCTATTTCTAGCCCCCTTTTTCTTTTCGAAAAGATGGAGGCAATAAAAACCATTTATTGAAATCCTGTTACAAAATGTCAACATTAAGCTTTCTTTTTTGTTAATAAGATTGCAAAATGCCCTTTAACACTGGTCTTCTTTATGTATTTTACTGTACTTGTGCTCAAGAACTAGTTTAATGTTTCAAAGAAGTTGGTCCCAGATTACTTAAAAGTTTGTCCCGGATTATTTAAAAGAAACGTCCATCCTGTTACCTTGTTCTTCTTACCGAATTACACAATTTTTCAGGATATAAGAAAGACAACATTTTATCACAGACGATTTATCATTCCCACACAGTGGTTTAATAATGATATCCGTTTGTGACTTTGTGACATAAACTTTTTTTTTCAACATAAAAAGGAAACATTTTTACAATCTGAGAGGTGTGTGGTGTTCCGGCTATAGGATGTAATGTTATCATGATATTTCCCATGAAGTGTTTTGAAGATATATACACTGATACATGTAACAATGTACCTTGGTTAAGAGAAAGTAGTGGATGGTTAGGATTTGTGGCGAGTACAGCTATATTATGGTTAACTTTCACTTTGCCCTTAAAACTGATCTCAGGCATTGACTCTAAATGTTATTTGTCTTTCACCATTTCTTTTGAAATCATATGGGATTAGTAGTTAGTCAGTCACTTACAGAGATATTGGTAATTACTGGTTAGTTATACAGGAAAGCTGGTTAGATTGTTGACTGCCAAGATATAAGCCAACTGTGTTAGTTTTCATTTCCATTTTTTATTGAGGGGGGGGGGGGGGTGTTCCATAAAAAAAAGATGGATAGCTTCCAAGCATGAAAGAATCCACCAAAGACCCGTACAGAATAGCGTAAAAATTGGCACAAAAACAAAGTTAGGAATGTTTTATATCACAACAAACCTAATATGATAGTAAAGCTTTCCTCCATCCTAATCTGGGCATGTCTTTCTTCCTCCTCTGCTTCTGGTAGGTTACTTGTCATTGCTCGGACACGCTGCCTACAAAATTCGAACATAAATGATAAACATGACCTCATTTAACTCATGTCAAAATTGTTATACATGTACTATTTTTTTTAACATTATTAAACACTGCTTGATAAGAGCGCAGCCTCTTATCTCAGACTTTACAATATTGCATGTTTGTAACGTCACTTTTCATTGGATAATTTAAACTTTTATATAAACTATATACACAGCTTCTGTGCCAATTTATGAAGTAATTTTCTTTCTTCTCCAAATAAAGTAATTTTGTTGTATGATAAATTTGTTATAAAGATGTCTGACATTGTATATGGCCATATATACTGAGCTATATAACCTGTCAGACAATTTTATAACTTATATGATAATATTACAGTCAAACCTGTGAATAAAAGCCATCCAAAGGAGGGTCTTAATCATACATGGTCTTAATCATACATGGTCTTAATCATACATGGTCTTTATCATACATTGTCTTAATCATACATGGCCTTTATCATACATGGTCTTAATCATACATGGTCTTTATCATACATGGTCTTAATCATACATGGTCTTAATCATACATGGTCTTAATCATACATGGTCTTAATCATACATGGTCTTTATCATACATGGTCTTAATCATACATGGTCTTTATCATACATGGTCTTTATCATACATGGTCTTTATCATACATGGTCTTTATCATACATGGTCTTTATCATACATGGTCTTTATCATACATGGTCTTTATCATACATGGTCTTTATCATACATGGTCTTAATCATACATGGTCTTTATCATACATGGTATTTATCATACATGGTCTTAATCATACATGGTATTTATCATACATGGTCTTAATCATACATGGTCTTTATCATACATGGTCTTTATCATACATGGTCTTTATAGACAAGTGGTCTTTATTCAGAGTTTACTCTGTTGTATTTTTATCAATGAAGGTTTCTCATTTAGTGGTTTTTATTTAGAGAGTGGTCTTTATTCTGAGTTGGTCTGACTGTACTAGTTTGTAATGTTAATTTTCATTGAACAATCAATATTTTTTTCATCATCTTTATTCTTGGCTTTTACAAATTGATGTATTAACAGCAATTTTGCTGCAATAAAAATTTGTTATATAGATTTTTGACATGTTATATTGGAATATTATTAACACACTTTGATGCAGCTTCATTCAAGGAACTTCCCTTGCAATATTCATCATAAACATGTATATACATGTATAAAGCCCTTTGGTTTCAAAGGAGCTGTCATAGTTATGAAACAATTATGGACAACAGTAGATCACTTAATTTCCATCAATAATAGAATACTAGAGTTCACAATTGGCATCTTGTGCTTAGGTGAGCTTAAAAATTCAAAATTTTCAGCTCTTAAGTTCCATGTGTTATGTGGGGGAAAAGAATTTCATTTTAAGTTATTGAGTGTGTCAATAGTCTAGACATCATGTACAGACTTTCTAGTTCCTTCAGACTAAGGTTACCATTACTTCACAAAATGTTACTTTTAAATATCAACTCCTGTATGCAGTAGACAAATATATATTTTACTTTCATGCAATATGCACAAGTAGGCACTATTTCCAGACCCCTGATTGTCAATAATATTCTCGTAACTTTCCTAAAACTGACATTTACTTCAAGATATTCACTTTGCTCTAGCATAATTTTCTGTTTAGCTGACAGGTCTAATATTGAAGGCACACTGGCCACAGTGTATTCTGCTGTATATAGCATACATTAACTTTGACAGTTCAAAGGCATTTCTGCTTTAACAATTCTCTTACAACCATACCAGGATAACATTTTCTAGAATAAATAATCATGATGAAGTCATGGAATATAGCAGAGCTATGAATTTTAAGTTCTACAATGCATTATTAAGAGGAGCTTTGTCATGGCATTTAAGTTAAATATTACTTGAAGAATATCAAAATACATAAACATAAATGTTTCAATAAAATATAATATATATGTAGGTCTAGACTAAAACACATTATAAATAGATGGGTCTAGACTATTATGATCTCTTGCTAAATATCAAATTTTCAAAGAAATTACTGTTCCCAAATGAGAGAAAATCAAATTAACTTTGCTTATTTTTCCTCAGTAAATATCAGGTATCTTTAATAATATGGCACCATATAACTGGTACACATAGGTAATGCTGAGTACAAATTTTAAGTATGTGATTCAGAAAGTATAAACAATAGGAACAAGGGAGATCACTTTGAATGAAAACGTACTGTCGTAAATCTTAAATATAATCGAAATTTTTTATTAACAAAATATATGTATTACATTTAATTTTATATACCAGTATTTTAAACTTTATATTATGGAATATTATTTGGTTATCTAACATGTGAGTCCAATATGGTTTTAAAACTGTATATGAGTCCAAATATATACAGTATTGTACAGAAACATTATTACAGATCCTGTATGTTGTAATTAAGGATGTAACAACACTTAAGTGAATTTTTATATATGTACATAAGTATTCTTGTAAAACAATTTCCAAACATCCAAGAATATGTTAGATATGTACTGAAAATGTATGTTCGCATTATAAGTAATCATTAAAATCTAGGCATTCATTTCTTATTGAAAAATTTGGCTTAGACTATTTTGAAAATAGATTTCTAATTACCTCCCTTTATTTACATAAACTGTAAATTCGGTAATATCTTTACAAATAATGATTTTTTGAACTTACAATATTGATAAATCTTCATTTGAGTGTCAGATTTACCATAAAAAATTTGAGTTACAGGATCTTTAAATAATAGCTTTTTTAGTCTATATCTGTTTCATCTGAATTTTGTTAACATTTGTTGTTTTTTAATCCCATTGCTCTTTTGCTTATTAATAATATATAAATAGAGAGATTTATCACGGCTGATTAAGAAATATTTCTTAACCATCTGTAAAGAGTGTCTTAAGTCTTAAAAGATCTAACTGGTTAATTCATTACATCTTTAGGCATTTCTGTTGTTATTGTTAAATGAAATACATAAAGCTTTAATAAATATTTCATAAATGCAATATTTCGTAAGCTCTTACATATATTTAGGCGTGTTTGAGCCTTTTGTATCCTCGTGAACTTTCATGACCCAGTCTCGGTATTCCCGCCTCTGAATCTCTTGTTGATTGGTTAACTCATTTGTCCATTTTGATTCGATCATATTATAATTGTCAATATTTCTTTGCGTCATTGTGTTTATTTGTTCGTCGGTGTAACTTTTCCCCGTCGCCTCTTGCATCTCCTCCTGCTGACTGAAACAATAAATTTGTATTTAAGAAATAATTTATCCTGAACAGTGAATTATCGCTAAATAAAATCACTGTTTGAAGTTTGGATGCGAGGAATTATATCACGAGGGTGTATTTTCAGTGTGTCGCTTTTTTAATGGTTACGTCACATGTCCAATGGTTACGTCACATGTCTTGATACATGTATAGAAAGTCAAGAGTGATTTTATAGCATAATAACACACACTTTAGGTCCTTCTATGTTCAGGGAAATTTGCAGATCATGTGAGAATATCAATTATACAATGATATTTATTCAACCTTAAGACTGCAAGGGGTGACTGATTATACCCATATGAATGATGTAGAACACAAATTAGCTAGCACTCAATTTGTGTCATCTGATCATTGTCTGCACTGTTCACTAAGCAGTCATTTCATATTTTTCTATTGTGGCTGAGGGATTGCCTTAAACAGTTGAGGCATCAGAATTGCAGCCACTGTTTACCCTAGTGTGATCGAAAAAGGCAACTAAATGGGCTTGAATTACTGAAATCTATGCATCTCTTAGTTCCAGCAGTTAAGGTAGTTTTGAATTCTTGTGTTGCTTCCTGAAGTTACCAAAAATCATCTTTGCTGTTTCAGCACCATATGACCCAAATTGTGTTGGTGCACCATATAACAAAAATAACAAAAAAACAACAAAAAAGCTTTACATTTCCCTAAAAAATGATTAATGGTCTCTGTCCAGATTGAAAGATGGACAAGTCCATTTTTGAAATTAAGCAGCTTAAAGGGTTAACATAAGTTTGTTGCTGATAAAAGCCATCCTGTGAAGTCAAAGGACTAACTGACAAAGTGCAGTTGTACTCAATGACAGCGGTAATATCATTCTGTAGGCAATGACAGTAATTTCAGGTCCTAGTTTCTTCTTTCTTTATTTTATTGGATTTTCAATCACAGTATCACTGTATAGGTCGAATAGATAATACATTTTTACTAGTGAATGAAGACCTCAGGTGCATTTCTGTACATTATTTCCTGCATTTAAGTGGGCATCTGAGAAGTGCATTTAAGAATTTTAGTTTTGGGCTTTGTAAATCATTTTTTACTTACTGTAGTGTTTTTATCTGATTATTTTAATAATACTCAAATCAAGCTATTGACCTATTTTGTTGTACTCATATTAAGCCTTTATATTAAACATTTTTATGAAGAAGCCAGGTTGTAAATTAAAGGCAATTTAGCTATTAACTTAATTAACAATTAGATAAATTTCTGGCCTAACATTATCATTAAAAAACACCTAATTCAGGTGTACCTTAAGCTAAGCATTTATTTTTTTACCAATTTTACCTAATCATGAATGTTTATCTTGCCATTAACTGACTCTTATTTCTAGCCATTAACTTTTCACAAATTTTTTTGCCCTACTTTTCCCATAAACCTAACATTAATTTTGTTATTGACAGAGTAACACAATAAAATTCAATCATGTTCTATTCTAAGAAAAGTAAAGTGTACAGTTCTAGAAATTATAAAGATTGCAAAAGTACTAGTAATCATAAGCAATGTCCTCAATTCAAGTAAAAGTACGCTAACAGAAAAGTTTACAAGTTGTAAAGTAAATATACGAGAAATATGAGCAGACAAGAAAAAAAAGTTCCCCTATAACAAGAAATAATCAAATAACACCACTTTCTTCAGGGCATTCTGCAGATTCTGCGAAATATTTACACTGTCTCCAAGGAATAAAAAAAAAAATTACGATTCCGATGTAAGATACATAGTGCACTTTTGCATCAAAATTAGATTGCAAAATAAATTAAGTTAATAGATTAAGATTTAAAAGTTTCTCAAAATAAGACAAAGGTTTTGTTTTACTTCTAGATAAAATGAATCAGATAAACATGGGACTAGGCTACATGTATTTAAGGCTACATGTATTTGTATGTCCCTTCTGCCACCATGTGATTAGCACCATTCGGTTAGCTCAATAGGTAGAGTGTTGAACTGTGAGTCCTGCAGTTCTGGGTTCGATTCCCTGACAGTGCATGCCACTTTTGTTGTGACTGATCATGAAATCCTTTCTACGGTCATTTTTCGCGATACCGTTATTATACAATTTGATGTAAAACTCTATACCAATATCAAGTATGCAAAAACTCCCTATTGTAAAAAATGACCAAAAAAGGAAAAGCGTTCAACGCCTTTAACTCAAATCAAGTATTACTTGAACTAAATATTGATTTTCAATTCTAAATTCTAAATATATATTTTCCTATTATCTTTTTCATAATTTTTCCCTTATAAGGTCCCAAGTTGATCTATGACAGATTTCAAAATGTTACGTTTTTAAGAATTTTGTACTTCAGTCAATGGACCTACTTTAAACATGACATATTAAAAAAAAAAATTATAAAGACACTCATCTGCGGTTTACATATTTTGCATCATTTCTTAGTCATGCATCATTTCTATTTTAAGCCTTAAAATACTGTTATCTATTAAGGATCAATAAGAAATATCTCCTTAAACATTTGCTTACACTATTTTTGAAATTAGAACAGATTTTTTAATCTTGAAAATATGTTTGAACTTTCATAATGTTTATTTTAGCTTACTAAATGAATGCATAATTACTTTTTTATGAAAAATATTGTCCATGTGGATATTTATGTCTTCAAAATCCTATAATGTGTGACTATATATGTCTTATTCAATTAAAAAAAATGTGTGGATATTTATATCTTCCACATTTCAATAATATGTGAATATTTATGTCTTCCACATTTCAATAATGTGTGAATATTTATGTCTTCCACATTTCAATTATGTGTGGATATTTATGTCTTAGTCAGTTCAATTAATACTGTTTATATTCTGTAAACTTAATATTGATAACTATTTGTAGAAGAAAAATTTAACCAAAAGACCTGGATTAAAATATAAATATCTTTCATATTCAAATGAAGATAATATTATCTTTTACTTTATCAAAACCTACAAATTTTAAAATGCTATAGAAATGTATTGGTTATGAAATTGACAATTTTGTCATTCTACATGTATGTTACTGCATGATTTTGGTGGATATCAAGATGAAAATTTGAAGATGGTCAACCAACAGTATAGAGCCTGGTCAGCTAGGCTGGCCTGATTCTATGCTGGTGGCAAAGGCTTGTCATTTTTCATTCCAGCTGTTTAAGGGGGTGCTTTTGCCAAAGCAAACAAACTTATATCAAATTTAGTCAAATGCTGGTGACATCTTAACTAGATCATGTTAATAATTAGGTTATTACTTATCTGCATATGATTAGCAAGTTTTGTATTACCCATGATTTTCTTTACCAGTTTTTCTTCCTTAAAACTATATCAAACATAAAATACTATTCTACTATCTAGTTCTTCAATTCTTTAACCTCTTTAAACTGAATTTATCTTTTAATTTAACCATGTTAAACTAGTTGTAACTTTATTGTACTAAAGTCAGTACTTAAAGAGTGACATAAGGTAGGTTATAGCCTAGGTTATAGCCTTAAACTAAAACTTATTTCCTAGTAATCAATGAATTGCCTTTTATCTGATGACCTAGTTCGTATATATAGCCTATTTTGAGGAAAACTGTATTAAAATTTGAATCAGATTTCAAGCTGTACCTTAAATGGGATCCAGGATATGAAAAATCTGGCATAGAAGAATGAATAATGATATCTATTCTTTAATATGTAATTTATATAAGGAAAATTGGAATGAGTGAATTTTTTTTTTGGTTAGGTTTTTATTTTAAGTCATATAACAAGCTCATATATGTGAAGCACAGGATGGTTTTCCAAGTATTATAAAGCCCCTGCTTTTAGGTAAGCTAGCTAGATAGTTTCTCCACTTGAAAAGAAAAACCAAAGTCACTTGAAGCTGGTTTCAAACCCACATCTGTGATCCAAATTCAGTATCCGTAACCACTCAGCCATGGAGGCTTCATCAGTGAATTTACCCTTCATGAAAGAAAAAGAATGTAATTCAAACACCAACTTTATTATACCTTTCATTTAAATGTTGTAAATCTTGGTCCCTCTGCTGAATCAGATCCTCTATTGTTAGGGCATATGTATGCTCTAGGTTGAGTAATGTCTCAAGGGCAGGAGAATGTATAAGAGAATGATAAACCTCGGAGAATTGTTGCTCCGCACTCACTTCCTCGGGTTTGGCAAACACCTTTACTTCCTACAATATAATGGTCTCATAAACACAAAGATATATGCAAAAATAAAATAAATAATAACATGATTTTTATATTGATTTTCATGTAAAAGACAACTTGTGTAAAATAAATATTGTCACAATAGCAGTGTCACTGTGACCTTCAACTTTGACCTTATGACCTCAAAATCAATAGATAATATCAACTAGTCATAAGCAATGTCTTTATAAAACTAGAACTCCGCGAGTCGGATGTGTCGCCTTGTGAACAATATAGTTTCGGAGAAATGGCCAGGACAAAAATGAAATACGAAAACTAACAAAGGACAATAACTCAAAAAATAATAAGTGCATAGCAGCAGTTTCTATGCACTGCACCACTTCTTATCAATAAGATCTATCATTCTATGAAGTTTCAAGTCCATATCTTTTATAATTTATGAGAAATGGCCTGGTCAAAAATAAAGTATGAAAATATATAAAGGGTGAAAACTCAAAAATAAGAAATGCAGAGTACCGGTCCTTGTACACAGCAATTATTTTTAATGAGATCTATCATCCTATGAAGTTTCATGTGTATAGCTTTCATACTTGAGGAGAAATGACCTGGACAAAAATAAAGTATGAAAATTAACAAAAATTAACAAAGGGCCATAACTCAAAAAGTAAGAAATGCAGAGTACCGGTCCTTGTACACTGCACTTCTTCTTAATGAGATCTATCATCCTATGAAGTTTCAAGTCCAAAGCTTTTATACTTTCGGAGAAATGGCCCGGACAAAAATAAAGTATGAAAATTAACAAAGGGCAATAACTCAAAAAATAAGAAATGCAGAGTACTTGTTTTTGTGTACTGCACTTCTTCTTAATGAGATCTATCATCCTATGAAGTTTCAAGTCCATAGCTTTTATACATTAGTAGAAATGGCCCGGACAAAAATAAAGTATGAAAATTAACAAAGGGAAATAACTCAAAAATTAGGAAGTGCAGAGTACCGATTCTTGTGCACTGCACTTCTTCTTAATGAGATCTATCATTGTATGAAGTTTGAAGTCCATAGCTTTTATAGTTGAAGAGAAATGGCCCGGACAAAATTAAAGTATGAAAATTTACAAAGGGCAATAACTCAAAAATTAAGAAGTGCAGAGTACCAGTCCTTATGCACTGCACTTCGTGTTATTAAAAGAAGCATGCATACAAAGTTTGAAGTCAATCCAACTTAAAGTGACTGAGTTATGCTCCGGACAAGCTTTAGGGGACGCCGACGCCGACACCGCCGACAAAAGTAATCCCTATATGTCACCTTTTCAAGGCGACACAAAAATTCTCAAGTGAATGATAAGACAAGGATTGTACATATACTGCCATTTCACCTTGACCTACTGACCTCAAAATCATTAGGGGTCATCTACTTGTTGTGACCAATCTCCACATCAGGTCTTAGAACTGTAGTATTCTCTGTTTATTGGTGGGACATATTTAAGCTGTTAAGCCCGTGGTGACAACGACCTTTGACCTACTGACCTTTTGTATAATGAGGGGTCATCTATTACACATGACCAACCTTCACACTTAATCTAAGGGCTGTCAGCAGAAGTTTCCCTTAGTTACTTTTCAGGCAAGTTTATAGTGGTCAAGGCCACAGTGTCCTTAACTTTTTGTCATACTGACCTCAAAATCAATAGGGGTCATCTACTGTCCATGGGCAATGTCTCTATCAACTTTCATAAACCATGACTTCTTTAATCTCAAGTTATTAATCAGACAAGGAAGTGATGACATACTACCAATGGACATCTCATATTTTAAATGAAGGCATAAAAATATGAGAAGTATGAAATTTAAATGCTGAACATTTTTTTTTTAAAGATAAACTTCCTCCATGAAACTTACAACTAAATTTAAATTAAAAAGGGCATAATAATTGTCTTTTGACAAAGGGTAATATGCATGGATGATGTAAACATAATTAAAATGCAAAAGCATTTGCCCAATTACATGACCAGTAAGATACCTGCTTACTTGTACAAAAGTGTACAAATTTTTAAAAAATCTAGAAGGGGACATAATTTTGTCATATAATAATAAGCATGAGTTATGTTTCCTTGCCAAAACTTATAATCCAATTATCCCATGTATCTTCCTGAAGATAATAAATGAATTGCACTTTTAACATTAAATAGAAGCCCTTTTAATTCTTCACAGTAGATGAGTTTGGATGTTACACAGACATATCTTTTGTGCAATTCTGCAATATATTGTGAAAATATTCTTCTTACAATTCATTCATCAAGCACAGTTTTATACTGTCTGATGGAATTGCTTGCCCGATTTTTCTTTAAAAAAATTACAGACAGGAAAAAAATAAAATCCTGTCAAGCCATAGGGAAAAGCAAACAAGTATAAAAAGTATGTAAAAGTCTGTCAAATATTAACTATCGAAGCTAATCTGTCTGTGAGGGAATTCAACAAAGTATGGCATTAAGAGCCTCAGCTCCCAAGACTATTTACAAAATTTATCACAAGTCTAGCAACTTTGTCAGAACGTGATACGGGTGTCATCCTTTAATAATCTATAAATGATTCATATACAAAGAGGACCACGACTTCTCCACCATATAATATGAGCCGCATCATGACAAAACTAACATAGTGTGTTTGTGACCAGCATGGATCCAGACCAGCCTGCGCATCTGCGCAGTCTGATCAGGATCCATGCTGCTCCCTATCAGTTTCTCTACTTGCTATAGGGTTTGTAAGCGAACAGCATGGATCCTGATCAGACTGCGCGGATGCTGGTCGCAAACCCATTATGTTGGTTTTTGTCGTGACACGGCTCATATCTATAAATTGTCTGCTTAAAGCAGCCTTCAGCTTTTCTAAAAGTTAAATATGTTATGTTTTAGATAAATCATTTTATTTAATCGTCAAATCAAAAGAATAATTTAAAGTGAAAAATGAAATTTGCCATCTATAAAACATAGCAATAATGAAACCGGTGACGTTGACCTTGATACCTCTAAACTGGTGCAAGCTCTATTATGTAAATTAGTAAAGCAGACAATTTTCTTTCCCGGTCTTCTATTTTTAGAAATAACGTCACTGACATTAAATAGCTTTCAGGACGTAGGTTTGAAGAAGGCTTAATACTGATATGATGCACTTTTCCAAGATAAAATTATTGAAATACTTAGTTTGAAACAACACAGAATTGAAATAAAAGCTGAATACCGCTTTAAGGATATTCATGTTTATAATCTAAGATAATTTTGGGTTTTTCTTTTTAAGGGTTGTACCTGGCGGCTAGGATGTAACAAAAATACAAACTACTTTCTTGCCATACAGATTCTATTCATACCCTAGTCGGCCATGATTAAAATAGTCCTATATTTAGGTCGTATTCAACAATTAAACACAATGTCAATAATAAATTGCAACGAAATTTAAATTCTGACGATCATTACCCGCGAGAAATGATTGACTTTAATTGGTAAAGTCATAATAATTTAATGTATTTTCTAACTGATAGAATATGTTTTTGTTAATTAAAAGGCTGAAAAATCAGCATTATTGATATTAATTTGCTGCCAATTATTTCCATCACTGAGTTTATTGTGTCATATTTAAAACACTTTTAACATGAAATTTATAATAAATCTATTCATCCCAGGTATCAGTTATGAATATTTTAATGTATCTGCTAATATGCACACTTCAAGGCCAAAGCTATGAATACTTCAAGTAACCTGTTTAAATACCGTTCACCAGATCTAGGCTATGAATATTTATGAACCTGTTTATATGCCTTCTATGAATATTTAAAATGCACTTGTTAACATGCACTCTCTAAAGTCTAAGCTGTGAATATTGGCAAGAACCAGTGTATATGCCTTCAACAAGGCTACAGCCATAAATATTTCAATGTACCTGTTAATTAATCAAAATGTTTTGGCATTCAAAGTTAGATTCTGCGATTTTTTTATGTTCTGGGTCTAAGAACTTGGGTATATGCCTTCTCCAAGATCTAAAATCTCATTACTGTCAAGAGTCTGTTTATATGTCAATCATAATTGTTGTCAAGTACCTGTTTATATGCCTTCACCTAGATCTCATACATAAATACCGCCAAGTACCTGTTATATGCATTCTCCCAGGTCTCAGATATGAATACAGTCAATGACCTGTTTATATGCCTTCTCCAAGATCTAACACATAATTACTTTCAAATACCTGTTTATCTGCCTTCTCCAAGATCTCTAACATAATTACTGTCAAGAACCTGTTCAAATGCCTTGTCTAATATCTTAAACATAATAACTGTCAAGTACCTGTTTATATGCCTTCTCTCAGGGCTCAGCAAGTTTATCTACATCTGTGTGTTATATGCCTTCTCTAAAACACAATTACTGTCAAGTACCTGTTTTGATGCCTTCTTCAAGATTTCAAACATAATTACTGCCAAGTACCTGTTTATATGCCTTCTCTCAGAACTTAAACACAATTACTGTCGAGTACCTATTTATATGCCTTCTCTAAGATCTTAAACACAATTACTGTCAAGTACCTGTTTATATGCCTTCTCTCAGACAGAACTTAAACACAATTGCTGACAAGTACCTGTTTTTATGCCTTCTCCAATATCTCAAACATTATTACTGCAGAGTACCTGTTTATATGCCTTCCCTAAGATCTTAAACACAATTACTGTCGAGTACCTGCTTATATGCCTTCTCTAAGATCTCAAACATAATTTCTGACAAGTACCTGTTTATATGCCTTCTCCCAGGCCTCAGCAAGTTTATCTACATCTACCTGTCCTTGTCTCACTTTCTCGATAGCTTCTGTGGCATTCTCATCATGAAGTTTATCAGTCTCTTTGTCTATAAACTCTCGTAATTTTTCTGTCAAATCTGAAATCAAGATAAATATAAGATCCCAAGTGAGTTTTGATATGAAGTTTTATTACATTAGTTAAAAGAAATTGTTATCAAGGGAGGCTCTGGCCAACATTGTAACATTTTCTAGGTCAAGTCTAAGGAAATCAATTGAGGTCCAAAAGCATAAAAAAATACAAATTGAATTTCTCACAAAGGTCGGTTGAGACACTTAAAACAGAAAGATATGCAAAAGATAATTTAGAAATTGACTCAAAAATAAATTAAAAATCATATGTTTGTGTTACTACAAGCCCAATTTGAGTGAAAAGCGTTGCAACGCTTCATTTTTTCGCAGTTGGAACAATTATTCTGGAAAAACCGAGTGAGCGAATGATCTGAAATTTCGCCTTGACCTACATCAAATGAAACATTAATCTCAAAAATTATTTCCAGTCTCGTTATGTCAAAAAAACACTGTGCAGTCCCTTGAACAAAGTTTTATATTACATACATGACAATAAATTACATGATTTAAATGCATTGTAATCAATAAATATAAATTTTTGATGCTTTATGATTTTTTTTTAACCATTTTTCTTTCATATAAACTATATCTACAGGGGAAAATGGCCTCATGTGTTGCATTACACACGAGTAATATAAAGAAATACATAATACATTTATTACATAGAGAGCAAAAAGTGATGTCATGTGATCAATTAAAACTTATTTGGGGAGAACTATCTACAAGGTGAAGGTCATAATTATTTGAGTAGGATATCTTACACTATCAAAGTTAATTTCAAAGCAGACTGCAAAAACAGAACAAAAATGAAAACATTTAAAATACAGGAAAAGGAAACTACATAAAAAACATATTGTTTACTAGTATCAAAACAATATCGCTTCTGTTTTAATCTAATCCTGTTTAAGAGAGTTAAAATCATTGTGACATTTAACTATTTTGACATTTAATAAAATGAGACATTTCAATTAATTCCGGAACTGACAGCTGTTAAAAATATCTGTGTATGTGTGTGGCTGTGTGATGTCAAAATATAATATGTCATGTCAAACAATTCTGAACTTGTGTAATGGATTGTGCCCTTCTTTGAATTTGGAACAGTCCATTGAAATTGTAAGGGATTTCATTGAAAAATGCAAAAAATTGAGCTTCCAACAGTATAGAGCCTGCTCAGACTGCACAGCAAGAAGGCATAGGCTTATCAGTTTCTGTTCCAGTAGATAAAATGCTAGATGAATTCGAAATAGCTGCCTTGTAGTTAAGCTATAGGACTCTGACTCTTTAAATGCAGATTGTGGGTTCGATCCCAACACGATTCCACAACATCAGTACTGGCTAGTTCCAGGAAAAGGACTTAAGAGTCACTGGTTCATATAACCTGCAACCTTTTACCACATTCATGCCAAATTAAGTACATACATGTATATGTTGAAAACTAAAAGAATTCTTCCAGAAAACCATGTTAAAATAACAACTAATAAAGAATTAGTTATGATATTTCTCTAGCCAACTCTTCACTGTTTGAAAACAATAAAATGTTATAGTTAGAAATATTATACAGCAAGTTGAATGTCAGAGGGGAATTATGCTGGTGGTGTTGAAATATCAGCAAACATACATCATACATGACATAAACCATTCTTATAATGAATTTGGCAATCATTTCTTTAAATGTGAAATGAATATAATATATTGTCTAACATGGATCTTTCAATATATAACCAGACTTCTGTGAGAAAATGAAAAGCATTGACACCAGATGATGAAGCTGCTTTTTTTGTGTCACTTTGACATTTGCCCTATTTGTCACTTTGACCTTTGAGTCTTTGACCTACTTAATACATGTATACAATGATCTTTACCTTACTTAATATATTAAATGGATGTATTTTGCCTTAAATTTGGAACAGTGTCATTGGTTTGTTAAACGTATAGGGATTTCTAACTAAAATTACAAAGTTATGCAGCAAACACTATAGATTCTGGTCAGACTGAGCTCATATGCAATCTGGCTGGGCTCTATACATATAATATAGGCATGTCAACATTGCCACTGCATGGGATTAAAAAATGAAACAATTATTCTGACAATAAAATCTTAATTTTAATCCCAATCAAAGTCAATATTTGGACATACATCTGGCATGAGTCTACACTGGTGGCCTAGAAAAGTCATTTTTTGCTACATGTTCAGTAACAAGGGCAGTTAACTCCCAGTCACTTCCCTAAGTAAAGTTTATCTAAAACAAAGAATTTTCAGCAAGAAATTTTACGTGATTGCTTTAAAATTTGTTACTAACTAAAATACAATCCCCAGCTAGAGGAAACCTATATCATTTTATTTTGTCTGTTTGGTTTTTTATGCAGATTTTAACACATTTTCTGTCATATCTTGGTGGTTGGGTCCAAAGTCAGGTCCACTTAACCAGCTTTCCAGGATAACTATCCATTCATTATTAATCTCCCTCTGAGTGACTGTCAACTTATCTCACATGAGTTCTGAATCAGTGGTGACAGACAAATGAGCTGCGTCAAGACAAAACCAACATAGTGCGTTTGCGACCAGCATGGATCCAGACCAGCCTGCTCATCCTAGCAGCCTGATCAGGATCCATGCTGTTCGCTATCAGTTTCTCTACTTGTAATAGGGTTGTTAAGCGAACAGCATGGATCCTGATCAGACTGCACATATGCGCAGGCTGGTCTGCATCCATGCTGGTCGCAAACCCATTATCTTGGTTTGGTCGTGACGCGGCTCAAATGACCATTCAGAATCTGAAATGTCTGAGATCAATATTATTGTCACAGAGAAATTTTGCCTCACCAGAGGATCAAACCAGCGACCCTGAATAACAAATCTGATGCTCTCTGTACTGAGCTACACTGATGCGGTCTTTTAAAATTTGTCACCAACAGGTAAGTAAATCCATCAAGCAAGAGGACATCTTCATTGTTTTGAATTTTGCCATCAACAAGTAAGTAAATCCCACCTCCCCCACCCCCCACCCCTCGAGAGGACATCTTTATTGTTTTGAATTTTGTCACCATCATATAAGTCAATCCCGATAACAGCAGACGGAAAATGTGTATTAACCTGTAAATCATGCTCCATATTTTCATTCAGACACATAAATTACAACTTTACTGGCTAGAATTCCTGTCCAATATATTACTTTGTCATGACAACTTTCATGACAATTTTCCAGAATTAATTAACATACATTTTAATTTACCACAATGTAAAAACCATGCGGAAACTACAACATAATTTTCATTATATATAAGAAACTTGAGAAACTTCATGAATGTACTGTTTGACACACAAAGCAAACAAGTACATCTTAAACTTTGACCTTTATGTTCAACATTTACTCTTAGTCATCACAATTTATAATGCCAATTCTAAAGGGGCTGGATAGAAGCCTGGGAGTTTGAAACCTGCTTAAGTTTATACAGAATTTATTCTAAGTTTGATTGTGTAGGAAGCTATAAGCTTATAAACACACTCTTAAATCCATTCCTGGAACTAACCAGCACTCGCTATGTGTAAAAAGTTTCTTGCTCACGAAAAAAAAATGGATTGCCCCTGATGGGATTTGAACATAAGAAAAAGCAAATAATTAGATTGAATGTCACGAAATGTCATTATGGGATGTTTCATAACCATGTCCTCTTTACATTATACATGAAAAAGGGTTAAAAGAACAAAAGGTTAAGAACAAGAGTGACAGGGATCACATGTATCGGTTGATGATAGCCGATTAAGCTGTTGTATTAAGGGGTGATACAGTATACCAGTTTGTTCCCTATATGTTGTGGCTACTTTGTAGCATGTTGTAGCTACGGTGTAGCAGGCAACACAAAAAATCATTAACAAGCCAAAACGCTTTTATTATTCAAGGGCCATAACTCAACCAAATATCATTTAATTGGAAAACCCCTGTAACATGAAAAAATACTTGAGCTACCAATCAATCCTGTAATTTTTCATTGAAATTGCATTACTTGTATAAGAGGAAAGGTCTGAACAAACTTTACAAATATTTATCATTAAAGGGCCAAAAATCTGACAAAAAGCATTGAACTGAAAATGCTGATATGCCCAACTAGACTTGCTACTGATCATTTCTGTAATGTTTGGATGAAATTGCACCAGTAGTTTTTAAGGAGTATTCCGACAAGTTTTGTGATGAACTGACCAATGACGAAGAAGCTGGCGACACAAAAATGTTAGTCATCGTCAATACAGGCTGTTCCAACAATTAAGTTTTCCTTTTTTAAATACATAACAATATAAAGTTATACAAACAATTACTGAATATCATTACGGGATGCCCCATTCAACCTTGGAGTGCAAACGATAATGTCGCCAATTTAACGTCTAATTTTCACGCTGATCTAAATACAGTACTAACGAAAGTGACCTTTAATTAATGACATCACACGATGAGACAATTGCCCTCTACGTTGATGCTGTTGACATAAACCTTTTTATAGGAGACAGTTTCTTTGGCATCGCTTTTAAACCATACTTCAGGCTAATGCATATTGGTCTAGACTGTTGAATTATAGACATCATAATCACCCCGAAGGTCTAACATTAATGCAATACATAACACTTCACATCGCAAATCAAACAGTAAGACTGGAAATATATCCTATCGGAACCCAAAAAACTATGTCTTCTGCTATACAGAAAAATTATGCCGATTCTGACTGCTGCTAAAAAAAACCCCCAACAGTCTGAGGTATCAATTTCTTTTGCCAGTTAGATGCTATCTGACTATATTCTAAATAAGGACTGAACAAGAAACATGGCAATGCCATGAAACCAGGTTTTCAATTATCACCATTGTAGATAAATATGTTGTATTTGAAATACAAATACAAGCAACAAACAATGTAACTATGTGCAATGTAAAACATGAATAATGTAGGAGGAATTGCCACAAAAGAAGTGTTCACTATATATTCTGTATAAGGAAAAAAACAAAGGGCCATAATTAGATAAAAAATTATTCAATCACAAAACCCCGACAATATGCGCCAGGGCACTGGATGACAAAGCTACTGTGAAAGTTTGAACAAAATCCGTTGAGAAATGTAGGAGTTCAGCAGAGTTGAATTTTTTCACTATATATTCTGTATAAGGAAAAAAAACAAAGGGCCATAATTAGGTCAAATATTATCCAATCACAAAACCCCGATAATGTGCGCCAGGGCACTTGATAACAAAGCTTCTGTTAAAGTTTGGTCAAAATCTGTTGAGAAATGTAGGAGAAGTTGCGCATGGTAAAAATTGTTCACTATATAATCTGTATAAGGAAAAAAAACAAAGGGCCATAATTAGGTCAAATATTATACAATCACAAAACCCTGACAATATGCCCCAAGGCACTTGATGACAAAGCCTCTGTGAAAGTTTGGTCAAATTCCGTTGAGAAATGTAGGAGGAGTTGCGCACAGAAAATTGTTCACTATATATTCTATAAAAGGAAAAAAAACAAAGGGCCATAATTAGGTCAAATATTATCCAATCACAAAACCCCGACAATATGTGCCAGGGCACTTGATGACAAAGCCTCTGTGAAAGTCTGGTCAAAATCCATTGAGAAATGTAGGAGCAGTTGGGCACAGAAGAAATTGTTCACTATATATTCTATAAAAGGAAAAAAAACAAAGGGCCATAATTAGGTCAAATATTGTCCAATCACAAAACCCCGACAGTATGCGCCAGGTCACTTGATGACAAAGCTTCTGTGAAAGTTTGGTCAAAATCCGTTGAGAAATGTAGGAGGAGTTGCGCACAGAAGAAATTGTTAACGCCCGCCCGACATACCTCAATCTAATAACCAGTTTTTTCCTTCGGAAAACCTGGTTAAAAAAGTATTTTTTTACATAAAAGCTATATACTAGTAATATATCTAATTTCTAAGCTTCTGAGATAAAAAATATCATTATTGTAATTGTTTTATTTTATTTTCTTTCAAAAATGTGATGTTAATTTCTGTATCTTTCTCATTTACTTTTACTTGCAGCACTAAAACAAATAACACTATTTTGTACTTCCTATACCTTATAATAGGGTCATTGTTTTTTTATTGTTTCGTTGCGATAAGTACAAAAATGTATTACCGTATTTCAATCGTAAACTGGTGGCTAGTTACTAACAAGTGATTTTAAATTATATATCAATACTTAAACCTGCTGCAGATAATTATCAACTTCTTCACATAAATAATTTAATACAGCCATGAAGGAGAAAATGGCGCAGGAAATACTGTTGTCAAATCAACCTGCTTCATTCAAGACACCTATTTGCAAAAAGTTCAAGGTCAGTAGACCTGACAGACTCCACAAACTGGATGGGCTATGTTGCTGGAGGTTCAGCACTCCCCTCCTCCCACCCCTTTAAGAACAGGTTTGGGTCTGCTAAATTATGAACTTTTTTGGTCGTTGGGGAAAAACACAAAATTTGTGAAAACCAACACTTTATATTTAAGCTGTATCCTTTTTTATAGAAAGGGGAAAAATCCTGATTACAAAGGGAAAAAATATCAGTTAAAACACTGTTCAAGAATTGTTTAAAAAAAAAATGACTTAATAAAGTATACAATTAAACTGTGACACATTTAAAAAGTTCTCACGATTTATTTTTTTTCAAAATGAGTCACATGCCCTTGTATGACATCATTCTGCTGTTATGAAGGAAGTTATAAATTCATAGACCACTACATTTGTGTGAAAGAATAGCACTTAGCAAATTACTTTAATTTACATTATTTCATTCGCAAAATGTGTGATTTAAATGTGATATCAAGGAAACAAGAGCCACCACAAAGTAGGGATCACGCTGGACTTTTTCTCATTTCCAAAGGCAAACACATCAAAAGAACATTGACTTTCTTTACAGTAAATAATTGAATAAAAATTTCATATTTTACCTTGACAGTTATGGTTAATTACATAAATAAATCAACAAAGTTATTGCCAAATTTAGCAATATTCATTAATTTGACATTGAATGTCAAGGTCAAATAAAGGTCAAGGTCAAGTTTCATCAAACCCTCTTCTTAGCATTGTTGTACCAAAGTATAATAACAATCAATATATAAATTACAAATTTATAGCCAATTAAAGCAAAAACTGAAAACATCATAAATTTACCTTCAAGGTCAAGGTCATTTATGAGTGAAGGAAAAATTCAGTCAACTTGAAGGTCTTGTCCAAAGGGTCATTGAATCTAAGTATTAAAGCAATCCAATATGAATATAAAGCAATTAAAATTAAGCAATGTTAAAGTTTCTGGACAACAATGGCATCCGAACTGCAATAACATGACTGTAGCAATAGCTCGATTTTTGTTTCTTGAAAAAGTCGAGCTAAAAAATAAAACATAAACTGGTTAATGGAAACTGTGTATAGCCTCGTTACCGCCTTTTAGAGAATACTGTCAAGCCAGATATCTCAGTCAGTGCGTCGGCAGCCAGAGTAAGATTCTAAGTGATATGTAATAAAATATATTCTTTATTATGTCTTTAGTCAGACACAATACTTCTGAAAATAAAGAAATGAAAGAAGACATACACTTTGACATTTAAACAAACTGACTATTTCTGAACGTGTAAGTGTCTAGACTATGTCATGAAATAAAATCAGTCTAAAACCTGAAGGATTTCTAAAACATCCTTACTACAGCAAAATTTGCTCTTTGTATTCAAACAAAGTAAATCTTAATCAATCTTTTGATTTCAGGGTGTGTGGACCCTTTTGCTGGGAAAATTTCCCTGCAAATGGGACTGCACAACTTGACAAGTTAATTTTAGTAACTTCTTTTCATTCTCTCTCTCTCATGCTTGTTCTTGTATACCCTCCTGCTTGAAGAAATGATCCATAAAAATGATAAAACCTAAAAATCGAAGAAAATTGTGCGGAAGTACAACATGTCATGTGAGCGCTTATTAAGTATACCCTTTTGAAATTTCGAAAGGAAAACCCTATAACTTTTTAGTTTTATAATATAAATGTAAAAAGATAATTTTGTCACTGTACAGTAAGTAAAATATTTTAAAAACTTTTGATCTGATTATTAAACTTCAGATTAAAATAAGAATGAGATGCTTTAAATCTATATGCTCAGCTATTTTTATCTGTACTGAAAATGAACAAACAGAAATAAAAACAAAATTCAAAATAAACAAACAATTCCTTATACATATATTATTACAATTAATTTAATTATCATAGTTTAAGCTAGATGATTTTCACACAATTACAAAAAACCCAAAGCAATCAGACACAATAAAAGTTTCATCAAATACTTTCTATAAATAAATCCATCAAAATAAAGCAACGTATGTTTCTTATTGGGCTAAGTGTAATTTGCAAGAAAAAAACAAACAACAACACATAATCTATTTATAGACGGACAGACAGATTTCCTAGAATAGCAAAACCAGTAATGCAGTTGTTTAATGTAAATATATATAAATCAAGCATGTATTCTATAAGGCAATTAAGCGATTTACATAAATATATATATTTATATGGCTGTTCAATCATAATTTACATGAGGATTACAAAAATACACGTTAAAATCACCCACTAATATAACATGACAATATTCATAATTACTGTTTGATTATTTATATTATATCCAGTTTTTGTTACATGGAAATGAAATACTCTGAATCTCAAAAGAACATTTCTGTACTATATTGTATATATATATACATGTATAAATATATAAAATTATGCATGATACATGCATTATGCCCTCAAATTTTACAATGTCATAATAATACAATAAATTGTAAGGTGAAATAGTGGACAGATCCTGACCCTATTTGACCTATGACGGGGACAATAAACAGAGTAACCTCTTAGTGGGCTTAAATAAAATATTCCTAATAATAATAACAACTTAATGTCTCACCATTTTCAATGTAACAAGGTAGATTATGCTCGAACACAAGACGTCCGGTGAGATCCCGCGCTGGTTGGCTGTATGGTATAGTGACTGGAACCCGCAGCACACTTTCAACATCTTTACTAGCAAACGTGTAAACAAACTCTCTTTCTATGGACAAAGGCATGATGGCTGGGAACCAGATGTATGTCAACTTTTAATGTCCCAAGATTTTCCTGAATAAATAAATGTCAACATACAAAAATTATATCAATTAAAATTAAATTATGGTTTCAATATAGAATCTTGTAAGCAGATTTATATTTCTTTGCCTTATATCAAACATTTTTCCAGTAAATTTCCTGGCCTCTGCTGTGCAATATCAGGGCATCATGATTCAATGACTAAAGTGAGGATTGAACTCTAAATCCCTGATCACAATGTTAAGAAGCAGAAAACTGAACCATCAGACTGCAACCCATCATTATAATACATGTATAACTGACAATCTTAGAGTTGTCACAAATATTAATATTTTGATAATACATGTAATACATTAATTATTGTTGAATCTTATACGTTAAATTTATGTGTCTATTTTCTAGGTCAGCAAATACAAATAACCATCATTATACTGAAGTATACAACCTGCCTATCAAACAATACCAATCTGTGTCATCAACAATAAATGCCATACAGTACAGACTACAGTCAGCATGGAATTGTAACAATTACATACAAGCACTAATTCAACCACAATGTTGTTTTTTTAATTTCTTATGGAATCCAACAGTTATAATACAAGTGCACTTATTCAACGACAATGTTTTTTGTTGTTGTTTTTTTTTAAATTTCTTGAGAAGGTCATCCCAATTTAATGTAAAGAGATATTTGAGCTGCGCCATGACAAAATCAAAATAGTGCATCCACGCAGTCTGATCAGGATCCATGCTGTTCGCTTACAAACCCTATTACAAGTAGAGAAACTGATAGCAAACAGCATAGATGCTGATAAGACTGCGTGGATGCACAGGCTGGTCTGAATTCATGCTGGTCCCACATGCACTATGTTGGTTTTGTCATGGCGCGCCATTTAAGCTACAAAACAAACTATGAAATGGTCTCAATATTCTCACCCTAAAACTAAGTAAATCAAAGGACTGAAAATCCTTAAAAAAAATTAATTTAATATCTGAGCATAAATTCCCTCTCTAAATACAAATATGTTTTTTTGTTAAAATGCAAAATTACAAGACAAGCACAAAACAGTGTAATAGTTTAACAAATACCAACATTCTTCACATCTTTTGAAATACATGTAGTAATATTACATTTAAATATTCAAAGAACAGACGGAAAATTTCCCTCATTTACAGTTGCACCCAATGACCGTCAATGATCCAAATTACGAAAAAAAACCTCTTTCATAAGCTCTCGATAGCTAAGACCTGGTGATGCTGACACTTCAAAATCCATGCCCCTCACTGCCGAGTTAGAGTCCCTGAATGGACGCTGGATTCTTCCATGTGAGAAAGTTTTCAAGTTCAGTAAAAGAACGTTGGTGGTACTACACAAGTATCTGCTTGTGTCTAAAGTAATGTATGGAAGGGGCACAGAAAATCTACTTCCATCAATAATGCTGGAAAGATGCCCAATGATCTTAAAAGTGTCAAGGAGACATCAAACCAATAAAATAGTTCTTTAAAAAAGATAAACAACAAATATACCAACAAATACCTAACCAAATTCTTTCAAAGCGCATCCTTAGAAGAAATAGAAATACAGTACAACTTCGATGTGTCAAACTTCTATTAGTCAATTTTCCCAATGTGTCGAAGTAAAATGAAAATCACGATTTTTCCCTCTTTATTTTTTATAAAAACCTACATATGAGTCAAAATTTTATGTGTCAAATTTTTCAATATGTCTGTTTTTTGGGGTCTGTCGAGTATAATTTACCATAAATAAGTCAAAGTCCTTTGATTATTTACCGAAGTTCTACTGTATTTTACAAAGAAGTAACGACTACAAATAATTACAGAGAAGCCTTTTCAAAAGATGGCCTCTTCAGATTTCATGACAGTGATATATTTTCATAATACAATTACAAAATCTTCCACACTCTCATAAAATACATTATTTCTAGGAAATCCCATAGGATAATGTGTCTCAGCTTTAGACGAGATGTTCTTTAAATGATGATGCCACTGTCAACAATACAAATGTACATAATCTGTCTTCTTATTGAAATTTCTCCAAAGAGACTCACCGTCAAAGCAAGTATAAGACAGTCTAAAATATTCTATATTTTCTGCTCACATTTAAGTATGGTTAATCTGTTGGGTTCAGTTTCAAGTCACGATAAACCCCTTTACCATGCTAAATATATTAAATGGACTTGTTCATCTATAAATCTGGACAAAAACCATTCTTGGTCTGAAACCATTCTTGGTCTGAAACCATTCTTGGTCTGGAACCATTCTAGGTCTGGACTGGTTGCACGGGTAAAATACACTGCATGTTGCCACAAGCAGGGTTGGGGTGAACACTATAAATGTCATATTGCGAGAGGGGCCGACAAAATCTATTTTTAACTCAAGTGTCTGTTTTCTCATTTCTTTGTATGTATAATATTTATAAATTCTGGACAAATTTCATATGTTCATACACAATGCAATGCGTATGATTGATTTTGCCGCCCTCCCTATTTTAACATTTCAGTCTTGAACCCTTAGCTTGCTGGTGGCAATAGGTTCTATCCATGTGACAAGTTCAGACCTAGTTCAGCTGGCATGTCTGTGCCATTATATTTCTGCCTTATATTATTCAAAATGGGCAATTATATAAAATAAATTGGGAAAAATTTCCTATATTTCTGTACATTCCTACAAGAGTGACATAAGATATTTAAAGATCCCGTATGTTGTAATTGAGGTTGTATACCACACTTAAGTGAAATTATATATATGTAAATAATTATGCTCATAAAACAATTTTCAAACATCGAAGAATATGTAAAATATGTACTGCAATTATTTGAAAAATTTGAGTTAGACTTTATAGAAAATAAATTTTTATTACCTACATATTTAGATGAAATGCTAAATTCGGTTATTATCTTTATTAATAGTAATGCTTTTTGGAACTGACAAAATTGAAAAATCTTAATTTGAGCATCATATTTATGATATAAAACCATAAAAAATTTGTGTTACAGGATCTTTAAATATTCAGTGATCATTTCTCTGTAATTGTACCAATTTGACAATTACATGTACTTGTATACATATAGTGCTCAATATACATGTAAATCACATATTGCATTATTGCCAAATTTAATCAAAGTGATCAATTGAATACATATTCGTTAAAATTATGGAAAAAAAATTAAGAAAAATTGACTAGGATGAAATATTAATCAATCCACCCATGCAGCAAATAAAAAAAATAAAAAAAATTTCAATACAAATAAATAACAGACACCGAGGATTCAAACACGCAACTACATACAAAACTGCTTGCTGTTCTTACCACTTTAATAGGTCTAATGACATTATTTAAGCCATTATGTAAGCCATGAAGCATTTAGAGCAAACACAAGCCACTAAAATTTAATGTTTAGATGGTTAAATAAAAATCACGGAAACACACCTTCCCAAGTATTAATCAGTCTCAGGTCAATGTTGCTAGACAATTAATGTCGATGTCTTTGTTTTAGGAAAGAAATGCTGATTTATAAAACCATCTCTTTTATTAATAAGTCTCGAGACAATAAGTGGGAAAATTCTTTTAAATGAAACTTCAGAAATTTTAAACTAACTCAAAAAACTTGCCATATGAGGGCCGCGGTTCACGGACAAAACCAAAAAGGGTGGGTTTTTGGGGACCAGCATGATCCAAAACCAACCCTTTGCTCTTTTCCGCCCCATTTGGGTCGGGGTTTTCAATGCTTTTCCCCCTGTAAAGTTTCCCCATTTTTGGAAATTTGGGATTGGAAAGCGAACAGCATGGACCCTGACCCAGACTGCGCGGGAGGGCGCGGGGCGGGTTTCTGGATCCTTTTGCTGGTAAGCCCCCCCCACTATTTTTCGGTTTTGTGGGTTACGCGCCCCCATATGTTTTAAAAGGAAATTTTTCATTTGGGTTTCCCCCTGGGAATTTTATTGGCCCAAATAACCCCCTTTTGATTTTCGGTCCATAATAATCAACTTGTTTTCCCACCTTTGTTTTCATTTGAATAACCCAATTTGCTTTTAATTTTTTTTTTAACCCCTTTCCCACATCTAGCCTTTGGGCTTTTAAAAAAAATACAGAACAAAAAAAAAAAAAAACCTTTTTCCACTTTGGCCCAATACCCAATTTAAATTATTTCTTTTTATTACAACTTTCTGTTTTTTTAAAAAAAAAAAGGGTTTTTTTTCATTATAAAACAAAAAAGGGAAAATTCCCCAAATTTTCTTTAAAGGGCAAGACTGCAATGCATTTTGGGGTTTTGAAAATTTTAAAAGTTGTTTTCCCTTGGGTTTGTGTTAAAATAAAAAGAAATTTAATTTTACATTTTTAAAAATTTTTACAAAAGGATTAGAAAAACTTTTAAATAAACATGATGGGATCATTAATGTGAAATTTAACAAAGGGGTGTATTGAAGAAATTTTTACTTTAAAAAATTTTTTAAATCATCTTTTTTTTTTTTACCGAGGGAGGGCAATGGGGGCCCAAATTTTTAAAAACCCCTTTTTGATTCCCCCCAAAGTTTTTTTTAATTTTTAAAAAGGCAAAACAGAACAAAAATTTCGCAAAAAAAAAATCTAAAAAGAAAAATCCAAAGTTTTGTACGGGCCCAAATTTGCAGAATAAAAAATTTAAATTTTAAAGTGTTTTTTTTTTTTCCTTTAAATTCTTGACAATGGGGGAAAGGGTTTAAAAATTTTGTAAAATGCTTAAATTCTCCCGGGGAAATGTTGGCCTACTTTTTTCCAAGTTCAACCCTTTAAATTTGGGTTGGACCTTTTTTTTAAAATTTTGGAACCGGGAATTTCCTAAAATTTTAGGTTAAAAAAAATAAACCATTTGGACCTTTTGGGATGTTTTACAAAGTTTTCAAAAAAATTTGGGGTTTTGTTCCCAAAACACAAATTTTTTAAACCCTTTGCCCCAAAAATTTTTAAATCAAGGGAAAAAACATTTTTTTTGAAAATGTAGGAAAAAAATTTATGAAAAAATATAAATAAAGGTTTTCCCAAAAAAAGTTAAGGGAAAAAACACAATTTTTAAAATTTATCCTTTTTGGACTTTTGCTCTATACAAAAAATTTTTAACCCCAAAACTTTAATTTTAAAAATTAATAATTTAAAATTATTTAAAAATTCACTTGACTTTTTAAACTGTCCATTTAAAACTTTTTTTTCAGTTAAAGGGACATTCTTTTCGGGGTTTTCCAAAAATTCATTTTTTGAGTTCCCTTTGGGAAGTCATTTTTGGGCCTTTTTCATTCCTTCAGGTTTGTTTTTTTTTGACCCTTTTTCGGGGGTAAATTGTTTCAAGAAATTTTTTGGTTGAAAATCGAGAAACCAAACTAAAAACCCGGGGTTTTTGGGGGGCATTTATTTCATTATTCTTCTTTCCAATTTTCATAAAATTTTTCTTTTTGGACAAACTGCTTCCCCGGGGGTTTTTCTTTCCCCCTTTTCCCGGGTTTTTGATAAAAGATATGGCTTTTCCATAAATATATATCTTGTTATTTTTTTTTTTGGTTTGAAAACCCTTTAAAAATGGTTTTATTTTTTAAGTTAGAATAGTTTGTATTTTTTCATTTATCACATAAACCCGGCGCAAGATTTGTAATAAAGCCTTGTAAAAAAAACGTATTACACTAGTGTAATAACATTTTGAGTGACGTCATTTCGCAATAGAAAATAGCTTTAAAGCGGCTAATATTAGCGTTCACTATAAACGCGTCATTAAAAATTACTCTTTTAAAAACAGTTTACTGTTCTTATTTTATATATGTGATAAAAAGAATATTATATTCGTGTAGATTCAATACTAAATTTATTGAACTCGTTGAATAAAACAATATTATGCTCGCCAGAGGCTCGCATAATATGATTTTATTCAACTTGTTCAATAAATTTAGTATTAAACTACACTCATTCAATATCCTCTATATATTTCCCTTAACTTGTCTAAAAATTATGATACACAAAAAAAAACACAGTAAAATGTGCATTAATTCATTATTTTGTGGTTTCAATTTCTCACTTATAAAATTGCCAACTTTTACAGAAATACCACATCATCTTAAATTTACCTTACCTAGCATAAATAACAAGTTTTATTTAGTAGATATGTCAGAGGTATTCCACATGTGGCCAAAAGATGGTTTCTCTTTTATTTCAATTCTTGTGCAGCCAACATATCATAATTCTCTGTTTCAAATACAATTTTTGTTTCCTTTCCTTGAAATATACCAGCCAAAGTGCAACCATTATCATATCATGTTAAAATTTTATCCACACCTAAACAAAATTGACAGTATAATGTCTGTAGACTAAGAGTAAGGGTTCTTTTGCATGCAGGGATTCCAAAACAGTGTAATTTTCTTTCTGCATCTCAAGAGTATCAACGAATAATTTCTCACTTAGGAAAAATGCTTGATTTCATGTCAAAGCTAGTTGCAGAAGCAAACAATGGCTTTTGGATTACCTGGCTATAAACTTCACCCTTACTGCCTTATTAAACATGAGCCCAGACAAGGTGACATTAACAACCAGTGTAAGGCATAATAAATCCAATGATAAAAGGTCATTTTGGAGAATTAGTATTTGTTGTAGTCAGTAGTTGTTTGAATTTGTTTGAAAGCATTGAAATAGGAATTTTTAGCTGGTCTTATTACTGGTTTGAGGTAGTCAGGCATGGGAATTGCAACTTTATTTTGTAAGATATTCCAAAACATAATGAGGCACTGATCTATGTGTGCTTGCTCTAGGCTCCACCACTCTAGAGAATCATGCATGGCTGAAATTATGGATGTGCGACTGTGTTGTTTTAACCAGTGGGCAGCACAGTGCTAAACAGACTCAATCTGGTCAATGAGAACTCAAGTGTCTGGTGACCTGAAACTGGAATTGTAAGGTTAAAGTCTATTCTAGACTAGATTCAATGGTTCGGAGTGGAACTTGATGTTTCCCTGCAGGAAGCCTAGCGTTTGGTATGCCTCTTTAACAATAATGTCAATTTTAGTGTTCCAATTTAGGTTATCTGATATTGTGATGCCAAGTCAAGGAACTCTGCTGATCGTACTGATTCTAACATGATATTGTGCTGGTTTATAGTGTTGGTATTTGAGTCTTTCTTATTGTAATTTTAATGTCAGACTTGGTATTTTAATAATTGAATTTCATTCAGGGCTTTTTTCACAGGTTGGTGAAGCAGCCCTTCCCTTAATTTTGGGGAAAAGTTAAGCAGTATATTTGCAAAAGGGGAAGAAAAAACTTGATGTAAATTTAAATTTGGGGGAAAACTGCATGATTTTAAAGAGTTTTTCTTTGGCGAAGCATCCCTATAACTGCCTCTGCTATAGAATGAAAAAAAGCTCTATCATGTCACATTTTATTTCTCATGTTCCAAACAGGTGTAAGTCTTACTGTAAGTGGTGAAAGTGAGAAGTTACAGACAGAGATACACAGCAATGTCATCAGCAAAGAGCTAAAGAGTAAAGAGTGTCTTACAAAGTCATTTACATAAAAAAGGACAGGAGAGGTTGTAAGAGCCTTGAAGGACACTCAAGGAGGTAGGAACAGTAGTTGACAAGGAGCCATTTACTACTACTACCAATTGTGACCTACTGTCTTACTCTAAGAAAGACTTTATCCAATTGAGAGTTACTCCCCTTATATCATAGAAATGTAGCCATAATTGTGGAGTTTGGCATTTTTGACTATGTCTATGTGAAATAAAGAAGTATGATGTCAATTTGACTTTTATGAGTGACAGATTGAAATATTCCATTAACTTATACTAGAAGTTGGGTTTGACAAGAACTCTTTTCTAAGAAACAATTCCTACATGGATGCCAAATAAAACAACTAAAAAACATATTGATTTATATAAACGTCAAAAATTTCTCTGTGTCATTTGCTGTTCATGAGTGCAACCATTTTGAAAACTTTTCAAACAAAAAGTTACAGAATATACTGTATCTTGTCTCCACAATCTAGCAGAAAGAGTAAAACAAGTATTTTGTATTTTAATTATCTTCTAGAAAAAAAACCCCATAAAATGTAGAAATCTAAAGCAAATGTTGACATTGTTTTTATTAAATTGTCTAAAATTTCATTACACACAAAGTACATTATCATAAGCACTACATCATCATTTGATTGTAATCATCAAGACATAGTTTCTACTTGTGTTTGTTTATTGTGCGACATGTTTAAATTCTAGGGTACTCAACAAACATACAGGAGATGGATTAAAATCTCAAAATCCCTTGATTTTTAGTTTCTTAATCAGACTTCTCATTACATAGGTGTTGCCTTCTTTCATATTTGAATATGTTTGGTATTAAAGTAGATAGATCTACATGTTGGTTCAGATATAAAACCTTAAATTAACATTCAAATTAAATGATGACATGGAGCAAATATCATGCCAGACACATCTTAAAATGCTACTTTTCGATTAAGCTTTCTTATACCATAATACTATTACACTTTTCGAAACAATTTTATCAAAATAATAATTCTAATCCGAAATTTATTGCAGACGAGTACTTTACTTTTAACAAAAGTTTTCAATGTACGACAACAGATTTTGTCTTACGTATTGCTTGACAGAAGTCTTTGAAATGATTCATAATTCATGCATACTTACTTAAAACACATGAAAAATCTCTGTCAATCAGTAAAAACTCTGATAAATGAACTTAAACAATTTGTGGGCGAATCTATGCATGGACGCTGACATATTGGTTGTTGGTTTCTGGGTAATGACGTCAAGATCTAGGTCGGTGTCGGGGTGAAAACTCGGTCAATGATGGATGAAAACACGCTGTCTGATACAGCGGGTATGATGCTTTAATTTCTTTTATTTTGAATTAAAAGTGTGTAAAAATTTATTTGAATGAATTACTTTTAGGATTTCAAATGTTATTTTTTACAGTTTGAATTGGAAATAGTTTTCGACCCGGTAAAATGTGCATCAACATGCATGGGACGTTTGTCTTGTGTTTTGCTTTGTTCCAAAAATAGGTCGTCTGAATTTAGGTATCTCTGGGAAGTTATTCGGATAAATATTTTTCTGAAGAAAAGGCGGAAAGAAAGCAAGAAACACTAGGAATACAACATATATTTGGAAACAGTGGAATATCATTATTTTTGGATAAATACTAAGTTATATGTTCTATAAAGGCGTTTGTTGTGAGTATATTAATTTGATATGAGATTGGGTCAAAGTCAGTTATGTATATAGGTCATACTTGAGTCAGAGTAGTTTGCCATAGATAATTATATACAAGATCATCCTGGCATTTTAAGATGTGTCATAATCAGATAGTACATATGTGATATTTAATTAGTAAATGTTTTAGAAATATTGTGCATTTTTTACACGTTTTTACAAAATACTTTGTTTTAGAAGTTAGTTCTCTATCGTCTCGATATGGAATAACAATGAGAATAAAATTTGTCGGAGAAGTGTTATTTTTTTTACCTCGTATCTCCAACTGAATAAGAAAATAATTTGACACAAAATTATTAAAAAAATAATTGATATAACTAAACTTGATTTTAAATAGTTTAAATAATTTTAATATAATGTGAGGTTGAATGAATTTGATGAACATTTTCAGGCAAGTTATATTTTATACCATTTTTAAATATTTTTAACCTTGTCCATAGATTGTTTATTATTTCATGTGTTGCCTCTCAAGAATATTATTGATATTAACCCTCGAGGGTCATTTTGAAGGAAATCTTATTAGATGTTGATATTCTTGTTCATAACTCTGCGTGTTGACAGTTCGATAAGTCCATATAAATACAGTACTTATTTACTTTTACTTCTAACATGAGTTGTTACATTAGGTAAGAATATTTTTTACATTAATATTTTTTTCTTGTTTATTTAATTATTATTAATATTTGATATATGATTAAATGATTTATTATAACTTTTGTTTAAAGTAATTTAATAATGTATGAGTTAGTTTTAGTTTTAAATTCCATTGTACAAAGATTATTTTTGACAATGAAAACAAAAATGTTCACCTAAAATTTAGCCCTTTGTTTTTTATCTTTGGTATGTTGGGTCAATAATGGATTGCTAATTATTTCAAATATTTTCTGTCTGAATTGTTTTTAATTCTGGCATATGATTATGAACATGTTTTGTTTTTACATGTAGAAATCACCAGTCTACTGTAAACAGTTACCAAACATCAAGTTATAAGAGTATGTGACAAGTTTATTTAGTGAAAGCAATCAACAATTTTTAAGATACTTAATATTGAAGATATATATTTCTCTGTTTCATATATTTATTTTATCTATCAAGATGTCACATAGTTAACCATTAATTTGCTGGAATTAAAAGTGGTTACACTTTGCCACCGGTGAAGAGCAAGCCAGCCTGCACATCACTGCTGCCTGACCAGGCTCTATACTTTTGTTACATGTAACTGATTTTTGCATTTTGATAATGAAATCCCTTTAACATTAAATGGATTGCTCCAAATTTAGATATTGGCTGATCAATTCATTATAGAAATACAGCAGGTTTATAATGTTTAATGATTTATATGTATGATAGTCTGTAAGTAGCTTTTTCATATTAATTTAATACATGTAGGTTTTATTTGAGTGTAAAAGAGAAATGATAATTTATGTTGGGCATTACATGCATTTATTCAGGTAAACATTTGGTTTGCCCTATCCATAGATTATGTGAAGGATTTAAAGGGAAATACGTGACAGTCTTTCTAAAAAAAAATTTCTATTTGAAATTTTATCTACATTTAAAAATATTGAGAGCTACTGTTTTGATAGAAAGTAGTATGCAAAGGTTCTACATTTTGTGAAATTATTTTAAAATTTATTGTGTTTAGCTAGATAAATTGCTAGGGATTTATTTGTAGGTTAAGTAACTATTTGAAGGCATAAAATGTTAAAATTTTGTGTACTGCTTTTGAGTACATGTAATATCCGCGCGCCCTTGAACATAACATCAATATTCCGGGAATGCACGCTTTAAAGTATGTTACTTAAATGTGCAGCATGTGCAGTGAAGTATGTGAGTCATTAGGATGTTTTTGAAAGTGCGCTGGATTTTACATTTTTGGGAATTACCCTAATTTTGATGTAATATAAAAAAGAACTTGCTCTGTTTGCATTGTCAGGTCCTGGGGCTCATTTCACAAATGTATATATATAGTTATGTTTGAACTTTATTGCAAATTTTGAAATGGTGCGTTGCATGTTTATATGCTATAATTAGTTATGGATAATAATAATATACAGAAAGGATTGGTTGTATAATAATAATTGCATAATTTAAAATATAAACGCGCAAAGCTATGTCTATTTTCTTGAAAAAGTTTTTTGTGGGATAATTTTCTTTTTTAAGCAAACTGTGCGTGCGCGTGCGCATGCGCAGCCACACGTACATGCAAAAGTTGCATTTTCCGATGTGGGTCTTGTGAATTTAATGTTTAAACTATGTCCTGTCTGAAATGAATATATACATATTATGGACTTAGTTATACGCAGTAAGTGTTTTCATACAGTCTTGAATATTAATCAAGTAAATTTCTATTTGTATCTCATGACGTCTAAATAAACTCTGACTTGCAAATTTTGCGTTAATCTGTTGTGCATCTCAGACAGAAGTCTATAAAAGATCATATTTTTTGCTCTGCATTTTCCTTTCTTTTTTATTTCAACATAATGTACAAACAATGTAAATGATAAATCTAATTGCGGATTGAGTTATTCTATATATGTAAGCAATAGTAAGGATTATTTTTTTTCTTTTGTGAATTTAATATTCATATACATGTACTTTAATAGACATGAATAGGAATGTGCAAATATTTCTCACATGTAAGTTACCCCGGTAAATTGTTTAACTTATAATAATATTTTTCTAAGCAAAATATCAAAGGATTATGTTCATTTTGATGTTTTGTCATGGAAAAAACAAAACAGAAAAAAAACATGATTTTGCATATCTGTTTTATAGCTAAGTCATTATAGGGAATGTACGAATTCCAAATAATAAATAATTCTTGTTGATGTTCAAAAACTAGTTCCCAAATGATTACAGTATATGTTACAGATGAAAAAAAATAACACTGAAAATTTGATATATAATATTATGTAAAATAATTCTCACAATTATATATATTTTTGTATAAAATGTTAGAATTGGACAAACATGGTTTTTCTAATATATTTGTGTTTTTGTTATAATGAATATTCAAGAATATTTTATTATGATTATGTATAAAGTAGACAGTTGTTTTTTAATGACATGTTTATTCAAATGCTTTGGTTATTATTTTTATCTGTTAAAAAATATGTTGTTTTTTTATATAAGTGTAAAAAAAGTGAGAGAACTGTACATATCAATATTGTTTAATTTTATTTACATCATTTGTACTTGTTTTCTTTGGTCTTCTTTTATTATTATATTTTCTTTCGAAGATTGTTTTTTTATGTCAGAAAACTGATTTTACTCATTGCCTTAATATTAATTACATGTATATACATCATGTATTTTGTACATGTATGTACAGTATATAATATTAGACACAAAAGAAATCTATTGAGTATTATCGGGAGTTTTGATAATTTTAATGTATGTAATTTTAATAACTTGTATGTTTCCATTTTAAATTTACATGTGTACATCCATTTTATCTAGAGTAAATAAATTACTTTAAATAGGTTTAATAAGATTTTTTTTCTTCTAAAATTTAGATAAGTTTTATAATACATAATATATATAGTCTGAAATATTATGTATAGTGCATAAATTTTAATTTAAGATAAAACGCTTAGTTTTTATACAATTTTTTAATTGAAATATTTCAAGCTTGGATATTGGAAGAAAAAAACCTTTGATATTTAATTATGATTAAATTTAAAAATCTTAAAACTATAATATACAACTGAAAAGCTAGGTTTATTGCATAAATTAATTTACATTAATTTTCTTATTTTTTATAAAGTGTGGAAATAACAATTATATTTAAAAATAGAAATGTGTCTAGACAAGAAATTCTTAATATAGTTAGTTTTGTCTGTCTGATAAAGAAGGCTAATTTTTGCTAAGAAAGCAGGGTTATTTTCTACCAATTTTATCAGGCTGCAATAATATTGATATATTACCTATTTCTAGACTGCACTCCTGTGTATAATGGAGAATTTTAATTTTCTATTTATATGCTCTTTTGATTGGTGTAAAAAAAATGAAATTTATTTGTATGCACCTACATTTGCACATGTATTTATTTGCTATGGGATTGTGAATAAGCGCAATTTTTTTATCATAATACATTCAGATTTAGAATCTAAAGTAGATGATTATGAAACAGCCAATATTAAGTGTCCTCAGTTAAATTATGTACATGTATTAGTTTCAAAATTACATGGTATTTTGCTCTTCAAAATTTAATAAGCATTTTATCAGACATTTTTTATAATTTTTAATATATTGTAGATTTTTTTACAGCTTCATCAAAACCTTTGACGTCATTAAGTTAAATATTTGGGATATTTTTTACACATATTAAACCCTTTGCAGGCCTTTTTTTTACAATTTAATTTTGAAGTATAACTTTTAATCAGATGGAGGAATTTCTTTCTTTCCTCAACTAAATTTAATAAATAGAAAATTCTGTAAAATTATATGTATCTGATAATGTTTTTCTATATAATCTAAATTTAATTTTTAAATTTAAAAGATGTTAAGTTAAAGATGTTAAGTTAAATGGATTTCAAAGTAAGATTCTGCCAATTTCTAAAGCATATTAATTTAAGAATTATCTAAACTTTTAAACATTAAAATGCATTGAAATTTTCAAGGAAAGAATGGGAAAAAATCCAGTGCAGTTTTAAATATAAAAACAACTTACTAAGTTATAAACAAATGCAGCAAAGCCTATAATTATAATTTATAGACTTAGTAGCAAAATAATAGTTGGTTACATTACCCGTAGGTACATGTATATGATTAGCAGTAGTCTGATAGCCCCTGACTACTAAATTTCTCCTTGGGCTACCAACCTATCACATTTATAAGACCGACCAGGCTACTGTATTTTCAGGGGCACTATAAACAAATGAATCATGCTATTGAAATGTCTTTTGGGCTAGTGGATATTCAAATCTGGTAGTCTGACCGGCCTTCACTTTTTTCT